GTACTTTCCACAAAAAATAGCACATTTGTCGCCTGTAGATATATTATTGTCCATGGCCCAATATCTTGCATGGTGTATCGTTTTAGATATTTAATATTAACGTAAAACACCCAATATCTGACCATGGCATACAAAATAAAATATCTGTCCTTCGTGTAAAATGTAAAATATCTGTCACTGATGTAAAACAAAAAAATCTGTCCTGGTGTAAAGCAATATACTGGTACAATAATTGCCCCTTGTGTAAAACAGCTAATATCTGTCCTTGGTAACTAAATGCCAGGTATGTAAGAGAACAGATTACTGCCCATTAGGCCATTACTATACAGTTTACAGTTAGTTGCATATATCAGCATCCCTAGGTCATGCAGGTCAAGAAATATGACCAAAAATTTTGAATTTGATGTTTTTAGCACTAGATGGCCAAATTTGGGGCAACAATTTAGCATGATAAGATTTACGAGATCAACCAAGGCAGTAGGCAAAGGTGTACTCTTAAAATAGGTGGTTTTAGAATACAGGTTCACCTTGATAACCAGAAGGTCACACATTTATGAACATGTACTAATGTTATTGAATTTACTTTGATTTTAGTAACACATGTTTAAATAACATAAATTTATTAAGATATAGTCATATTAAAATATACCCAGAGGAGTATATTATCGATTGGTCACAGTGATAATGTGTCATTTATTACAAGCAGTTCGTGCTGTGAACATCACCTGGACAGTCGAAATTTGTCAAATGAGATTATAAACATAAGCAGTAATATACAGTTGTAATGATTATACAATTTACATACATGTATACATAATAACCGAATTTGTTATTTGTCATTATTTGCCGGGAATATACAAATGTATTCCCTTATTTAACTGCTATTTCCTGAGGCCTATTTCTTACAACATGGACATTAAATTGAAAAGATATATGAAGATGTGGTATGAGTGCCAATGAGACAACCTTCCATCCAAGTCAAAATTTATAAAAGTAAACCATTATAGGTCAAAGTACGGTCTTCAAGAATACTAATTTATTAAAGTCATTAAATGATTTTGAGCTTTAAATGTTCAAGTCAAAACTTTAATTTAATACAAAATTATAAATATTGGACTCTTTCTTCAATTATCAGAAAAAAAACATGAGAAAACACAATAGAGAACGAAGCCGACCAATACACAAAAAATACACAATTAGAAAATAAAAAGCTATTTACATTTTTTTGAGTGAACATTTTCATTTTATCTTGAATGAATTTAAAATACACAACGGCTAAGGTTTATGTATTTACTCATGGATTTGACAACTATAATTGGACATTTTATTCGTAAATCGTCGTTTTTTAGCATCTTACTATGCAGCAACGGATGAAGACTTAAGGAGACCTTTTATGTTTATGGCTGTTTGCACAATATTCTTTAACTGTTATAAATTTCGATGTTTTTTACTCACGAACTAATGAAATAGCCTTTAGTTTATGGTCAAACGGACCCCACTATATTACTTCATATTATATTTTAGAAACAGATCCTCTAGTTTATAGACAAATTGATCCCCGGATATTACTATGTATATATTTTATTTGACAAAAGAAGGAGCCTCAAGTTTATGGACAAATGGACCTTCTTATTTTACTATATTTTTAATTTGTGAAAATAAGGGCCTCTCATTTGTAGACAAACGACCTCAGATGTTGCTATTTGAAGAGGGATCCTCCATTTATAGACATATGGATCCCCAGAGATTTCTATGCACTGTACTATGCAGGATATGTTTACTGGTGATTGATTTTCAAGATATTCTCCCCAGTTCTATTGACTTTGAGATATTGATTTTCTTCTGTCAAGGCATCCATTTGTGAACATTGTCACATAACCATATGTGTGCCATTTCATTGGGGATGACCTAATTTTAATGTTGCAGTGCAGAATTCTTCATTGAACTTCCTCTTTGATTTTATATATTTATTCTAGAATGGCTATATGAATAATATAAGCAATATGATTCAGAATAAACCACAATTAAATATTTATGTATCATATTCCTAACAAAATAGATTAATTAATTATGCAAGATAAACTTTCCATACAAGACATATAGGGTTTCCCTTTCCATAGATGACTAAAGCTACTAAGTACTAAGTGTAGGATGCTGATTTACAGGTACAAATACATGTTATTATTGAATTCCTCCTGCAAAATGAAATGCCCTTTTTAACAGGGATTTTGGTCAATAAATTTGGATAAAATTGGGTTAAACTTCTTACTAAAAAATAAGATTGACAAAGTATTATTTTGAGGACCAGTAAATTTCGCAAGCGGGAGAAAATAATTTTAACGTCAAATTATGATTTGACTCATGAAAATGCTCTATTTATACTATCACTAAATAGATTTGTAGACAGATGAAGGTTAACTGCAAATTTAATTGCATATAAAGGTTAACATATATGCATGAATAAGGAAATATTTATAATGATATCTACTGCCACACCAGGGATTGAAAAACGAACCCCCAAACCTGCCTAAATTGTTCATAAGCAGTAAACTACAGAAATAAAAAAATAAGAGGAAAAAAAATTTAATAACAGCTTTTATATGAAAAAACTACAAGGACAAAATGAGTAAAAGGGAGTAAGCCTTTTTGCTGTGAAAGGAATTATTAGAAAAATTATTATTCCTGTTGACAGTGGTATGGACATTGAATCTGTGTTAGGTTATATTCAGTGGTAGGAATGTATGGACATTGAATCTGTGTTAGGTTATATTCAGTGGTAGGAATGTATGGACATTGAATCTGAGTAAGGTTATATTTATATTCAGTGGTAGGAATGTATGGACATTGAATCTGTGTTAGGTTATATTTATATTCAGTGGTAGGAATGTATGGACATTGAATCTGTGTTAGGTTATATTTATATTCAGTGGTAGGAATGTATGGACATTGAATATGTGTTAGGTTATATTTATATTCGGTGGTAGGAATGTATGGACATTGAATCTGTGTTAGGTTATATTCAGTGGTAGTAATGTATGGACATTGAATCTGTGTTGGTTATAATAGCTGTAATTGAATCAATTCTATGTTTTCCCAACAGTTTTTTGTTCTGCTGTGTCTGTTGTTGGACAAAGTGTTAATATGTCCATTGTGGGTGTGCATCTGAGGTTTCAATCATTATTTAATCAACTTTTCCAATTGATTATATATGATTATCTCCCTTGGTTGACATTGATCTGTTTATTCAGAGGAAGGAATAAAAGAATGGATGGAAGTCTCGAGAGAGTTTGACTTGATTAAAAATGACAATAGAGAGAAAATGACATGTTTGATTGTGAATATTTGTGTTTGATTGAGTGTAGACAAGTAATGATTCATAGATTTTTCTAAAAATCAATATGAAACTGATGATTTTGTGTATGCATATTATTTTGTGTAATGTTTCACATTGAGTGATCTGAGGAATTTATTGGAAAATCAACAAATACAGTGAAATGCATTTCTGTTTTGACTTTGGTGTTCTATGGAAACAAGGAGATACATAATATTAACTGTAATCACAGGAGAATTTGTGCAGTGTTTAAATATTTGTAAACCAGATTGCAAATGCTTAGTGTTCGATGATATCTATTTATTAAGGACTTAAATAAACTTGTTGTAGAAATTTCTAGAATTTGATTGTATTGACTTTGTTGAGCAAAAAACTGGAAGTGATGTATAGGATATTTGATTAAGCAATGACTGACTCAACAGATAGTGATTAAATGCAGACAAGTTGTCATTGTATTTCAAATCTAAAGCAAATTACAACAGTCTTTTAGTATTTTAGTGTATTTTCCTAGAAATTTGACTAGGAACAGGAAATTCACCAAAAGAGAAAAGGGAGATAATGAACATTTTTTAGAATATTTTAAGTGACTTGTCATATTATGGTTGCTGTTAAACTTCAGTCACAGGATCAGTATAATTTGTTAGATAGTTCATCTTCAATATCACAGGTAAGTCTTTGGGGGTGATGACAGTTTGTATGTGACATTGTTTATCTAGATAAGTGGCCTCTGTTTAGATAATCAGGTTGTGACTGCTTCAAATTGTTATCTTGATAAGAGGCCTCTATCTAGATAATGTGATTGTGACTGCTTCAAATCCTTATTTAACAGGATAAGTGGTCTCTATCTAGATAATCTGGTTGTGACTGCATCACGTTGTTACAAATGGTTTTACCATTCATCTTCAAATTAAGATTGATCAAGTTAAAAATACAATGTATATGATATTTAAATTGAAAAATTCTGACCTTCTTATGAGTTTCTAAGGGTAAAATCACACCTATGAATGAGAGACTATGGATAAAATCTTGCCTATAAATGAGTGACTAAGGGTAAAATCATAAAATCTTACTTATGAATGAGTGATTAAGGGTAAAATCTTACCTATGAATGAGTGACTAAAGGTAAAATCTTACCTATGAATTAGTGACTAAGGTTAATTTCTTACATTTGAATGAGTGACTAGGGTAAAATCTTACATTTAAATGAGTGACTAGGGTAAAATCTTACCTATGAATTAGTGACTAAGGGTAAAATCTTACATATAAATGAGTGACTAAGTATAAAATATTACCTTTGAATGAGTGACTAAGGGTAAGATCTTACATTTGAATGAGTGACTAGGGTTAAATCTAACCTATGAATGAGTGACTAAGGGTAAAAACTAACATATGAATGAGTGACTAGGGGTAAAATCTAACCTATGAATGAGTGACTAAGGGTAAAATATACTCATGTTTATCTTTAATTTAATAACAAACATTTAATGGTATATTCATACTGCTTGTAAGAAAACAATATTTGTCCTATCTATTGTTTTACCTGTGAGCTGACTTGTGGAATATAGAATTTAGAAGGTCTTATTAATTAAGATAGTTCTGTCTTGAAGTTTGCATTATGAGCAGTTACTTTATGTTTTATCAATATAATGACAATATTTTTATCTTTCAGGGTTCTGCTGATTCCAACTACAGTCAAGACTCAGACATTTCACTTCAGGACGACAGAGAGGCCCTCAGAAGGGAAACCACAAGGCAGGCTTTGGAACAACTGACAAAAGCAAAGGTGAATATCATTGAAATGCTCATTTTGTGTAAATTTACTGTTTATAAAATGTGGAATTTTTGGAAACGATTAAGGTTTTTCCTACCCCCAGGCATTCCTAGTCTTATTTGACTTTTTGGTTTCTGTTTCTCCTTGTTTAGGGATTACAATCCTGCAGTGGAGTAAACAATTTTTATAAAACAATGGTATATTCATACTGCTTGTAAGTATAATATAAGTATGGTTTTTTGTCTCGCCTTGACGGAGTTAAAAAGCGAGACATAGATATGCTGTTTCCGGTGTTGGTGGCGGCGACGGCGGTGGTGACAATGTATTAGTTTGTGATTAGGTCTAGTTCATGGTGAACCACTAGTGGTAGGTCAATGATATTTGGTATGCAGTTGTATTAGCATTGGCACATCTCATTACCATGGAGATTATTTGGCCCTGATTAGGTCAATTTATGGGGAACCACTAGTGGTAGGTCAATGATATTTGGTATGCAGTTGTATAAGCATTGGCATATCTCATTTCCATGGAGATTATTTGGCCCTGCCCCCTTAGTCATGGTCTATAGACTTTGAAAATTTTGCTAAGTTAACATGTATTAGTTTGTGATTAGGTCAGTTCAAGGGGAACCATTAGTGGTAGGCCAATGTTAATTGGTGTTCAGTTGTATAAGCATTAGCACATCTCATTTCCATGGAGAATATTTGGCCCCTCCCCCTCAGTCATGGTCTATTTACTCTGAGCTTTTGCTTAGTTTACATGTATTAGTTTGTGATTAGATCAGTTTAAGATGAACTGCTGTTAAGTCAATGATATTTGGTATGCAAATTTATTGGCATTTGCAAGTATTATTTCCAGATTTGGAGATTATATAGCCCCACCCCTGATCATGGTTCATTGACTTTGAAATTTTTACATAGTTTACAAGTTAATGTTTGTGTTTAGGTTAGTTTAAAGGGAACGACTTATAATAAGTCAATAGTATTTGGTATGCAGTTGTATTAGCATTGGCACATCTCATTCCATGGAGATTGTTTAGCCATGTACCTTCAGTCATGGTTCATCGACTTTGAATATTTGCATAACTTACATGTTAAAGTATTGCTATTTTAATTTCAACATTTGCATTATCAAAATTACAAAAAGGGGAGACATATCTCTGTGATAACAGTTTATTTGTCATGTGAGTTTCTCACTTATTATGGGTAATTGGACAATAATAATATTTGACTGCATTTCATGGATTAGTGATCAAGGTAAAAGTTATGTTATTAGGTCCATTTATCAGATACTATAAGCAGTAGGTCAACTATATTTGGTGTATGGAATTATTGTAATGTGCACATGTCATTCTCCAGTTTTCATCTGACCATGATCTCCTTTTTATGGTTCTTTGATCAATGTTAAGTTTTTTGGTTTGGTCTAGATACTATAAGCAATAGGTCAACTATATTTGGTGTATTTTATAATTATAAGGTGAACATGTCTTTCTGGCAGCATTCATTTGACTTTTACCTCATTTCTATGGTTCATTGGTCAATGACAATGTTAATTTTCCTGGTTATGTCTGTTATAGATATATATATATATTATATCGGTGGCCAAGTGGTGTAAGTAGTCCAACTACTGTATCACTAGCCTGTCAATACTGAGATGGTGAGTTCTGGCTTCCTCCACCAATAAAAACTGTCTGTCACGAATTAGCCAATAGTGCTGAAAATGGCATTAAACATCAATCAATCAAACAACTATATCTGGTGTATGAATTATGTCAAGGTGAACATATATCTGTCAGGCATGTATTGTCTGACCAATGCCCATTTTTAATGGTTCATTAGTCAATGTTTTTTTTTGTTTCCTGATTTTTTTTCTAATTTTCATTGAGTTGCTCAAATTTCCCTGTCAATAATTATATCTCCTATTTTTACTTCCTGTTGGGTATAACATGGCTACAGATTTTGAATCATCAGGTATAATTATAAGTCCTATCTACTGTATTTTGTTTCATTATGTTCAATAAGACCACCAAGGACGTGTCCCATTAATGACTTTAAAAAATTGTCCTTCAGTGGTAGTCTACCCACATTTTGAATCATACCTATATATAGCTACATGTTTATGAATTGAATATGCATAACAAATATTTATAACTGTGATTGGAATATGCATTGAATATTTGTTACTGTGATTCAAATATGCACTAAATATTTGCTACCGATTGGAATATGCATTAAATATTTGTCACTTTGATTCAAAATACGCATTAAACATTAAGCAAACACCAATCCGTAGGTCTAAGTTATTGTAGGTTTTTATTTTATTTTTAAAAATTTTGCGGTCGTATATTGGTATGACGTTGGCGTCGTCGATGTCGTCCGAAGACACATTGGTTTTCGCACTCTAACTTTAGTTTAAGTGAATGGATCTCTATGAAATTTTACCATAAGGTTCAATACCACAATAGGAAGGTGGGGATTGATTTTGGGGGTTATGGTACCAACAGTTAAGGAATTAGGGGCCAAAAAGGGGACAAAAATAAGCATTTTTGTAACTTCCAGACATAACTTGTGTGTTAGTGTATGGATCTCTCTGACATCGTACCACAAGGTTCCATATCACAAAGGGAATGCTGGGATTGATTTTGGGGGTACTTGCCTCAAAATTTTAGGAATTAGGGGCCCAAAAAGGGGCAAAAAACAAGCATTTTTCTAGTTTCATGACAATAACTTGTGTGTAAGTGTATGGATCTCTCTGACATTGTACCACAAGGTTCCATATCACAAAGGGAATGCTTGGATTGATTTTTGGGGTAATTGCCTCCAAATTTTAGGAATTAGAGGCCAAAAAGGGGCAAAAAACAAGCATTCTTCTAGTTTCATGACAATAACTTGTGTGTAAGTGTATGGATCTTCATGAAATTGTACTACAAAGTTCCATTTCACAAAGGGAAAGCTGGAATTGAGTTTGGGGGTAATTGCCCAAAACGTTAAGGAATAAGGGGCCAAAAATAAACATTTTTCTAGTTTCCAGACAATAACTTGTGTTCAAGTGTATGGATCTCTCTGAAATTGTACTGCAAGGTACCATACCACAAAGTGAAGGCTGGGATTGAGTTTGGGGGTGATGAATCATAAGGCGGTTCAAAAAATTTGGGGGGGGGGGGATTTTTTTTTTGTTTTTTCTTTAAAATTTTCCATTTTTAATTGGTTATTTCTGATTTATATATAAAAGCAAATAATAATGATATGGTTTGAATAGGTAAATTAAAATTTTTTAAGTTCTTAGACCACATTCATTCTGTGTCAGAAACCTATGCTGTGTCAAATATTTAATTACAATCCAAATTCAGTGCTGTATCAAGCTTGAATGTTGTGTCCATACTTGCCCCAACTGTTCAAAAAAAAGTGAACAATATAAACAAAACATTTTCCACCTTATAACTTTTTTAATTGTAGACAAAACCAGTTGCTTTTGCGGTTCGTACCAACGTAGCATACAATGGCTCGGGTGATATGGATTGTCCAGTACATGACCACCATGTTAATTTCGATGTTAAAGATTTCTTACATATAAAAGAGGTAAATAATGTTTACATGTTCCTTCAGTATGCAGTAACTAATAAATGTGATATATCTTTAACAAATCTTAGCTTCATTTATTTTGGTCAGCTGTTAAGAATGAAATCTTAATTGTTTGGTATTTCTTGGCTCATACCACTGCCATTACATAACTATTATCATCCCTCATTAAATAGTGACTTTTGTATGGTTTAATTGCCTTAATCTGCAAATTTTGGCTGATAAATTATTTGTAAATTTTATTGAAAGCAAAGTGTATAAGTTCCTTTCCATAATCATTGACTAATAATGGTTATATAACTATAAAACTGTGTACAGATATGGATTAAGCAGCACACTGCTAATGCTATGTGTATGTTGTAAATTGTTCAGGGTTCTCTTATCAGAGCATTAACTTATCCTACTGCACCTGAACTGGATGTACTCTATTATAGAAATCAATAACATCACTGTTTCAGCCATTGTTAACTAATTATTGATTCTCAGACACAGTCTGCACTTCATTACATGTACATAACAGTTGTGTGTATTGCATTAAAGGCATACACATATATAATATTACACATTTAAAAAAATTAATAAAAAAACAGTAAAAGCTGTGCATGATTATTTATTACATATATGAATAAAAAATGAACATTCATGAAGCAGCAACCCAATCACAAACATTCTAATACTACAATAGTGGATTCAGTATTTGTAGGATACCATTTTTTGTTGATTTGGCAGTATTAGGTCAACCACAAATTTAAATTGTTTGAAGAAGTACAAATTTACCAAACGATATGTAGACTTTGGCAAAATGAAATCAAATATATCTAAAAATACATTTTTCCTAATCCACAAAAATTGGTACCCACAAAAATAAATGAATTCACAGTAATAGAAAAGACACCTAGTGGAGCCAACTCCATACATTTTTCCATATAGCATGTCCAGAAAATTTTGAATCAATTTTACTTCAATAAAATGCAGCAGTTTTTGTTTAAGATATTTCCTTTTCTTGGATTACATAGCTATGGCGGTGAGGGATGCGCTCTTTGTGTTAAATGAGCCAAACTTTTCCTGATGTATTGCCTATTTATTGACTATATTTCCTAATGACTTCACAGTCAAATTGTGCTATCAGGAATGAGGTAGAAATTACATTTTCTGAAAGCCTTTGTTTTGAAGTTATTTTATTGAAAAATACTACAATGTTTTTTTCTACTGAATTCAAATATTGTAAAGATTTAGACTTTTGACGTAACAACATTAAAAAGCTGATTTTGATTTAGATTTAACTGAAAATGTGTCAACAATGAATCAAATTCTGGAATAGTTTTGCTGAAGGACAACAAAGTAAAAATTGTCATTGTGTATATAGAACCAGCTTGTTTGTTGTAAACTTCACTTACCAGTGTAGATTGAAGATTTTCAAAGTTGCCTTACATTAACATGAACTGTTTATTTTGAGAATTTTCCCTGTCTGACAATGTCTGATGTTAAATTTAACATCATATTCAAGTCATTGATTAAGCTAATAGAGCTGTCAGTTTCAGTTTGAACATAGCATATTATAGATGGCAATGAGAAGATGTTTATTAGTTGATATTGATTGCATCCTCCTGCATTAAGTCTGCACTTGGTTACATATGAATACTGTCCTATGTATTATCATGAACTATTCCAGGCATTCAAGCAAATGTGAATTATTTATTAGGATCGTCAGTTTCATAGAAATTAAATTGAACTGTGTTGTCCTATAATTTTTTTATCTCACTTTGACGGAGTCAAAAAGCGAGACATAGGTATGCTGTTTCTGGCGTCAGCAGCGGCGTCGTCAACAATGTATTAGTTTGTGATTAGGTCTAGTTTATGGTGAAACACTAGTGCCAGTAGTGGTAGGTCAATGATATTTGGTATGCAGTTGTATTAGCATTGGCACATCTCATTACCATGGTTATTTTTTGGCCCCGCCCCCTCAGTCAAGGTCTATTGAATTATGAAACTTTGCTTAGTTTACATGTATTAGTTTGTGATTACGTCAGTTTATGGGGACCACTAGTGGTAGGTCAATGATATTTCGTATGCAGTTGTATAATCATTGGCATATCTTATTTCCATGGAGATTATTTGGTCCCGCCCCCTCAATCATGGTCTATTGACTTTGAAACATTTGCTTAGTTGATATGTATAATTTGGGTTTAGGTCAGTTTAAGGGGAACCGTTAGTGGTAGGTCAATGATAATTGGTATGCAGTTGTATAAGCATTAGCACATCTCATTTTTATGGAGAATATTTGGTTCTTACTCCTCAGTCATGGTCTATTGAATTTGAAACTTTTGCTTAGTTTACATGTATTAGTTTGTGATTAGGTAAGTTTAAGATGAACCACTAATGTTAAGTCAATGATATTTGGTTTTCAAATGTATTGGCATTTGCAAGTTTCATTTCCATGTAGATTTCTATAGCCCCACCCCCTCATCATGGTTCATTGACTTTGAAATTTTTACATAGTTTACAAGTTAATGTTTGTGTTTAGGTTTGTTTAAAAGGAACGACTTATGAAAAGTCAATGGTATTTGGTATGCAGTTGTATTAGCATTGGCACTTCTCATGTCCATGGAGATTGTTTAGTCATGGTTCATTCACTTTGAATATTTGCATAACTTACATGTTAAAGTATTGCTATTTTAATTTCAACATTTGCATAATCAAAATAACAAATAGGCGAGACATATCTCTGTGTTAACAGTTTATTATATATAATTGATGATATGATAGCTATGCATTTTATGCCCCACCTACAATAGTAAAGGGGAGTATTACTATTATATTTTCTAGGCTGTGTGTCCACTCATCGTCTGTCCTAGTGTAAAGTTTTAGTTTAAGGTTGTTAACCATGAAGTTATGGTCACAATCAACTTAAAACTTTCTACACATATTCGTTATGAAGTGACCTTTATAGAATATATGCCATATTACAGTTTAGACCAAGATTCCATGGTTAATTGCAGATGAAAATATAATGTGAGCTGGGCATGGTTTCATATGGACTCATCTTCTTGTTTTTATAAATTAAAAAGTAAAGCAATAACTTCATTTTTTATTAGAAATTTAACAATGAATGGTGGATAGGTCGTCTGGTAAAAGAGGGTTGTCCTGTTGGATTTATACCAAGTCCTGCCAAACTAGAAAATATGAAAGTTCAACAGCAGCCTGGAACAGCCGGTGGACGTGGTGCAAAACTTTACACAGCGTAAGATTCATAGAAGAGCTTTATGACAAAATATTAGTTTTTAAGAAGAAATTATGTAAATCTTAAGTGGTTAAAAGAAAGTAAATAAGGACTGCTGGTGCCACCTAGTTTTCACATCTAAAATAATAGCAAAAGATATTGATTTGATATTTGTTATATTGTTTAACTACTACAAGTTATAGATCAAGTTCGATTTTTGTTCTGTTCAGATGATTTTTTTGCATGCAAATGGTCCTTGGAAAATAATACATGCAAGTTGGGGAGGGTTGAGATCTCACCAAACATATTTTAACCTCTGCCGCATTTTTGGGCCTGTCCCAAGTCAAATTTTAATTTTGTTCCAATACATTGAATTTTTTACCAGTAGGGCATTATGTATTGCCATCCAATACTATCAGAGTGCTTGTTCATCATATTATTCAATTTAAAATTAGTGAATAAAAAAATGATACTATTGTTGCTAAAGAAATCATAGGTGTCAACCCTCTATATTTTGGAGATCTTCATTGGGGCTAATTTTCTCTTTCTGTTACTATTAATACTATTTTATGTTGTTTTCCTTATTACTTTAATTGGTAAATGAAAGAGACTTCATATTGAAAACATGATTGTAGAATATGTAGTCATATTAAATGCAACGTTTCCAAAATTAGTAGTATTCTTAGATGAGTCTTATACTTGGGCATTCATCCAAGCAAACTAAAAAATTTTGAAAATTATGAATTAAACAAGTATATAACTATGTGTTTCCTAGAAAAGCTCTTCATGATAGCATTTTGATTTTCATTTATCTAATAGTTATAAAAAATGTGAGCTTGTATTTTTTCAGTAAAAACCCTTCGTCGTCTAATATAGAAAGTTTATTAGGTGGTGGAGGAACCAACCCATCTAATTCACGTGGCTCAACTCCTCCCACACCAGATTTAGGGGTGATTGGGATGGACACAGAAAATGGGATGGATGGAGGACAGAGTACAGTCGATGACAGTGATAGTGTCGGAAACTCTAAACAGTCCAGCAGTGTAACGCCTCCTAGTGGCAAGGAGAAAAAGAAACCATTTTTCAAAAAGGTAAAACAGATATTTTTCGTAATGAAAATCTATTTTATAGAAAAATGGAGAAGTAGAGGTAAATGAAACAATGAAACCTTTGTCTAACACTGAATAAACCTCTTTTAACCAACCTATGTTTGTCAAAACTCAGAGCATATTTTCTACAAATTAATTCAGTCTAAACATTGTTGACATAAACATAATCTTTCGTGCTAAAGTAATTTGGGTTTAGAATGTTTGAGTTTTGTGTAAGTATTATAAGATACACCCCTGATGTTGTTAAATTGATAGGATATATCTTTGTTTACACAATGGTAGTTTGGTTTAATACAAAATGATAGCTTTTTTTAGTAGTACTGAAGCACAATTTTGTACAGTTGTTTTGTTTCATATATAAAAAAGAAGATGTGGTATGATTGCCAATGAGACAACTCTCCACAAAGGACCAAATGACACAGAAATTAACAACTATAGGTCACCGTACGGCCTTCAACAATGAGCAAAGCCCATACTGCACAGTCAGCTATAAAAGGCCCCGAAATGACAATGTAAAACAATTCAAACGAGAAAACTAACGGCCTAATTATGTACAAAAAATGAACGAAAAACAAATATGAAACACATAAACAAACGACAACCACTGAATTACAGGCTCCTGACTTGGGACAGGCACATACATACAGAATGTGGCGGGGTTAAACATGTTAGCTGGATCCCAACCCTCCCCTAACCTGGGACAGTGGTGTAACAGTACAACATAAGAACGAACTATAAAAATCAGTTGAAAGAGGCTTAACTCATCAGATGGATAAAAATACAAATACTACAAATACAAGTGGACGTGGGCGGGTACTTGTACATCCAAACAACAAAAAGACACTAAGTACAGATCTGAGAGTACTCACAGTTACTGACAGCTAGTTCTAAGCCACTAACAACTAATAAAAAAAATCATGCATCTAAGACTAAATTATCAATCCGTACACATCCAACATCCAATGGATTTAGTGTAAAGATATGCATATTATTTTTGGTGAAAATTGGAGAACTTCATAAACTTTGTGAAACATCTTTCTGTGTTTGGATTTTAGTGAAAATTGATATATTATTGTTATATAATTTGCTGTTCCAAATTGATTCATGATATAATAAAGTATGTGCTCATTATTTGTTTGAAAAATGGGGAAAAAACATCTATTTGTGCTAGGAACTAAAATTGATTTATTGCATGGTGTAATGTGCTATGCCAAATTGATTCCAAGTGTTAAAAATTATCCATCTGTTGCCATTTTCTAAATGGCCTCCAAAAGCAAAATACAGGTACATATTCAAAGCAATCTGATTTCAACAAAATTTCATATTTACGAGGAACAAAAGATCTTGAATGAATTTACTTTGAAAGCAATTGGTCATTTGTTTAGTTCACAGTTCTATAAATATAATTTAACATCAAAGGAGTCAAGTGATTATCTGTGGTATTTCAATGAGTGATTCTATCAGGGACAATTGAATGACTGTCATCATTAAAACATATATCCACCACTGTATAAGAAGGATTATGAAATAATTGTGTACTGTAGAGACTTAATTGGCAACTCTTTAATAATTGAAAATAATAGTAAAAGATGTCTGAACATGTATGACTGTAAGAAGATGAGATATGAAATCAACTACTAAATATTAAAGTTTGATGTTTAATCAATTATTTTTGAAAGATTTAGAACTCTAAATAGACTTTGTTACATCTAGTCATTCATTTGACAAATGTTATTTATTTTTCGGTTTGATTGTATTCCGCCATATGAATTAGTGCATAGTACTAGTAGGGCCTTCATTCAAGGGATATTATTTGTTTTTCAGTCTGATAGTATTCCACCGTATGAAGTAGTGCCTTCTATGCGACCTATAGTACTAGTAGGGCCTTCATTAAAGGGATATGAAGTAACTGATATGATGCAGAAAGCTTTATTTGATTTTCTCAAACATCGGTTTGAGGGCAAGTAAGTACTCTATTGAGGTTAAAAATTGACTGCCTTATTTATTTTAAATAAAATCATGACAGATATACTTAGGAATGATTCACTTAATAAAGATTAGTTCTTCATTAGATTTTAATGTATTTTTATGCAATCCTTAACATTATTATTATCAGTGATATTTAATACTGGTTCCCTCCCAACTAAAAGAGTTATGTGCGCGTAAATTATACACAATAGTTGTAAAATTTGAATATAATAAAGGCAACAGTAATTTACAAATGTTCAAATCTCATAAATTCATGAAGAAAATAAAATAATAGATAAAAAAATAAAATAAAAATACAAAATGAACTAATCAAATGAACTCCACAAGGCGTGACACTGGTTGCATTAACAGGGTAAGCATCTCTGTATGCCTGCCATGTGAATTCACACTCAGGCAAAATGTTTTAATCAGATTGTCAGAGAAACATTAGAAGTCACAACTTTCAGAAAGTAGTTTATAGAATTTCATACCTATTAATACAATTAATCGGATTATTAAAGGACATACATGATTGAAATAAGAAGATTTAACTTTCTTAAAATAAGTATAAATTATATACTTGCTTAGATCACAGTACTGGATTCATTTATTTTGGTGGGTTCAAATTTCATGGATTGATGAAAACTTTCTTGGATATTTGATTTCGTGATTTTAACAATGTTTGCATACATTCCTATAGTAATTTGTAATTCGTTGAACATTTCAATTCATGGATCCCCTGTACCCACAAAAAATTTTTATCCAACAAATAATAATGAATCCACAGTATCCTATATTGCTATGAATTTAAAATATGTAAATGAGATATCATCATAGTTGCCAACCTCTGACAATGACAAATCATGTCATGACATGACATGACATGTCAAAAAGCGTGTGAAAACGCGTGAAGTAGATGCAGACTTTTTAATATGAACATTATACAAATTTGTTAATATAAAAAAACAATATTCTACTGTAAACTTTTATTGTATTCAACAGTGGCTTGTTTACAACACAACTAGCTAGGCACATATTTAAAACAACTTCCAGTTTGGTTAACTTTACATGATAACAATGCACACAATATATCATTGTTGAGTTCTGATTTGAATTCAATGTAAATCTTCTTTATAATTGAAAATGCTCTCTCACAGTCAGAATTGCTATTTGGCAGAACTAAAATAGCTTTAGCAAGCTTTGAAAGAATGTCATAATGTTTTTTGTCAGTAAAAATGTCATCTATGTCTGCCCAGAATGTTGCTATTCCCTGGTCAAAGCTCTTTTGGCTAGATTTGAAACTGAAAAAGAAAAATATTTTATTTAATTTGAATACCATTGAATTCTTTATCAAATAGCTAGTTATCCTCTTGCACATATTGTTATGATTGCAAATTGTTGATAATGTTTAAGATGCATAATTTGTTATTGATATGCCCTTAATAATAGTCCTTTGATTAGGAAAATAAACATATTTGATTTGATCATTTTCTTTTATCCATTTAAACTCGGACTCCCAACTTTTTTGGTACGTAAACACGTATAGTTTTCGCTTATCACTCTGCTCTTTAGACGACGGTACAGGTTCAGAAAGCAACCTCTTTCTGCTGGACATTTCCCCAAAGTGAATTTAAAAAAAAAGAAAGTCACTAAACCTTAAAAACTTCTCACAAACTAACCTGAAGGGCTTTTGTTGTTCGTCAATATCGAAAAATAAACAACGAATACTTCGAAATTTTTTGTATTTATCGTCTAATTATGAAAAAACCTGAGAATCGCGATATCACAAACAACCAAAAAATCAAAACAACAGAGCGTGTAATGGCATGCAAAGTGGTGAAAAGCATGTACACACCATGTGACAAAATCTTTGTGTGTAAACCATTGAAAAAGCATGTATTACACGCGAATATCACGTGAGTTGGCAACTATGGATATCATGAGTATGTGGTTACAGCTTGATTATCTCTATCTTTGAAGTCTTAACATTTGATTGAAAATTATTTTTTTTCATTTATTTTTGTTTTTCAGAATCATCATAACTAGAGTATCTGTAGATATATCTTTAGCTAGAAAATCAATAGTTAACAAACCAAATAGGGTACTCGGTACTGGTACCAATAAAATGACTGCTGTAGGTAAGTCACTTAATAACCAAATAGGGAACCAGGTAATAGTACCAATAAAATGACTGCTGTAGGTAAGTCACTTAATAACCAAATAGGGAACCAGGTAATGGTACCAATAAAATGACTACTGTAGGTAAGTCTACATGACAGCAGTCATTGTTTACCGTGTCTATATAACCAACAAACAAAATTTTGTGTAGGTCATGATAGCCATGCCAACATCATTGACATACCAAATGGGATTCTTGTCCCAATAAAATTGTAAAGGTGGGTAGACATTTCTTTTATGTCATTTCTAAGATATTGAAGCACTTCCCTTGCAAGTTAGTAATTATAGCAACACAAACATTATTAAATGGCTATAAACATGATAAAGAGTGGGTATAAAAAAACTAAAATAAACAAAAGCAATAAACCAGAAAAAAACGATCTTTCTTATATTGATGATTTTGTACTCAGGAGACATGGTCCTGGAACAACTTTCTCCTCAAATATTATGGAGAGGGTTAACGTTTAAGATGGACTTATCACCAAAATGGTCTAAACAGAAAGCTGGTAACCGTCAAAGTGTAAAATTTGAAAACATATAAATCTGTTAAAAAGTGAAATACAATATATGCAATAGAAACTTTGGAATGATTTTAAACATTGTTTTGTTTTTTTTATTGTATAATATATAGATAATAAATATGAATTGTAATGTTTTTTTTCAGGCGAGGTTCAGGAAGAAATTGAAAGAATTTTCGGCTTATGTAGACAACTACAATTAGTAGCATTAGATTGTGACACTATAAACCACCCCTCTCAACTAGCCAAGACTTCATTAGCACCCATTATAGTTTATGTAAAAATAGCTTCACCAAAGGTAAGTCGCATTACTTTTAATTGGGTAAGCATTGATTGGACACCAAGTACAATAGTTTTATACCTACTGTGAACAAAGTTCAGTGTTTATATAGGAATCACTCTCGAGTGTCCTTCTGTCTGTGGGCAAGTTATGTCTGATTCAGATTGATTGCCTTTAGGGATTTCAATGATACTTGGTATTTGGTATAATTGTTGCCATTCACTACTATCTAAAAGGTCACTCATGCTTCAATTTTTCATCCCCGTATTCAAATTCCTACTCAAAACTTTTGAATGTCTTAAATATTAATGATACTCTGTATTATTTTTGAAAAAAAGACTTATGAAAAAGTGTTTATTTTGAATATCAGGAGAGAACATTTGGATCTGAAATATATGATTTTCATACTTTATAACTAAATTACCCAGTTTTTATAAGTGAATGACAAAAGATTTTTAGTGAAGTTTTCTTACAAAACTGGATATTATTATTAACATGGCCGCTTTAATCCTATAGAGAGACAGGGCTCTTATCATAATTTTTTAAGGAAAACTTGATATACAGGAAAAATGGAGAAGAAATAATATTTCCATACAAGTGTCTGGCATAATCTGTTTACACAGATTTGTTTTTAAAATGTTCTAACAGTATGTAGTGTTATTTATAGAAATGATGCAACTTGTAAACATCATTACATTTGGATATATTGGACATCAGACTGTATAAGTGATAATCACAGTGAAAAATTCATTTCTTTGATATATTTTTAGTACATGTATACACTTTCATAACCCTGGTTCATATAGCCAAGATTTCAACCAAGTAGTAACTGATGATACTTTTATATTTCAGGTATTACAGCGATTAATCAAATCTCGTGGGAAAGCCCAGAGTCGTAACATGAATGTTCAGCTGGTAGCTGCAGATAAGTTAAACCAGTGTAGTTCTGTAAGTACTCAGAGTTAATCATTGATATAAAAATAAGGAGATGTGGTATGATTGCCAACAAAACAACTATCCACCAAAGTTCAAATGAAGTGGATGTAAGCAGTTATAGGCAACCATTCAGCCTTCAACAATGAGAAAAAACCCATACCAAACCCAAACATGTCAGTTTTGATAGATTGTTTATTCTTATGGAGAATAGATGACCATAACTGATTAGTGCAATGATTTATTTTCATTTGTTATTTTATTTTGGTTTATTCTGGGTAAGACAAAAAGCAAACATGAAGGTTTTACCTGTGAATAACAATACTGTCTAGAAATTTTTTTTTCTTCACAATTTTGTCAATTTTCAAAGCTTGAAAGTCAGGTTTTATTATAAGTTTTGGAGAAAGAAAGTTGCAGTTTTAAGCAGAGTTATTTGAGTTGAAATTTCAACAATCAAGAATATTTACTTTGTTTAGGATCTAATAACTTGTATTTTAATCATGAAAACTAATGTTAACATAGGAAAGCAGCCATGGTCATGAAAAAGAAAACATAGATCTTTACATAAATTTACATTTGCTGGCTTCCATTACCTTTTAACCTAAAGAAGATCTTTTTAGACATTTAGATTAACGTTTTTTGGCTTCCATTACCTTGTAACCTAAAGAAGATCTTTTTAGACATTTAGATTTACATTTGTTGGCTTCCATTACCTTTTAACCTAAAGAAGATCTTTTTAGACATTTAGATTTACATTTGTTGGCTTCCATTACCTTTTAACCTAAAGATCTTTTTAGACAAAATGTTATAACAGTTGTAATGAGGAATTAAATGTTTAAATTATGTTTCTGTCAAGTGACAAATTGTAAAATGACATGTGTAGACATCAAGATAAGACCTTCAGCTGGCCCACAAACAAATATTAGTCTTACCCAGAATAAACCAAAATAAAATAACAAATGAAAATAAATCATTGCACTAATCAGTTATGGTCATCTATTCTTCATAAGAATAAATCTATCAAAACTGACATGTTTGGGTTTGGTATGGGTTTTTTCTCATTGTTGAAGGCTGAATGGTTGCCTATAACTGCTTACATCCACTTCATTTGAACTTTGGTGGATAGTTGTTTTGTTGGCAATCATACCACATCTCCTTATTTTAATATTGATTCACTTATAGGGTCTTTGCATCGGAATTAAACATATTTATTCTAAAACCAGTTGTTGGCATGACACGGGTTATGTTCTTCTCATATATTTTATGACGGTATAATACTAAACCCCTAACAGGAGGGATTGTGCCTGATATTCATATGATGAAGACATAATCTTTCAATCAGTTTAATTGAGGTCTGGAGCTGGCATGTCAGTAACTGCTAGTAGTCTGTTGTTATTTATGTATTATTGTCATTTTGTTTATTTTCTTTTGTTTCCTATTCTGACATCGAACTCGGACTTCTCTTAAACTGAGTTTTACTGTGCGTACTGTTGTACGTTTGTTTTTTCTACATTGGCTAGAGGTATAGGGGGAGGGTTGAGATCTCAAAAAACATGTTTAACCCCGCCGCATTTTTGCGCCTGTCCCAAGTCAGGAGCCTCTGGCCTTTATTAGTCTTGTATTATTTTAAATTTAGTTTCTTGTGTATAATTTGGAGTTTAGTATGATGTCCATTATCACTGAACTAGTATACATATTTGTTTAGGGGCCAGCTGAAGGACGCTTCCGGGTGCGGGAGTTTCTCGCTGCATTGAAGACCCATTGGTGGCCTTCGGCTGTTGTCTGCTCTATGGTCGGGTTGTTGTCTCTTTGACACATTCCCCATTTCCATTCTCAATTTTATCAAGAAACTGTTTTATAAATTGAAAAAATATTTCTTTCTGAATGTGTATGTGTATTATGATACTTCTGAAATAAAGGAATAAATAATGCACAATTTAATCTTTACATCAACTATTTTGTGTTGTAATAAGGAAAGGAAACATTCAGGAGTAAGGGTTTATGATTTGCCAATTCTGGTATTGCTGGAGATGTAAGATCCCAACAAAAATTGGCTCAGAGAATAATTAACAATTACAGTTCTTGTATCATTTAGTTAGAATGTCAGATATATTTAAAATAAAGCCTACTTGTGATGTTAATAATAAGCTTCAAATTTGGTTATGTCCTTATATAATTTAAGTTGTATTTTATTTGTACTTTCAGGACATGTTTGATGTGATTCTGGATGAAAACCAATTAGAAGATGCATGTGAACATTTAGCTGAATATTTAGAAGTTTATTATCGCGCTGCTAATCCTCCTGATTTGACACCTCATCATACGCCACGTCATCACGGGCACAGCCCTCACTCGCCGACTTCTCTCAGCCGGCATAATACAATGCCTGCCCCACATGGTTCACAACATCATCGTCATTCAATGTCTCCGGAACGTGGACATGATAGACGTGATAGACACTCACATGACCATGATGCAGGACGAACTTACGATAAAATGCATGACCGTGATTTAAGGTCGAATGAACATAGGGAATACGATAGGCGTAGGGAGCATGAATATAAACATGATGACAGGCTTTATAGTGATGAACACGATTCTATAGATCCTAGGTATGGATCACCATCAAGAAACTCTAAGTTTAAACCAATTAAACAAGCCAGTATAGACATTTAACCAATCAATTTTTGTCCGTTTGAATATTCAATTTATCCAATCACCTTGGTTATACTGTTAACCAATCAACTAAGACATGATACATAGCAGACCTAACCAATCAACATGTTTGTTACTGTATAGATATGGAATTGTTATGGAGTAGCACAGCCATTTTATTAACTGATTTCCAATTTAACCAATCAACATTGCTTGTAACTGGATGATTATCCAATCAACAATGACTGAGAGTTATCTCCCTCTTTCAAATAAAATCATGTGATTTTTGAATTTTTTCACCTTTTAACTTATAATATTAACACATGAATGGAAAGTTTTATGCTATGTTTTATTGAGTATGAATGTGTTTTGTATACATGGATAAGAAGTAGTATTTAGTACAGCTGCTGAAATTAAAACATGAAGCCTTCATCCTTTTCAATTTTAGGAAACGCCTAGAAATCGTTTGTAGTTTATACCATAGAAATTCATATATTTTCAGAAATAAATTGGAGAAATGTTCAAATAATTTGAATTGTACCCAGACAATTTATAACCTGCTATCAAGTGTATGGCTATTTAGAATTCTGTTTTTTAAAACCTTTTCTCTGTGAACGGAAAATTTAGCACCATCTCTTACCAAATGTTAGGACGATAAAATATTGATGAGAAAAAAGTTTGTTTTGGTTTACTATCTGTATTTAATTTTGAAAAAATAACATTTATTGAAATTATCTGATTGTCTTTCATGATTCAGAACATCAAAGTATCTGGGGCCTCATGTAAGGATGATAACTTTACCTATTAAGCAAGATGATGACTTAACAATAATATAATTATATACATTAGTAGTCAATTAAAACAATCTGTTGTCAGAATTTTCTGTCATCTGTCTTTTCAAATTTGTAATAAGCAATTGTCTTTTTTTTAAAACAATGATAACTGACTGCAACATTTGAGAATCAGATATTTTAATTTTGTTGGCCTACAGTCAAACACACATTTGCTTGGAAATATTCTTGTCCTTTATACATATATATTTGGAGTTAAATATTGATCTTCTGAGAAGGATGTGAAATGATGCATTTATTATTTTTAAGTTGATAGCATTCAGTTTGTGGAAATATAAGATATATGATTGGCATATGTTTTGTGGTTTTTTTATTGCTTAGGTTTCTTTTTGACTTAAACTCAACTTTGTTCTCAATCACACGACGTTTTTATAAACAGATTACCATTACTGCATAGAATAGTGGAAAAAATGTTTTGCAAAAGTATTTTGAATGTTGATGTAACATTTTACAAGTATTTGGAAAGGATGGAGGCTTTATAAAAATTGATGCATATAAAAATGTATTTGATTTTTAATATTTATTTGATTTAAGAATATTTTTTTCTTCAATTTAATTTATACTGTATGTGCAATAGGTGATCTACACAAAAATGCAATGATTTTTTGATTCTATATATTACTTATGTGCAATCTGCTACCAGTATATGTAAATGTAGGTTTATGTTGCATTACTTTACATTAAAGCAAACTTTGTTTAATTCTTACTAAGAAAGAGTCTACAGGAATGATGCGAAAAACTAGATGAAGTTGAATAATAAACAATTTAGATTAAATGAGACCTAGCCATTTCTAATAAAAAAAAATATTAGGGATTCAACTTTGTTGCAACTGAAAGTAAACTTAGTTTGTTTTCCAAGAAATGAGGCTTTTTGTAGTAGTTTGCATCTAATATTCAATTAAGTAGTTATTTATATTTTTAAATAATAGAGAGGTTGGTAAGGAAATTTGAATCATATTTTTGAAAGAAACATTATCGACAATGTAAGGGTAGAATGTGTACAGATTTATTATGAGCATAATAATAAAGTTTATCATCAGGTATACCCCACATCTTCCATCATACTAATGGCAATTATGAATCTCAGTTCTAATGGTAATTATGAATCTCAATTTTTATAAAGTTGTAATTATAAATCAAAATGATATTTATACTATGATATAACACCCTGATATTTTTTGTTTCTCTATTTTACATGTAAATCATAACATACATGTGATAAACAAGAGATGAATTTATTTAAGCTGTTGGATTCTTTGGTTGTTTTCAAAGATGAAGTCCTTATTGAATATTTACACAATAGCCTACAAATAGAAATATTGGACCTTTTGGCTGAGTGGACTTCATCTGTGAAATTGCTTTAGTCTGTCATCACTTCAAAAGTATGGTTTTAATTTCCCCCCCCCCCAGGTAATTTGTATATACTCGCCAAATATTTTTGGAATACACTGGTCATTCCAAGCATCCTTACTAATAAAACTGACCAGCATGATATTTTACCAACACATTAGAAGTGGGATAAAAACAAAACAAACAGAGATACAATCACTGTTTATAAAAAGCCTATGGGTACTAACAAATAAAAAAAGAGCATTTTGTTGAAAAATGTATCCACAATTTGTAACTTCAAAATATCTTAACTGGTCATGCTTAAGAATTAGTTTTAAAATCTGAGATATCACATGTATGTTAATGAGATAAATATATATATTTCTTGTTTATTGTTATTTTAAGTGCAATATTTTATATACATATTCATTGACCAAATAAAGTTCTGTTATCCTTGGTTTCAGTAAAAACAACAAAGATCAGTCTTCAAAAGGAAATTTGCCATTTTGGTTTTAGGGAAAATTAATAGTATAACTTATTAATGTAAAACAAACTGTTAGTACCAGTGACAAAATTGCATATACTTGAGAAACCTGCTCACAAAATGTCCTGCCTAAATGTTCTTTTTTAGATAATGGACAGTAACAGTGCAACATGGAATTGTATTTAAACATTTCTTATTGGACAAATATTGATTTTAAGAAGATCTCAATAGGAGCAATGTGAAATTTCTACACTAGTATATTTAAACTGTGAAAATAACAGAACCCTGATTTGGTTTAGGTTGTGACCTATATACATACTTAATATTTACTTTGAATTTAATGGTTGTAAGATACTAAAATAAGAAAAGATTTTTTGTATGCTTAATAACTCAAATATATATCAAATTTTAAGAAGAAAAGTATACACAGTTAATGGATTTTTGAAACAAGACATGCATAATAAAACTCCGTATTTTGGGTAGTTTTTTTCACATTTGATAAATAGACATATTTTGTTAAATTGTACAGTATGCATAATTTTGTCTACATTCATACAGTTGTAAGTTTCTCAAATATTTCTTGACCCAATGTTTCTTTAATGAAGACTAACGTCATATAATGGGTGAGGATCAAGGAGGGGATAAGTAGAATTACTCCTATGTTATTTTTTTACTCAGATCCTACAAAGAGATCATGTTTATTTTTTACTTAAATGCACTTAAAACGTTGATATCTTTGTTAAAACCATAAGGGTACAAACATACGAAATCCAAAGAAGAAATCCAGAAACATGAATATTCATGTTGTGTTCTGAAATTGTTGAAAGAAATCCTTAAAGTCTTTACACTAACTAATGTATTTATTTACAAGTAATTTTATTTTCATATGACTATAGGAAATAATTTACATGTAAGATACACAGAAAATCTGTCTCAAAATAGCTGTAATATATAACAGATTTAAATGCAGGTTTATCCATTTTATACTGATTTTACTTTTACTTTAAAAAGTATTAGCGCATATGCAACTGTTTATATGGTCACCTGATAAGTAGAAATTATGACACTTTATATTTCTAGTTGGTAAAAAAATGTGACTAAATTCCTGATCTTATTTTTGTATTTTACATGGGTCATTCTATCAATGGTATCATTAAAGATTACAAAATACTTCAACAAAACATGCAGTTATGTACAGGGTTAAATTTAACAGGTTGTTATTTAGCCGTTTGTTAATCTATATACATGTACATCTGATTGGATGTAAAAAGTTTGGAATCATGTGATGAAACAAAGAATACTCTAAAATTTGAATCCAGAATTATTTTAACATTTTTCTGGAAAACCGATGTGGATGTTCAGCTACATGATTTTAGAATAAAACAAAGAAAATAGAACTTTCATCTTGACAATTATAGATAACCAACAACTAAAGACAATAACTATTTCCTGTTTGTTAATGACATTGTATATTGCAAGGACTTGATATTGGATATTACCAATGACAGAAATCCTTTAGTTTATTTTGCAGAATGTTTGGTTGTTAAAGTGTGTGTAAGGTTGTTCACTAATGTTATATATGAAATCATTTAAGCTTCTACAAACTTGTACAATTTTTCACTCATATTACTCCATTTTTGTTGGATTTGTAAATAAAAACGGATTTTTATCTCCAGATGTGTTCTTTTTACAGTTTTTATCTTGCCAGAGACAAAAATCATTGGAGCGCAGTGATCTGAGGGTTGCAAATACCTAATTATCCTATCAATTTTTGTCTCCTACGTATCCCACATTTTGTATGAAAGTTAAATGAATGCCATCATTGCTTTATGGATTACAAAAAATATTGTCTCTGATGTCTACAGGTAAGCCCCATTTGTCACAGCCACTTTGAGACCTATGGCAAACTTAACTAGTCCACTGAAAACTGAACTTCACAGGAATTATATATATCACAAGAGCACATTGGCAACATTTTGGATCTCTGACTGAATGAAATTAGTTTTGTCTATAGTATTTGTATTGCCTTCTGATGAAGTCGCACAGGAATTTGGTGGGCAGTCTGCTTGCAATAGCTTTCTGTCTGAACCTGTCATTGATTTCCTAATATCAGACTTTCATAGTAACCAACTGGAGAATGTTAGAGAGGATCAACAATCGCTTGTCCTTCAGGAAGATTTGATTTTGTGTATTATTAGAGTGCATGTTTGCCAATTCTTACCTTCTAAGTTACTTAAGAAAGTGCAGAGATATTATAATGCGTACTGTGGATTCATTTATTTTCGTGGAAACAAAAAATTGTATTTATGTGGTTTTGCCAAAGTCATGTGTACCTGCCTTTAGAAAATTTGTTATTCTTTGGAACATTTAGATTCATGGTTCATGTAAATGCACACAAATTGGTGTCCTTCAAATAATAATGAATCCACAGTATGTCTGTCTGTAATTAAATAATTCCTGGTTCATTACATTGTCTCTTCAGCAACAGATGGGTTATACAGTTATCACAATGTTTGTAAAATAACTACCACTTAGGGGTGTTTAACAACCTTGACTACCCACGAGGGTCTTTGTCAAATAATGGATTAATTATTGAGGATAAACGGTAATTTCAATGTCCACATTAAACAGATATGTTCTTTCAAACCATTTTGCATTCATGAATTTAGATAGAGGTAAGTTGATTTATTTGGGACATAACTCCTGATAAAAATAATTGATCACTGCTGATTTTGGCACTCATCTCAGATTGCTCAGAACACTTACAATGCAATTTTTATACGACCGCAAAAAAATTTTTGTGGTCGTATATTGGTATGACGTTGGCGTCGGCGTCGGCGTCGTCGTCGTCCGTCGTCGTCGTCGTCGTCGTGACAATAACTTGTGCTAGTGTATGGATCTTTCTGAAATTGTACTACAAGGTTCCATATCACAAAGGGAAAGCTGGGTTTGAGTTTGGGGGTAATTGCCCTAAACTTTTAGGAATTTGGGGCCAAAAAGGGGCCAAAAAACACATTTTTTTCTAGTTTCCAGACAATAACTTGTGTTCAAGTGTATGGATCTCTCTGAAATTGTACTGCAAGGTACCATACCACAAAGGGAAGGCTGGGGTTGAGTTTGGGGTGATGAATCATAATGGGGGTTCAAAAAATTTTGGGGGGGGATTTATTTTTTTTTCCTTTTTTTTCTTTTTTTCCTTTTTTGTTTCTTTTAAAATTTTCCATTTTAAGTTGGTTATTTCTGATTTATATTTAAAATCAAATAAAAATGATATGGTAGGAGATACACACCAAACAGGTTGTGTAAATTATTATATAATAAGTATTGTGCAATAGCAAGAAATTTTCAATTGCACAGTATTGCACAATAGCAAGAAATCTTCGATTGCACAGTATTGCGCAATAGCAAGAAATCTTCAATTGCACAGTATTGCGCAATAGCAAGAAATATCCAATAGCACAATATTGCGCAATAGCAAGAAATTGTCAATTGTACAGTATTGCGCAATAGCAAGAAATATTTAATAGCACAGGATTGTGCAAAAGAAGATACTTCCTATAAATTGCTTATTTCTTGACCAATTTCAATGGGGTTTTATTCTTGATTTCATGGGGTTCTTTAATATGCTGAATCTAACCGTGTATTTAGTTTTTGGATTTTGGGCCCCGTTTTTAAATTGGTCCACATTGAGGTCCAAAGGGTCCAAAATTAAACTTTGTTTGATTTCATCAAAAATTGAATTATGGGGGTTCTTTGATATGCCGAATCTAACTGTGTATTTAGATTCTTAAATTTTGGTTCCGTTTTCAAATTGGTCAACATTAAGGTCCAAAGGATCCAAAATTAAACTTAGTTTGATTTTAACAAAAATTGAATTCTTAGGGTTCTTTGATATGCTGAATCTAAACATGTATTTAGATTTTTGATTATGGGCCCAATTTTCAAGTTGGTCCAAATCGGGGTCCAAAATTAAACTTTGTTTGATTTCAACAAAAATTGAATATATGGGGTTCTTTGATATGCTGAATCTAACCATGTATTTAGATTTTTGATTTTTGGGCCCCGTTATCAACTTTGTCCACATTGAGGTCAAAAGGGTCCAAAATTAAACTTTGTTTGATTTCATCAAAAATTGAATTATTGGGGTTCTTTGATATGCCGAATCTAACCGTGTATTTAGATTCTTAATTTTTGGTTCCGTTTTCAAATTGGTCTACATTAAGGTCCAAAGGGTCCAAAATTAAACTTAGTTTGATTTTAACAAAAATTGAATTCTTAGGGTTCTTTGATATGCTGAATCTAAACATGTATTTAGATTTTTGATTATGGGCCCAGTTTTCAAGTTGGTCCAAATTGGGGTCCAAAATTTAACTTTGTTTGATTTCAACAAAAATTGAATATATGGGGTTCTTTGATATGCTGAATCTAACCATGTATTTAGATTTTTGATTTTTGGGCCCCGTTATCAACTTTGTCCACATTGAGGTCCAAAGGGTCCAAAATTAAACTTTGTTTGATTTCATCAAAAATTGAATTATGGGGGTTCTTTGATATGCCGAATCTAATTGTGTATTTAGATTCTTAAATTTTGGTTCCGTTTTCAAATTGGTCTACATTAAGGACCAAAGGGTCCAAAATTAAACTTAGTTTGATTTTAACAAAAATTGAATTCTTAGGGTTCTTTGATATGCTGAATCTAAACATGTATTTAGATTTTTGATTATGGGCCCAGTTTTCAAGTTGGTCCAAATCGGGGTCCAAAATTAAACTTTGTTTGATTTCAACAAAAATTGAATATATGGGGTTCTTTGATATGCTGAATCTAACCATGTATTTAGATTTTTGATTTTTGGGCCCCGTTATCAACTTTGTCCACATTGAGGTCCAAAGGGTCCAAAATTAAACTTTGTTTGATTTCATCAAAAATTGAATTATTTGGGTTCTTTGATATGCCGAATCTAACCGTGTATTTAGATTCTTAATTTTTGGTTCCGTTTTCAAATTGGTCTACATTAAGGTCCAAAGGGTCCAAAATTAAACTTAGTTTGATTTTAACAAAAATTGAATTCTTAGGGTTCTTTGATATGCTGAATCTAAACATGTATTTAGATTTTTGATTATGAGCCCAGTTTTCAAGTTGGTCCAAATTGGGGTCCAAAATTTAACTTTGTTTGATTTCAACAAAAATTGAATATATGGGGTTCTTTGATATGCTGAATCTAACCATGTATTTAGATTTTTGATTTTTGGGCCCCGTTATCAACTTTGTCCACATTGAGGTCCAAAGGGTCCAAAATTAAACTTTGTTTGATTTCATCAAAAATTGAATTATGGGGGTTCTTTGATATGCCGAATCTAACTGTGTATTTAGATTCTTAAATTTTGGTTCCGTTTTCAAATTGGTCTACATTAAGGTCCAAAGGGTCCAAAATTAAACTTAGTTTGATTTTAACAAAAATTGAATTCTTAGGGTTCTTTGATATGCTGAATCTAAACATGTATTTAGATTTTTGATTATGGGCCCAGTTTTCAAGTTGGTCCAAATCGGGGTCCAAAATTAAACTTTGTTTGATTTCAACAAAAATTGAATATATGGGGTTCTTTGATATGCTGAATCTAACCATGTATTTAGATTTTTGATTTTTGGGCCCCGTTATCAACTTTGTCCACATTGAGGTCAAAAGGGTCCAAAATTAAACTTTGTTTGATTTCATCAAAAATTGAATTATTGGGGTTCTTTGATATGCCGAATCTAACCGTGTATTTAGATTCTTAATTTTTGGTTCCGTTTTCAAATTGGTCTACATTAAGGTCCAAAGGGTCCAAAATTAAACTTAGTTTGATTTTAACAAAAATTGAATTCTTAGGGTTCTTTGATATGCTGAATCTAAACATGTATTTAGATTTTTGATTATGGGCCCAGTTTTCAAGTTGGTCCAAATTGGGGTCCAAAATTTAACTTTGTTTGATTTCAACAAAAATTGAATATATGGGGTTCTTTGATATGCTGAATCTAACCATGTATTTAGATTTTTGATTTTTGGGCCCCGTTATCAACTTTGTCCACATTGAGGTCCAAAGGGTCCAAAATTAAACTTTGTTTGATTTCATCAAAAATTGAATTATTGGGGTTCTTTGATATGCCGAATCTAACCGTGTATTTAGATTCTTAATTTTTGGTTCCGTTTTCAAATTGGTCTACATTAAGGTCCAAAGGGTCCAAAATTAAACTTAGTTTGATTTTAACAAAAATTGAATTCTTAGGGTTCTTTGATATGCTGAATCTAAACATGTATTTAGATTTTTGATTATGAGCCCAGTTTTCAAGTTGGTCCAAATTGGGGTCCAAAATTTAACTTTGTTTGATTTCAACAAAAATTGAATATATGGGGTTCTTTGATATGCTGAATCTAACCATGTATTTAGATTTTTGATTTTTGGGCCCCGTTATCAACTTTGTCCACATTGAGGTCCAAAGGGTCCAAAATTAAACTTTGTTTGATTTCATCAAAAATTGAATTATGGGGGTTCTTTGATATGCCGAATCTAACTGTGTATTTAGATTCTTAAATTTTGGTTCCGTTTTCAAATTGGTCTACATTAAGGTCCAAAGGGTCCAAAATTAAACTTAGTTTGATTTTAACAAAAATTGAATTCTTAGGGTTCTTTGATATGCTGAATCTAAACATGTATTTAGATTTTTGATTATGGGCCCAGTTTTCAAGTTGGTCCAAATCGGGGTCCAAAATTAAACTTTGTTTGATTTCAACAAAAATTGAATATATGGGGTTCTTTGATATGCTGAATCTAACCATGTATTTAGATTTTTGATTTTTGGGCCCCGTTATCAACTTTGTCCACATTGAGGTCAAAAGGGTCCAAAATTAAACTTTGTTTGATTTCATCAAAAATTGAATTATTGGGGTTCTTTGATATGCCGAATCTAACCGTGTATTTAGATTCTTAATTTTTGGTTCCGTTTTCAAATTGGTCTACATTAAGGTCCAAAGGGTCCAAAATTAAACTTAGTTTGATTTTAACAAAAATTGAATTCTTAGGGTTCTTTGATATGCTGAATCTAAACATGTATTTAGATTTTTGATTATGGGCCCAGTTTTCAAGTTGGTCCAAATTGGGGTCCAAAATTTAACTTTGTTTGATTTCAATAAAAATTGAATATATGGGGTTCTTTGATATGCTGAATCTAACCATGTATTTAGATTTTTGATTTTTGGGCCCCGTTATCAACTTTGTCCACATTGAGGTCAAAAGGGTCCAAAATTAAACTTTGTTTGATTTCATCAAAAATTGAATTCTTGGGGTTCTTTGATATGCTGAATCTAACCATGTATTTAGATTTTGGATATTGGACCATAATAGGTGAATGTCCAATTTAAAATTTTTAAGTTCTTAGACCACATTCAATCTGTGTTAGAAACCTATGCTGTGTCAAATATTGAATCACAATCCAAATCCAAAGCTGTATCAAGCTTGAATGTTGTGTCCATACTTCCCCCAACTGTTCAGGGTTCGACCTCTGCGGTCGTATCAAGCTGCGCCCTGCGGAGCAATTAATTCATATACATGTAATTTATATCTCTGAGGGGCATAACTCTTTTTCAAAAAAATTATTGACACTGATTTTTGAACTTGTCCAAGACATCGCTGATACATATATAAACCTTTGATATATATTTTATAATAAACTGTTGACACAGAGATATGTCTCGCCTTTTTATACGACCGCAAAAAAATTTTGAGGTCGTATATTGGTATGACGTTGGCGTCGTCGTCGTCGTCTGGCGTCTTCGTCCGAATACACAATGGTTTTCGCACTCTAACTTTAGTTTAAGTGAATGGATCTCTATGAAATTTTATCATAAGGTTCAATACCACAATAGGAAGGTGGGGATTGATTTTGGGGGTTATGGTACCAACAGTTAAGGAATTAGGGGCCAAAAAGGGGCCGAAAATAAGCATTTTTGTAACTTCCAGACATAACTTGTGTGTTAGCATATGGATCTCTTTGACATTGTACCACAAGATTCCATATCACAAAGGGTCAATGCTGGGATTGATTTTGGGGTTAATTGCCTCAAAATTTTAGGAATAAGGGGCCAAAAGGGGGCAAAAAACAAGCATTTTTCTAGTTTCATGACAATAACTTGTGTGTAAGTGTATGGATCTTTCTGAAATTTTACTACAAGGTTCCATTTCACAAAGGGAAAGCTGGAATTGAGTGTTGTGGTAATTGCCCAAAACGTTTAGTAATAAGGGGCCTAAAAAGGGGTTTAAAATAAGCATTTTTTAGTTTCTAGACAATAACTTGTGTTCAAGTGTATGGATCTCTCTAAAATTGTATTACAAGGTACCATACCATAAAGGCAAGGCTGTTATTGAGCTTGGTTTGGGGGGAAAGGGGGGTGGGGGTGATGAATCATAAGGGGGCGGGGGTCAAAAAAGGGGTAATTTTTTTTTTCCTTTTTTTTTTGTTTAAAATTTACATTTTAAGTTAGTTATTTTTTGTCACGAAGAGAAAGTAGGAATTGAGTTTTGGGGTTAATTGCTCAAACATTTATGAATAAGGGGCCAAATATTGGTCGAAAATAAGGATTTTTTTAGTTTGCAACAAAAACTTGTGTTCAAGTGTATGGATCTCTGTGAAATTGTATTGCAATGTACCATACCACAAATTGAAGGTTGTGATTGAGGTGGGGGATGATGAATCAAAAGGGGGTTGAAAAAATGTGTGGGGGGTAGGATTTTTTTTTTTCCTTTTTTTTTCTTTAAAATTTTCCATTTAAAGATGGTTGTTTCAGATTTATATATGAAAGAAAATAATAATGATACGGTTATATATCATGAGGAATTGAAATTTAAAATTATGTATATTGGAAATTTAGGTTACATTGGAAAGTAATAATTGGCTTTGGGGGTGGGGGGGGGGGGGGGGGGGGGTGGGGGGTGGTTATGGCTCTAATGTTTAAGGAATAAGGGGAAAAAAGGTTAAAAAACAAGGGTTTCCATTTTAATAGACAAATAATTGAGTAAAGAACATTATTTAAAAGCAGTGTAAGGTTGGTAATTCAAACTCATTTAAATATCTCATCTACACTGCTTTTAAATTATGTAAATTGGAAATTTGCCAATAACTTTATTGTTAATAAATGCATTGGAAATTTGCCAACAATTTTAGTGTAATAAACTTCATTGGAAATTTGCCAATATAAAATTTTGCTGATGAAGGTTTTTTGTTTACCTTTAGCCTTGACTATGAAGTCATTTTCTATTTTTATAGCCTTATGATGTAGTTGAATTATTTAATACTTTTATGATGTGTTTAAATGGGGTTTTATCATGTTTATGGTTGCAAATTTATTGTTTTAGTATAATAAACTCCATTTAAAATTTGCCAATAAAAAAAATTTTTGTTTATTTTTAGCTATGATTATGATGTCATTTTCTATTTTACTTTTATGGTTGCAAAGAAATTTTTATTTTTAGATATTACTGTTAAATGATGCTGATTAAGGTTTTTGCTATGTTTAGCCATGACTATGATGTCATTTTCTATTTTAATATCTGTTATGATGTATTTAAATGGGCTTTTATGGTTACAAAGGAATTTTATTTTTAGATATTACTATAAAATGTTGCTGATGCTGATTAAGGATTTTGTTTATTTTTAGCCATGACTATGATGTCATTTTCTATTTTAATACCTTTATGATGTAATTTCCATTTTTAGATATTACTGTTAAATGATGCTGATTAAGGGTTTTTTGCTATGTTTAGCCATGACTATGATGTCATTTTCTATTTTAATATCTTTATGATGTATTTAAATGGGCTTTTATGGTTACAAAGGAATTTTATTTTTAGATATTACTTTAAATGTTGCTGATTAAGGATTTTTGTTTATTTTTAGCCATGACTATGATGTCACTTTCTATTTTAATACCTTTATGATGTATTTAAATGGGCTCCCATGTATTTAGATTTTTGATTATTTATACAAGTTACCAAATTGGTCCACATTGAACAAAAACGGTCCAAATTTCAACTTTATTACATTACATCAAACATTGAATTCTACATATTCTTTGATATATTGAAATTAACAAACAATTTAGTTTATGGATATTCCACCATAATAGGTAAATTAAATTTTTTCCAGTTCTTACACCACATTCATCCTGTGTCAGAAACCTATGCTGTGTCAAATATTTAATGACAATCCAAAGTCATAGCTGTATCAAGCTTGAATTTTGTGTCCATACTTGCCCCAACTGTTCAGGGTTCGACCTCTACGGTCGTATCAAGCTGCGCCCCAGCGAAGCATTTTATTGTAATTTTGGTAGTATAATGATGATGATGGATGGCTGCTTAACGTCCAGCGGCAAATTAATATGCATATTCAGGACAAGTACATGTTTTCACAAGGTAAGAGTCCACAGGAAGACATGTCACTTTACCTGGTTATATTAATCTTGACTTGGAGCCGACCAGTCTTTGCTCTTACTCCTTAATGCCGCGTGCTTAGCCGAGAAGCAGCAAATACCATTTTTGAAGTCTTTGGTTTGACCCAGCCAGGGTCACGACCTCCTGCACTTGAAGCGAACATGATACCATTAACCACGAGACCACCGGGGCGGAAGTAGTATAATGAAAATGTTGAATCCAAATGGCAAACTCTAAACATGTAAACTATGCAAAACATTCAAAGTCAATGAACCATGACTCTAATAATGTGTAGGACCAAATTTTGGGGAAAAGAGAAATGCATACCAAATACCATTGACTTATCATAAGTGGTGCCTTTTACACTAACCAAAACACAAACTTTAACTTGAAAACAATGTAAAAGTTTCAAAGTCAATGAACTTTGATGAGGGGATTGAACCTTATAATCTCCATGGCAAATGCTAATACAACTGCATACCAAATATCATTGACTTAACATTAGTGATTCCTCTTAATTCGATCTAATCTCAAACCTCAACATGTAAACTAAGCAAAAGTTTCAAAGTCAATAGACCATGACTGAGGGGGTGTCACCAAATAATCTCCATGGAAATGAGATGTGACAATGCTAAAACAACTGCAGTTCAAATATCATTGACCTACCACTTGTAGTTACCCATAAACTGACCTAATCACAAACTAATACATTGTTGACAATGCAGGAAACAGCATACCTATGTCTCCCTTTTTGACTCCGTCAGGGCGAAACTAAAAATCAGAAGGAAATGGCTTTACTCCTCAGATTGACACGAATCACATTTAACATTCAGATTTTCTCTATGAAAGTTAGTTATTCCCTTGTTTAAATTAACCTGGTCTGCAAGTATGAAGATGGAAAGTCTATTATAAAATGAATAAAAGAACAGAGTTCCAATGTCCCTGCGTTACACATATTCTATCTATCCAAGGTACAAGGACAATAACTAATAAAAACACTTTTTTTTGTTCTTTAAAACATTTTATAAATATCTTAAGAGAAATGAAAGGCTTCAGAGCAAATACAATGTGACTTCTATCATAATTTATAATTCCAAGGGTCATAACTCGTTAAAAATATTTGATCAGAACTTATTTTCGAAAGTGTCAAAGACATTGCTGATATAAGTTTCATAAAATTCTGGCAAGAATTGAACACATGAGAGCGATAACATTGCAGTTTTCCATAAATAATCATTATTTTCAAGGGGCATAACTCTTTTAAAAATGATCGGCACTGATTTTCGAACTCATCCAAGATATTGCTGATATAAACCTATGATATAAGTTTCATAAAATTCGGGCAAGAATTGTGCATGTGAGAGCATAAACAAGACCCGACAAACGGACGCCCAGTATTTCCATGTCATTCTGGGGGACAATAAAATAGATGTGGGGTATGCTTCAAAAAGACTGAATGACAAAAATATCATACAACTATATAATCAAAAGACATCTAGAGGGCAGGGCTTCCAAAATTATTTTTAGCCAGCCGGACATTTTATATATTATCCCGATTTTAATCCCTTAAGACTAAATAAACAAAAGGCAATTATGGTAATCAGTTGCCGAGTTGGCCATCCCAATGATTGACATTAAAAAAACGATATTAAACTTTCTTTGATTCAAATTCGAAGTTCTGACGCAAACTGTTAAATTGGCAGTGCATCATTCGAAGTGTGCAACATCAGCGTACTTATATCTGCCTTAGACTCTTTATTTATGCAAAATAACGTTGTCAAAAACTTTACTTTCGTTTTTATACCGGATGTTATCTTGACAATGGTAAAACATGGACCAGAGACGGATACGTAAATTCCGTGTACGTTTGCAAAGCGTGAATGAGTGGAAGTAGCTCTTTCTACGTTATTTCTTCAAGAAAATATTCGAAATAAAAGTGAGATAAAGGTATCAATAACAATTTAAGCATTTTTTGAAGAAATTAGGATGCATAATTAAATTTCACAACTGCGCATGTACTAGTTCAAACAGAGACATGTCTCTAGGTTCAAACTAACGTGGTTATGACGATTTTTCATTTTCACCTTTTCAATTTTTTCATCAAATCATATTTGTAAACGTATTTCTGATAATTTAAATCTTTTTGACTAAATTAATTAGATGCAAACCGCTGAAATGTAAGAAAATAACTTTGAATAGACCGATCAATGTCCGGTTCAAAATAGTTTACCTGTCACCTGAACAGGTAAATTTCAGCTGTTTGACAACTAATTAGCCTTGATTAAAATGAGAAGGTATTAAAGTAGGGGTTGTTTAGATAGTACTTAATGATCATGTCACTTTTATGACCGGAAATGTGTGGTTGTTAAAGGCAAAACGTTGGGTCAAAAAGATCGCGAATTATGTTAAAATGACCGTCTCTTAAAGCCTTGAAAACTAAAAAGTAGATGACCGTTTCATGCTTTGCCCAACCAGACTTTTACCGGACATTATACAAATGTCCGGCAAATAAGACCGTTTTGGAAGCCTTGCTAGAGGGCAACATACAGTCTTCAACAACAGATAAGTGTCCATAAAATATGTCAAGACATATATCGTCCAGAGTCGCCCTAATGTAAAGATGTGACCCAAGACATATTAACATTTTTTCCTTTATTTACATTAAAACATTACAAATGTCATTATCTGTCTGGTGTGTGTAAGGAAAACACTCGTGCTGTTTTGTCTTCTGATACAGATATCAATGTGTTCCCATCACTGTAAATAAATTAGTTTGATTAAATAATTGTCTCTACTTTAACAGTTCAAGACAAAGCTAAAAGTAAATTTGAAAGTTCTTAAACTTAAGAGCTCAAATAAAGCCTTTGCCTTTATTATACATGTATGCAGTTATTAGTTAGTGTAAATAAATTTTTCTATGAATTATTGCAGTTTAATTTTTTTTGTACATCTTGAAAAAAGAAGCCTCACCAATATCATGAATCGCAAGTTTATTGGTAATTGTCATCATTGTTGATGAAAATATTTAACTTCATAATTCAAGGATGTAAGAAAAAAGTTGGGTTAGAAGGGGTCAAGTCCTTTTGCTTCAGACAAATGTCTATAGTTAAGAGATTCCCTGATTGAACGCACCTAAAACACAATAAACAAGCATTTTTAGAGTAGTATTCCCTACTAATCTTTTTTGGACATTGTATATTTTTTTTTAGCCATGGTGTTGGCTGTTTATCTTCAACAAACGTTTTTCCTATTTCTGGAAATTTTTACTTCTGACTATTTCTTTAAGAGGTATAGCATTTTCAAGTTATATGTTTTTTTATCCCCCTTTTTTCAAGGATAAAACAACATCATGATGTGAAGTACAACAGTTGTTAAGATTCTTGTGTTGAATGGTTGAATTTATTTTTTTAGTTTGAAATCTCTGTTTTATATTTAAGCCGAGTAATTCTTTTTATGTGGGTTATTAATATTAAATGTTACATTTTAATCACTTCAGTAATGGTAAATTTTATTCCTTTACCTTGAAATATCAAAATCTAAGATTGCATCTTGGTGTCCAGCCCATTGTGTTACACACTGTCCATTCCTGGAATCCCATAATCTTAACACTCCATCTAAACAGGCTGTATATATTAACGGTGATATGGCATCCCATTTTAATTTCACTATACCTGCCTAAAACCAAGATTATATTGAATCATTAAAGCTGTATAAATCAACAGTGATATGGCATCCCATTTTAATTTCACTATACCTGCCTAAAACCAAGATTATATTAAATTTTTAAAAGCTGTATAAATCAATGGTGATATGGCATCCCATTTTAATTTCACTATACCTGCCTAAAACCAAGATTATATTAAATCATTAAAAGCTGTATAAATCAACGATGATATGGCATCCCATTTTAATTTCATTATACCTGCCTAAAACCAATATTATATTAAATCATTAAAAGCTGTATAAATCAATGGTGATATGGCATCCCATTTTAATTTCACTATACCTGCCTAAAACCAAGATTATATGAAATCATTTCATATTTTATACCAGCCTTAAAAAATGACAAGATTTAATAACATATATTGATGATAGATTGCTGCTTAAAATACAGCGACAAAATATATGCATATTCAGGACAAAAACATGGTAATGTATTATGTATATTAACCCTGCTTTGTACTAGACTAACACGATGAGCTGGAGTCACAACGTGCTAGTTCACAACCCGTAGGCATCATACTGACGTTGAGCCCAACAGCCTTTGCTCTTACTCCTTATTGCTGTGTGCTTAGTGGAGAAGCAGCAAATACCAATACTGTGTGTATATATATATATGTTATATTAGCATCACATCTCGAATTGAGTATACAAATTAAATACATCAGATTGACTACTTTCAGAATTAGTATAATATTTTGGTCAAATAACACTTGGTGGATAGGTAGAGTTATTTGATCCCTTTTTAGTCAAACAAATTATCATAAATGCCAAATGTAGTTACTTTTTATTTAATGTTCCGCACATCTATATGAATTTCAAAGTTTTAATCAAGAAATGTCTCAAAGGAATGGGATGAAATGACATTTTCATGAATTTTAGTACATCAACAAAATCTATCACAATACCATCATTCATCTCAGTGATCTTACAAATCACTTTCAATAACGTATTACTTCCCTTTGAATATAAGTATTATATATTAAGCCACTATGTGTAAATTCCTTACTTCATGTAGACAAACATTTCTTGCGGTCTGTGTTGGTACGTCCCAGATACACAATGTGCCTAATAAAGTGCCAGTTGCTGCATAATTTTGTCTGCAAAAAAAGGGATAAATCATTCTCTTGTAGTGACTTTTTTTTATCCCCCCCCCACTTAGTGGTTGAGGCCATATAGCATTATCCTTGTGTGTCATTCAGTCATTCCGCAACGAACAAATAATACAGACTTTTTTCTAAACACCTTCACATATTGAGTGTGTGCGTCTACTATGATGATTTATAGTTCAAGTTTACGTTTCATTCCTCTCTGCTAAATTTTGTGAAAATTATCAAATTTCCACTCCTTAAAATGGTTTTAAAAAGTCATGCCATATTGTAATAACTGGTGACTTTTACATCTAGCTATTTCTTTAGAAGGGATAGCACTTTCAAGCAAGCCATTCTCAAAAACTGAATTTGAAATTAAAATAATACACATTTTTGCTATCCAATAGTGGTAATAGTTCTTTGCAATGATTGATAGTTGTAAAATGACATGACAGTACAGATGGTCTTTCTCATGAATATGTATATAAAGTTGTTCACAACTGCAATATACAGATACTTTCGTCTATATAATTCAATTTAGATATTGATAATATTCCAATTGGTTATAACAAATTTTATTAACAAAATCAAATGCAAAATTTTAATGACAATTCATACACCTCAGAACAGAATAAATTCTTATAAGGCGTTGCAGAAATGAACAAAATACTATTTTTAAACTATAGAAATATTTATTGTTCCGGCAATGTATTTCAAGATTTTTTTAATTTTCAAATCAGAATTAGCAAAATCTTTGCAAATCTTTACAAATACAGATTCAAGTTATGTATGTAAAGGGAAGAAGTTTAGCTCTTTTTCTTAACAGATCTAAACAATGTCTAATTTTGGACCCTTTGGACCTCAATGTAGACCTATTTTAAAATGTCCAAATATCCAATATAGTAATACATGATAAAAACCTCAAACAATTCAAGACTTTAAATTAATCCTTATTGAAAATGGTTAAAAGATTTGTATTTATTTTCAATTGAAGATTTCTTGCTGTTATGCAATACTTTGCTGCAGGGCAATACTTAGTAAATCTGTTTACACACCCTGTTTGGTGTGTATCTCCTGCCATATCAGTATTCCTTGTTTCTTTATATAGATCAGAAATAACTTATGTTAGAACCAGCTTAGCCAGTATTAGAAAAGTCTTTGGACCCTTTCTGGCCTCTAGTTTCTTAACGATTAAAGCCACAACCCACAAAATCGATCCCAACCTTCTGTGTGTGGTATGGAACCTTGTGGTACAATTTAATAGAGATCCATCGACTAATACTTAAGTATTTGTATTTGTCTGGAAACCAGAAAAACATTGGTCTCCCCCCCCCCCCCTTTTTGCTCCTTATTCCTGAACGGTTTGAGCCATAACCCCCAAAGTCAAACCCAACCTTCCCTTTGTGGTATGGAACCTTGTGTTTTAATTTCATAGAGATCCATAGACTAATACTTAAGTAATTGTCCATTAACCAGAAAAACCTTGCCCCCCCCACCCCCTTTTTGCCGCTAATTTCTGAATGGTTTGGGCCATAACCCCCAAAGTCAATCTCAACCTTCCCTTTGTGGTATAGAACCTTGTGGTTAAATTTCATAGAGATCCATACACTTATACTAAAGTTATTGTCTGGAAACCAAATGTCTTCTGACGACATGATAGCAATATACGAACGCAAACTTTTTTGCAGTCGTATAAAAGTGTATTGCAACTGATCACTGTTGAGCTGCTTACCAAATATGAAATCATTCTGTTCAGCAGTTTCTGAGAAAAGTGTGCTGAAAATATTTATTTGATAAAATATTTAAGATCTTTGCAGTACAGTAATTTTTTGGGAGGTTTTCTCTTTGAACTTACATTTTAGAAAATCCACATGTTTCCACAGAGTTTTCGTCTGCTGATTCTTTATTCTTACAATCCAATGATCCTAGAAACTACAAAATGAAACAAAACATGAAAAAAAAAATGGGGAATGTGTCCATGGGACACAGATGATGCCCCTGCTTGCATATCGTATAAAGTTATAAAGGGACATAACTGAAGAATGGTAAAAGTGACGCTACTCAAATTTGTACTTGATCTGAGTTTTGTGGTAATAAGCATTGTTTATAAGTTTCATAACATTTAGATGAGGCAAACTTAAGTTAGAGAACGGAAATGAAAAATTTAGCAATTTTTCCATTTGTAAAGGGGCATAACTCTAGAAAGGTAAAAGTGAAGCCACCAAAATTCGAACTTGATCTGTATTTTGTGGTAATTAGCATTGTGTACAAGTTTCATAATATTTGGTTGCGGCAAACTAAAGTTAGAGAACAGAAACAAATATTTCAGCAGTTTTTCCATTTGTAAAGGGGCATAACTCTAGAACGGTAAAAGTGACACCACCAAAATTCAAATTTTATCTGTGTTTTGTGGTAATAAGCATTGTGTATAAGTTTCATAACATTTGGTTGAAGCAAACTAAAGTTAGAGAACGGAAACCAATTTTGGGACGTACGGATGGACGGACGTACAGACGGACTAGGGTAAAACTAAATACCCCCTCCGCTACGGTGGGGGCATAAAAACCACATTCCTATGGTAATACAACACAATAAATACTATAGTACAGAAATCTACATCCCTTTATGATCCATAATTGCTTGCTAACAAAATTTCATTTAACATATTACAATATCTATCCTGTCTATATCAAACCTTAAATAAATGTGGAGAAAAAATGCAATATGCAAAATTACAAGCAAGATATAATAGTTTGACTGTGTTTCAAAATCAACTGATTAAAATACTAGTTTTTGCCATTATCAACATCATTTTGCAAACTGTGATCAAAAGTTAATTAAAAATTTTACTTTCTTTTATAATATTCTTCTACATGTAGACCAATCTCATGTTGTTTTTCTAATAAACATCCTTTTTTTAAATCAAGGTAAACATGCATTTTTACCATTAGCCTTAAGAAGATTTAAATGAGCACAATACCTTGCCTGTATTAGAATTGTACAGCCTACTGGTTACATCTGTTGATCCTGTCATAATTGCAGTGTTGTCATGGTGACAATCCATGCAAACTACCGATGACAAATGTCCTTCTCGCCCTTCAAAATAATACATTTAATTGTCTCATAAATTAAGTAGAAATTGCTACAGCATTAAAAATTCTACCAATAATCATATTTTATGTGTCATATCCTATCTCAAATCTTAGCTATTAATTCCATTAGTTGGCAGAAGGATATTTCAATCAAGGTTTGGATTAAATAGAAGAGGATTTTGAACAGGTATTTGCTTTTTCTATGTCAAGAATACCGATTCAGAATTAAGGCAAAAACTGAGTGGCTCAGGATATTGATGATGTGTCAAGGAAAGTTGACATATATTCCTTGGACTGTTAACTTGTGAGCTACATGATGTAACAATGAAAATTTAAGTATTATGGCTTAGATGTCATGATGTTCCCATAGGTGAAGCCTAACACTGCTAAGTAATTTTCAGCCTCATTTCCCTCACAACATTGGGTCCATTTTGTTTATGGATAATTTTAAACTTATCATATAGAAAAGTCTTATTTAGATCTATAATGTGTTGCTAATCCAGACTTTATTCTATTCTAAAACCAAGTAACATTTTCTCATTTTCCATTCAAAATACAACTCAATTTCTCTTGAATTAATTGACTGGCTAGATCTGTAGTATTGAAAACCAAATGCGAAATATTCAACAACAAATCATTTGATTTCCATCAAAGTTTATAAACAGTGGTTGGTTTTCTAGTTAATATGTTAAGTAAATATCTAAAAAAATAACATGAACATAGCTTTTAATTTGCTGCCTAAGATTCTTGACCTATTTGTGAAAGACTTTCCAGCAATAATTCTACGAATACTATACAATGTCCAAACTTGACTGATATGTCGAATCAGCATTCGAACTTGAAAAGTCAGAGATCTATCTCTGTAATCCCAAAGACATTTTACAATTACTTAATCCCTGAGTGACAAACTGAATAACCAATATACATTGTGCTGTACAAGTAACTGTGTAATTTCAATCTCATAGAAAAAACTATCTAATTTTATTATCAGTCTCAGTAATTCTCTCTAGAATTCCATTCTGTTATTTAGGACCTGTTGATTTTATGTACTTAAACATTTGATATTTTAGGCATGTCAAATTTTGGGTCCCGATCGTATCTGAGATTGGTTATTCCTGTAAAATGCAAGGAAATCATAACTTACTATTTTTACAATCTTTGTAATCAAATGGAAATTTTTGTTTTAAACTCACCTGGATTAAAACTGTGGAGTGTGTTTACATCTTTTAAATCCCAAATCTTGACTAGACCATTGTCATAGCCAACACAAAGTCTTTTACCTGAAAATTAAAAAAAAGCAAACTTTTCATACTTTAAATACTTAAACGTTATTGATTATACAAGTATTTGTAATGTATAATCAGTGAAGAAATATAGCCTCTTCTGTGACACTAAATATATGTTTCTAGAAACTATTAGAGTAAAATAGTTATCAGTCATATAAAAACACTTTTACAAGTTTGATTAAAAAACAACAACATTGATCTACTGCCATTTCAAAGATAGAATTTACCCCAAATAGTAAATCTGGATTCATTCCTAATTTATAATAGACTTGAAACTTTCTTAAATGGAAAAGTAACATGATCATTTCAGTTTTAAACTGTTGCACTCCACAAAACATTTTTTAGCCTGCAAAAATAAGTACAAAAGTCTTGCAGTCCATACATTAAAGCCCTTGATACAGATGTCATGACGTATGAATTTAATAGCTCTGACTTTCTTCAAAAATGACTGAAATCACATTAAAAAATAATTTATGGACCCTTTCTCTGTCACTACTAATTAATAAAACTTATTAATATGATGAAGACATAATCATTCGATCAGTTTAATTAAGGTCTGGAGCTGGCATGCAGTAACTGCTAGTAGTCCTTTGTTAATTCATGTTGATCATTGTCATTTTGCTTAGTTTCTTCTGTTACCTATTCTTACATAGGACCCAGACTTCAGTTTTACTGTGCTTATTGCTGTGTGTTTATTTATTACACATTGGCTAGAAGTATAGGGGGAAGGTTGAGATCTCATAAAACATGTTTAACCAGCCACATTTTTGTGCCTGTCCCAAGTCAATAACTGCCTTTGCTAGTCTTGTGTGTTTTTGTTTTTTTTAATTTGGGTTGCTCTAGCCTTTGTTAGTCTTGTGTGATTTTAAAATTTGGTAGATGTTTCGGAGTTAAGTGTGGTGACCATTTCGCTGAATAGTATACATTATTATTTAGGGGCCAGCTGAAGACCCATTGATGGCCTTGGGCTGTTTTCTGCTCTTTGGTCAGGTTGTTGTCTCTTTGACACATTCCCTGTTTTCATTCTCAACTATATTAATATCAATTATAACTCATTATCTGCAAGTATCCCCAAAATGTGCGAAAATGTATAAACAAAAGCCACTAGTTGTCAGGGGGATAAAAACAGAAGTTTTCTACACTTCCCCATACATTAAAGTGCTGGACATTTCCTTATTGTGATAGGTAAATTATGCCATTTGATTCATTTAGATGTATAAAAATCCCTATTTATGAATTGTCAGCTACAGATGCCAGTTTTTATTATCTCTTGTACCATAAACTGTTAACACAGAGATATGTCTCGCCTATTTGTTATTTTGATAATGCAAATGTTGAAATTAAAATAGCAATACTTTAACATGTAAGTTATGCAAATATTCAAAGTCAATGAACCATGACTGAAGGAACAGGGCTAAACAATCTCCATAGAAATGAGATGTGCCAATGTTAATACAACTGCAAACCAAATACCATTGACTTTTCATAAGTCGTTCCCTTTACACAAACCAAAACACAAACATTAACTTGTAAACTATGTAAAAGTTTCAAAGTCAATGAACCATAATTAGGGGGTGGGGTTATATAATCTCCATGGAAATGAAACTTGCAAATGCCAATACATTTGCATACCGAAAATCATTGACTTAACATTAGTGGTTCATCTTAAACTTACCTAATCACAAACTTATACATGTAAACTAAGCAAAAGATTCAAGGTCAAAAGACCATGACTGAGGGGTAAGGACCAAATATTCTCCATGTAATTGAAATGTGCTAATGCTTATACAACTGCATACCAATTATCATTGACCTACCACTAACGGTTCCCCTTAAACTGACATAATCACAAACAAATACATGAAAACTAAGCAAAAGTTTCAAAGTCAATGGACCATGAATGAGGGAGCGGGGCCAAATAATCTCCATGGAAATTAGATATGCCAATGCTTATACAACTGCATATCAAATATCATTGACGTACCACTAGTGATTCCCCATAAACTGACCTAATCACAAACTAATACATGTAAACTAAGCAAAGTTTCAAAGTCAATAGACCTTGACTGAGGGGGCAGGGCCAAATAATCTCCATGGCAATGAGATGTGCCAATGCTAATACAACTGCATACCAAATATCATTGACCTACCACTAGTGATTCACCATGAACTAGACCTAATCACAAACAAATACATTGTTGACGGCGCCGCCGCCAGAAACAGCATACCTATGTCACGCTTTTTGACTCCGTCAAGGCGAGACAATTATATATATCACCTACCATCTGGTAAAATTCTCCCACAATTTGCTGTACATCCTGGTCCTTGAAATGTTTTACAGTCACCACTAGGCACCTTCCACATCCAAACATCTCCATCAGTAGTACCTAACAACAAGACATTAGCAACAGGGTGCCACTGTAACCACTGAAATGCAAGTATTCATAAATTTTTAACAACATATTATTTTTAATCTAAACCTTAGTTCAGGAATTTAATTTGTCACAAAAAAATTAAATGCACAAATAAACAATTTAATATAAACCATGTTTAATTCAAAAGTCATTATCAAGTTTAAAAAAATCAAGTCTTCTTGTAAATTTTTTTATATTTCTTATTCAAGATCTTTAGTTAATATCAGTTTTATCAACAATCTCAGCCTATCAAGGTATGAAGATGAGTAAAATATTCTAATATCAACGTGTTTAAAGGAAAAAAAATATACTTATATGATGTACATGTGGCCTTAGTTTCTAGCGATAATTTTCAACCTCAAGTGAGTAGCATGATATGAAAAAGTATCACAAAAAAAGATCAAAGAAACAATACACTAAATAGCAATAAAAAAAGCTTACTCATCAAATTACCAACCACAAATGGTATACTTTATCACTTAATTGAACATTGATACATTGTATCATCATACGAAAGCTTAACTTAGTAATGGCTTTTTAAATTGTTCCTCTGTATGTCAAATTAATGTATTTTCAAAAATTTCCTTATTAAAAAAAAAATAGTGCAGACAACAATTATAGTTACACCCAGATTTATCAGAGACTATCAATGCCCTTTTGTTAGAAATTGATATTTTTGGTCATTAGCAACTTAATCCTGATTGTCATACATATACTGGTAATGAATCTGTCATTCAGTATTGAATTAATTTCCACAGGGGCCTTCCAAGTTACTGTTACAATGCCCTTGAAAGATATCTGGCTAATGAATACTGGTGACTTTTTACTAACCTCTGTATCAGAACACTCAAAGGACCAAGTTTCTTTCTTGGTTTCTATGTCGTATACTCTGATGACACCACTTATGTCAGCCATGGCAACCATACTACCATCAGGACTAAATCCAACACATGTTACAGAATCCTTAAAACCTGTCAAAAGTAAACACATGTTACAGAATCCTTAAAACCTATCAGTCAAAAGTAAACACATATTACAGAATCCTTAAAACCCATCAGTCAAAAGTAAACACATGTTACAGAATCCTTAAAACCTATCAGTCAAAAGTAAACACATGTTACAGAATCCGTAAAACCCATCAGTCAAAAGTAAACACATGTTACAGAATCCTTAAAACCTGTCAAAAGTAAACACATGTTACAGAATCCTTAAAACCTATCAGTCAAAAGTAAACACATGTTACAGAATCCTTAAAACCTATCAGTCAAAAGTAAACACACATGTTACAGAATCCTTTAAACCCTATCAGTCAAAAGTAAACACATGTTACAGAATCCTTAAAACCTATCAGTCAAAAGTAAACACATGTTACAGAATCCTTAAAACCTATCAGTCAAAAGTAAACACATGTTACAGAATCCTTAAAACCTAAAAAGTTCACACATGAAAATACAATCTGATACATTTTGTTATATAATATTTTATAATGTCATTGTGATTTAAGAAATTGGGTTTAGTCACACATTTTGCATCTTAACAGAAAAAATACAGGCAAATACGACTAAAAACTAGAATAAAATGATGGACTGGCACAAACAAGACATATGAAAAGCTATATAAAGACAGATGGATATACAGGTGAGAAAAGGTGATAGTTACCAAGGAGACAATCGAAAAACTACAAGATATGAATGACCACAACGCACTCATCTTATTTAAAGTTTCAGAATGAAATACTTTTTATCAAATATACTCCTTTCAATGTTTGACTTATACTGCTGCATTGAAGCATTTTCTATCTTAACTATGTTGTGACAAGAACTTATAGTAATCCAAGTGCTTGTGAGCTCTGAAGGGTAAGATTGCATTCATCTTGCAGTGGGAATAAAGATTAAACATTGTATTGTATTAAGCATAGAAAGGGAATAATATGAATTGGAGATAATTGTAGATTGTTTAATTACAATTATAGACAAAGGAAGATAACTCCAATTTCAAAAATTACTTTAACAGTGACATGATTGATATTTTTAGAACAGATACTAGATTTGTTACATTTTGTAAATTGAATATCTGAGTATATATTTCGTTGATGAATTTCTTGAAAAGTTCATGGATAGGATGTGTAGTGTGTTGTGCTCAATACACTTTGTTTTTTTTTTATCTCAAAAGTAGAGATAACTATCAAGGTGACAGGTTTCCAATGATTACCAAAATATCACACACCTTACAGCAAAATTAAGATCTCCCCTAAATTAGACCCCAAACGGACAAACATTTTTATTTGGGTTATTAACATTACATACCGTTACATTCCATAATCTGTTCTCCTGTATTTGCTGACCACACAAACCCTCGGTCATCTTGTCCACCTGTCACTACAAGATTACTTGACTTCTTATCAATGGCCACAGTAAATACAGCATCTTCAAGTGAAGTAATGGTCCAATATGAATACAAGATGATGTAGGGTTTTACATCAATAAGACAGCAACTTAATTGTAGCATACAAATAGCAAAACTACATTTAGAGGTCAACATACAATAGTCAACATTAGACTTACAAACAATGACAGGTGTGTACAATGTGTCAAGCTCTAAACGTAGTAATTTTGAGTTCTTCTACATTACGTGAACCTCATGAGCTGATTGGGATAAATAATCAGGTCACTTGAGACTTCTTTCATCAAGTGGTAAGACATATGCTAAGGAGAAACAGTTTAGTTGTGCAGAATAAATATGTATGCAGCAATTTCCAGTTAGAATGAGGACATTAATAGGTGCCAATGTTTGGATGCTCTCTTTACATAAAAGAAATATTGCAATAATTCTTTGAGTAGTCTGAAGTTAATATCTATTACAATGCATGATTTGTTTCCTATATCAAATCTACCCTCTTTCCAAGTAAACAGTCAAAATTTCACATCCTTAACCCTGGTTGAAGAACATTGAAGAACCTACTCCCTTAGTAAATTCGTTACTTTGTTCCAGTCCTGAATGTGCAAGAAATATTAGTCACTGGACATTAGCAGCAACATACCAAATATAATCATCTATAAAATGGTCTACAAAGATCTAACATATTCACAAACTCCTTTTAATACAGAAATTAATGCTACATAAACAGACAAAAACCACTGTTTACAGGAGAAGAAAGGATGAACATGTACAGTGAATGCACATGAGAGGACGACCCTACAAAATACATGTAAAAGAAAATCAGTAATATACAGTAGACCCCACACATCTGCATATCTTACAATTTATATTTAATTAAAATATAATATATTCCATGAAATATACTTTCTGCTAAATTATGTTTTCATGAAGTCTCATCAATTTGAGGAATAGATATTAGATTATCTCCCCCTGGTAACTTACCAGTAACAACACATACATTGTACATGTATATTTGACTAAATATAACATGTTTTAATATAAAACTGATGAATGATTCTTATACATGTTATACATACAGTATAGAAGACTTAAAAGAAAAATAGTACAATTAGTTTGGATACTTTTTATAGCAATTCATAAAGTACTACCTCTTCCCTTTCAATTAACTCTCTACAATAACAATATTGACAGAACTGTTTAGCCACACTTTCATAATATCAAATCTTAAAGGATTGTACTTATGCTTTATTTTATCACTTTGATGACTTGACTGTGCTTCTTTTCAGCAGTCTGTTAAAATTTCTGACTAGTTGAACAGTTTGAATTGATAAAAAAAATTGCATTTAGGTCATAATTTTGAATGAACTGCAGAGAGCAACAATTACAGTCAAGCCACAGTAATAACATATTTCTCAGACATTTAGAGGAATCCACTGTACCAAAAAAACTCATGAGAGATAACAAGCTTATAATTTTGTACACCAGACACGTTTTGTCTACAATTGACTCATCAGTGACGCCTGAATAAAAAAAATTAAAAGGTAAAAAAAGAACAAAGTCAAAGAGCATTTAGGACCAAAAAAATGCAAGGGAAAACACACTTTTACTGCTTTTCTCCCTCCTTTTTGAAGTTGGAAGGTCTTCAACTATGACCTATATAAGCACACAGCATGAAACCAGAGCAAGAATGTCCCCACTGTCACTTTATTGGTCATTGGTAACAGCTAGGTATGTCTTGGAAGGAACATTTGCAATGAACTGAATCTTTAGCAGTTTCTGGAAGTCTTCCAAAAATTCTCTCATTTGTTGTGCACCAAAATCTGAATTAAGGTCTATTTAAAGATTGATTTGCCAGCTAAAGAATTTACCTGTATGTTTCTTAAACACTAAAGAGGAGCTGTCAATCAAGCCGTCTGCCCCACCTTCTTCTCCCTCTTCGTCATCACCACCTTCAATATCTATACTGTCTAAGTTCTCTATAAGTCCTGACAATAATACAACATGTTAGAAAAGTGGAAATTAAGACAGGATACTGTCATTTTCTACTGTAAATAAACATATTTTAATTTTGGCTTTTCAAATAATACATGTATGTGTTCAAAAAGCCTTAGTGAATGAACTGGTTTCCTTTGTGAAAAAAATTACTGGGATTAAAAAGAGTTTCCAACCATACCAAGTTTGAATTTTCTAATTTGGAAAAGAAATAACAATCATATTATTTCATTTGTACATACATGTATTTACCTGGTAACTGCAACACATGTAAAACTTTTCTTAAAATAATATGGACATTTTTGGCACCAAATGAAAACATATTCATTTGTACTCGAGACAAAAATGACAAAGATTAGTGAATGAACTGCTTTCCTTTTTTTGATACATTGATTTTTGTAAATTTGAACTAAAAAGAGTTTCCAACTATTGCCTAACCAACATAACACAATTAAATGATTAATGTCATTTTACCAATGCCTAAATCTGTTTGCTCTACTCTTTTATCTATTACATATATTTCTAAAGATTGAATTGGCAATAAATTTGAAAGCCCCCATGTTTAATATGTGCTTTGAATATTTGAAAATAGATCTTTTTTCTTCTAAAGGAAATATCTTGATACATTTCTTTGGCAATAAACAGTAAACATGGTAAACTATAATAAAAAAAACAATATAACAAAAAATAAAGACATTGTTTAATACATGTATATAACTTATGAATAAATAAACTGAGAATATACAAAATGATGAGCTGTTTAAAATTACTATTTTGCATGTTTTTTCCCCTTTCCATTAAGAAAATGTACATGATTTTCAGATAGCTATATATATAGATTGTATAAGTTGTAATGAAGCAACATACTGTTTTATGGGATCTTTACTAATCTCGACAGGGAATGCTTGGAACAATGTTATTCATGTAATATTAGCAAGATTTTTTTTTTGCATAAACAAACAAACAAAAGGTAGGAATTTGTTTATATGCAAACATTTCTAGCCGTCAGTGAAGATTTGAATCATGGCAAAATTGGGTCTCAAAGTTGAGAAGGAAATTCTCTCTCAAAGTCTGATAAAAAAAGATGGCTTCAGCGTTATGTCGTAGAAAAGCGTCACAGCCAAAAAATAAAATAGCCTTTTGTAACCGGAGAGCATGATTCTTCTTACAAAATCATTGTATCTCCACCTCTCTGTGTTAAAAGGCAGCCCTTTAACCTACTGAGCTAAAGTACTGCCTTAGCTCAACTGACTAAGTATCTACTAACAAAGGGAAGCATTCCCGTCACACTTTCAAGAGGTCATAATTATTTGGACTAGTATGGACCCTATTTTTTTTGGTGCATGCATGATCATCATGATGATGAAACAGGAAACGAATTATAGTTATCTCGTACCATTGTAAACTCGTACCAATGTCAACTCGTACCACTAAAAAAAACTGGTACCAATGCAAACTCGTACCACTGCTAACTCGTACCACGGTAAATTCATACCATTGTAAACTCGTACCAACTTATGTAAATGCATTCAAATGGTGTTTAATGATGAATATATACTTTAATTTCACTCAATACCTCTTAAGCCTGTAAAATGTATATAATTTGAAATTACAATGACCAATTTGTAGCTACCTATATTTCCGCACTTTCTGTGTTGCCATTTAGAACATACATCACACTCTATTGCTTCTTGTCGGGGTCTAACCAGAGAGTGGCACCATATACAATTGTCGTCTTCCATTTTGGTTATGAGGAACCTCACAAACATGCCCCAGTATAAAATTCAAGTATTTCAACTTTTTTTATTAAGTTTACCAAAAAAAAAATCATATTTTTAATGGTACGAGTTTGCAGAGGTACGAGTTCTGATTGGTACGACTTCCCAGTGGTACGAGTTTACGTTGGTACGAGTTAACTTTTTTGGTACGAGTTTACGTGGTACGAGTTTACAATGGTACGAGTTAACTTGCTTCCCAGGAAACATACCTACTTAACTATATTTTTTGAGGTCCTCTTTCGGTTTTTTTTTTGCCATGGCATTTCCAGTTTTCTTCGACTTACAAGTTTTGAATATCTGTAGGAAGGTGTCAGTTGTCACAGCAAAACATTAAAATTATCTTCCTCTACTATTTATTTCTAATTACCATCTCCATCGTTGATTTCAATTATTTCCACGAGGTCATCTTCATCGAACTGGAAGTCTGCATCACCAGTATCATCGACGTTTTCGTTCTCCATCTCTTTTCATACAATAAATCTTTTAATTTGAAGCATGCACGTGTTCTTATTTTGACATTTCTGTTAGATCAAGGTGCAAATGTTACATAAATTAGAAGGTTACTTACTTATAAATAAAACGGTGCAATGACCAAGACAAGAACTTCAAGGTCAGAGTCATTTTTGTGTTTCAAACGTAGCTAAAAAGCATGGAGCTGTGAACAGCTAATATTACATTGACGATTACGAAATCGGAGCGATCCTCCAATATTTACAAAATGGGTTTCAAGTTAACTCACAATCGAAAAATCATCGTAGCATGGTTAGTTAAATTTCTGTGGTGTATAATCAATTTTTTTCAGTAAAACTGATAATACAAATGATTAGAATGACCCCCCCCGAAAAAAACCAAAATACCAAGGTCAATAAATTGAGTTGAGTTCCAACCTCCTGGATGTTTTTCTTCTAAATATATTGCTTCTAAATTTAATAATGTTGCTCTTGAAAAGGCCTTCATGCAAATAATATAGGAATATACATTTTAGTAACACACTTAGTTATACTATGCTTATGTAATACATGATTTTCAAATTGGTGTATTTTCCCAGTCTGCACCAAAATCTTTCCCAACTACTAGTCTGAAGACCAATATTCAGACATTTTCCATATGTGTCTATACAAACTTTTATTGATTTTGCAAATACTTACTAGTAGGAATAAAATTTTACTAGTCTGGGGCATCGGACTAGTGGCTAACTGTGCAGACTGTTTTCCCATACATTTTTTCATGACGTTGCATATCTGTTGAAGCTACATTTTTTATGACTTTTCATAGAGACATGTTTAACCCATCATAAAAACTTCAATCAAAGCATGTTTATTGTAAATCAGGCAGTTAGTTTTTTTCTTTTGAATTGTTTTACATTTGTCATTTCAGGGCCATTTGTAGCTTACTATGGGGTTTAGGTTTTGCTAATTGTCGGAGGTTCTTCAAGGACCTATAGTTAACTTGTACATCATTTGGTCTCTTGTGGAGAGTTGTCTCATTGGCAATCATACAACATCTTCTTATTTTTATATAATTAATGACTTTAATTTGTTAGGCAGTTGACTTTAATTTGTCTTTAAAAAATAGCTTCATAAACTATCAAAATTTAAAAATGTTCCCTTTTTAAACTCAGTCTGCGACGTTAAGCGGTAGCCCGAAGCCCCTGTCTAGTAAAAATCTCATCGGACTTGTGCAGAAGCACTGGTGTTTGCTCGACCGGTCTTGTGAACATCTGAAATCGTTTGCGAAATTGTAGCTGGTATTTTATTGAATCTATGAAAAACAAGTTACAAATTTGTCGCCGACCTTGTTTTCTTCCGTTAACAAGGTATCCCTATTTAATTATATACGGTTGTTCCCCTTTCTTATCAAAAGTCAACGCGATATACCCAATCACCAACGAAATCGAGAATGAGCTCGACCGTGTGCTTGCAATAAACACAATCTATAAATACCACTCAATGTAAACAAACAATCAAGGATTTGATCTCATTCAATTCTGAAATGGAAACAGGGGGCTATCCCAGGTAAAACATTAAAAAGTTGAAAATGCCTTCATGAATAACCGGAGAAGTTTCGAGTTTAAAAAACCTATGCAGAAAACGATCTAGGCATTTTATTATTTTAAACAAAAGTCAAAATTAACGGCGAAAGTGACAATAAAGAGGGTGTTGATAGGGGTTTATAGAATAGAGAATAATGGGCAAAAAAACATAAAGAATATTTGTTTAGAAAAAAATTGACAAAACATAAAGAATTGAGAAAAATAGCATAAAAAATAAAGAATACAGAAATGAAGGCCCCTTCCAGATCAAAAAGAAGTGCCAGAGAATTAACTAAACTTTGACATTTAAGAATCCTTGTTAAGACTAACAAAAATATGAAAGAATATTAGGAATAATTTTAAACTGGTTGGGATCATCCATCAATGACAATGAGAGAATTTTTCCCCAAAAAAAGATTTTTTTTTTTGCAAAAGAACTATTCTAATTTTTTATTGGAGAAAATGAGAATTTTACATTTGACCTGGAGAAAAAAAACAACAATTTTTGATAAGTTATCACTTACAGATACAAAAATGTAACCTCAGAATGCAGGATTTTACATCTAATTTTCCAAAATTTTCTTGGGGGGGCATGCCCCCAAACCCTCCTAGAAGGTTGGGATCACTTTGTGATCCTCACCAGTGACACAAAATTTTCCAGGTCTAGTAAACATCAATTCGGGCTAGTAATTTTTTTATTCAACTAGCCCTATGGGCTAGTGCTTTGAAAAGTTTTTGGCACAGACTGTAAACTTTTTGCTCCCTCAGTTCATTCCTAATGACGTTTGTTTTTGCAACAAGTGACCCCAACAGGAAGTTGTCTAAGTAACTGTTTTTCCCATATTGGACTATATATAAAGAAAACGTGTACTGGAAAGTTCTGAGATATTTGTTGGTTGAAAAAGCTGTATCCCATGACATTTTTCTACATGTTCTATGCATCTGCCTAGTTTTTCACACAGGGGAATTAAGGGAAAGGATTTTAAGGTTCATCAGAAGGAATTGAAAAGTATGGCGGTGTTTACACAACAAAATGCTCTGTGGGTACAGAAAAACCTGTGGACCTGGTCATGTTTTAAGGAATGGCATGAACTAGATAATTAAATTTTAAATGCATTTTATATTTCAGAAAATTATAAACTTTTATGAATTTTGTGATTCCATTTTTTGTTCACGACTACAGAAGGTGCCAAAATAAACTAAGTTTTAAAAAAAGTTTGAGAATGTTCCCCTATGTAATAAAATTAGTGAGCTTTTAAAAATTGACATTGGTGCCTTCAGACATGTTAAACCCGCCACATTCTTTATTTTTGTGTCTGTCCCAAGTCAGGAGCCTGAAGTTCAGTGGTGGTCGTTGGTTCATGTCTATCATATTTGCTTTTTGAATTGAATCGTTCATATTTTTCATGCAAGGGCCTTTTTATAGCCGACTATACAGTATAAGTTTTTCTCATTGTTGAAGGCCCTACAGTTGCCTATAATTGTCTACATGCATTTCATTTAAACTTTTGGAGGATAGTTGTCTCATTGGCAATCATACCACATCTCCTTATTTTTATACACAATAAATATCTGCACATTTATAGGTGATTTAAACTGTGTAAATGACTGTATTAAAAGAAATTCAGGTGTTTGTTAATTTTAGCACTCCTGTATCTTCGCTAGCCAAGGGTTACGATCCACTTCTCTCCTCTCCAGAGAGGAGGGAAGTGGATCGTAACCCTTGGCAGAGAGGAGGGAAGTGGATCGTAACCCTTGGCTAGCGAAGATGGCACTCCTGTGGAAACGAGAGAAAAAATGAAATCTCAAAATCCAAGTATGTTTTACACCTAGATACTTTTGCTTTTGTGGTTTTGGCTGTTTCATGATGAGTTAAGAAATAATTCTTTCATGCCATTCTATGCTCCTTTTAACATGGGTAGCTATAGGCATTATATTTGTCAATATCTTTATACCGAGTGTAAGCGAGGTGTAAAATGTTGACAAATATAATGCCTTATAAATCAAATGTATTTAGAGAAGTAGTTGATGTTTTCCAAGTTTTACAATGACGATGATGTTTACCCATAGAAGTAATGAGTTCTTTCATTTTATATCTTTTCTTTTTATTTTATAAAATAATAAATAGATATCATCATTATTATAACTTACTCTTTTTCTTCTGTATGTCTAATTTCCAAATGTGATAGTTTCTTTAAATCATGGACAAATATGACTAGATTGGTTCCTAGATTTTAGCAATATTCAAGGCACTGTTGATCATGTAACGATGTTGATCGAAATAATTTATTATACTTATTATGGATGTTCCAGTCAATCATGATAGTGACAGAGTGAGGGTATTTTTAACAGAAATCTTAAGTGCACATTAATTACACCTGTTAAATTTATCAACTCTAAAGAGAAATAAAATACTATTTATATTATTGTGAAAGCAGTTATAACAACAGCACTTAAGCTATTGTTGCAGTAATTTAATGAAATCCACATGTGTCTGCACTGTCATCAGGATAAAATCAATACAATGAAAAATCTTACAAAAAGACTTAAAAGTACAAAATCGGGAAGTGTTAAATTATGTCACAAGGTTTATATTTTTGTTTCAGGGTTACAATGTTTATTGTTGGACCAATAGGATTTCTTGGTGTTGTGCAGAACGTTAATGGTCAACGACGAGAAAGAATGTACTATAAAAGAGTCTTACAACAAGAAGAAAGACAAAAAGAACTGGAAGAACAGAGATGAAAAGATGTTTGCTGACAATATATTATTTGTATATATGGACTGGAAGGATGTATGAATGGAAATGATTTATTGTGAAAATATCATGAAAAATTTAAACTTGAATAACTTTATAGTTTATATGTTATTTTATGTCTTTTGTAGTATGAATATTGATAAAAGAAGTTTTACATTTAGAGCACTTGTTAATTATAATTCAGGTACATGTTGTTGTAGACAATTCCTTGTAGTTTACCTTACTTAGATTGTATAAGCTATTGATGTCACTTGGCTACTGCAAACCATGAATCAGTTATGTGTTTATAAAAATTCTACATTGGTTTTACTGGAACTAAATTTAGAAATAGTCTGGTTTGTAGTTTCAATAATCATGATAATGTGTGAATCGGATGTGGATACTAAAAATTTCAAAGAATTGTTAGTCTAAGAGGACACAGTTTAAATTCCTCTCCTAATGCAATGGTATAAAATCATTAGACTTATCTTCCCTTGTTTACACAGGTATTCGTATCAGCACGAAATTATGCAGCTACCCTGAAAATTAGGGGTAAATCTAACAAACCCTTTTGGAGTTATTGACACTGAAACATCTATTTTGACTGATTTTTGCAGTTTTTGCCAACTTATTTAGAAGTATAAACGATTAGCATATAGTTGTAAATTCAGACAAAATGAAAGAATTAATCCAACTGAGCTCTAATCTGATGAGTCAAGCCCTTTCCAACTGATATTTGTCTTGCTTGCCATTTGTAACATACAGATGCTAATCTGTGGAAAGACCTTTTTATATTGTTCTGATTATTAGGTCTTTCCTCTTCTTTTGGTATATGACATCAAACAGTTTATACGCTTTTGAAACTGACATCGTTTAACAGAACACTTTACTTTGTAAGAGTTATCTCCCTAAACACTTTTCTTGTGTGCACTATTCCTTCCCAACCATAAAAGATTGTGACAAAATTATTTTTCAAAATTGCTAGTTGTATCCTCAGGATTTCGAGAATAATTTTGACCAAAGAGATCTGTAGATCTATATGAGAGTTATTTCCCCATGTGTATTTGACATAAGCAATAGGGCCTCTATACTTGGTTTCATGGAATGATTGTAAGGTGTACATGTCTGAGTGGCAGATTTCATCTGACCTTGACCCCATTTTCATGATTCATTGGACAATCTTAATTTTTCATGGTCATGATGGTTATGTCTGTTTATCAGATACTATTAGCAATAGGTCATATATATTTGGTGTATGGAATGATTAGAAGGTATACAAGTCGGTCTGGCAGGGTTCAGATTCCCTTGACCTCATTTTCATGGTTCATTGGTCATTATTAAGTGTATGTAGTTTGGTCAGTTTTCTAGGTACTATAAGCAATAGGACCACTATATTTGGTATATGGAATGATTGTAGGTGAACATGTCTGTCTGGTATGGTTCATCTGACCTTAGCCTCATTTTCATGGATCATTGATAATGTCAAGTTTATGTGATTCTTGTAGTAAAACCTTCATATTACAGACTTTCAACATAAATTCCATGATAAGTAAAGTAGATGAGGCATTTTTATACGACCGCATACAAATTTTGTGGTCGTATATTGGTATGATGTTGGCGTCGTCATCGTCCGTCGTCGTCGTCGTCCAGCGTCGTCGTCCGAAGACACATTGGTTTTCGCACTCTAACTTTAGTTTAAGTGAATGGATCTTTTTGAAATTTGACCATAAGGTTAAATACCACAAAAGGAAGGTTGGGATTGATTTTGGGGGTTATGGTACCAACAGTTAAGGAATTAGGGGCCAAAAAGGGGCCAAAAATAAGCATTTTCTAGTTTCCAGACAATAACTGTGGAACGGTGTATGGATCTCTCTGAAATTATACTACAAGTTTCCATACCACAAAGGGATGGTTAGGATTTGCTTTGGGGGGTTATGGCTCAAACCGTTTAGGAATTAGGGGCAAAAAAGGGGGAAAATCAAGGTTGTCCTGGTTAATGGACAAATACTTTAGTACAAAACATAATTTAAAGCAGTGTAAGGGAGATAAATCAAATACATCATTGAAATTATCTCCCTTACACTGCTTTTAAATTATGTATAAAGTAATGGTTAATGAACAATAAAGATAATTTAAAACAGTGTAAGGGAGGTAATCCAAATACAACGTTTTGGTTACTTCCCTAACACTGCTTTTAAATTATGTTTAAAGAAATGCATATTTATAAAGGAAGACCAGTAAAAATATCTGCAAATGTTGCATCTTTTTTTTTTACAAAAAAATCCATATGAAAGATTTGACACTATATATTTTTATACGACCGCAAAAAAAATTTTGTGGTCGTATATTGGTATGACGTTGGCGTCGTCGTCGTCGTTTGCGGCGTCGTCCGAAGACACATTGGTTTTCGCACTCTAACTTTAGTTTAAGTGAATGGATCTCTATGAAATTTTACCACAAGGTTCAATACCACAAAAGGAAGGTTGGGATTGATTTTGGGGGTTATGATACCAACAGTAAAGGAATTAGGGGCCAAAAAGGGGCCAAAAATAAGCATTTTTGTAACTTCCAGACATAACTTGTGTGTTAGTGTATGGATCTCTCTGACATTGTACCACAAGGTTCCATATCACAAAAGGAATGCTGGGATTGATTTTGGGGGTAATTGCCTCAAAATTTTAGGAATTAGGGGCCAAAAAAGGGGCAAAAAACAAGCATTTTTCTAGTTTCATGACAATAACTTGTGTGTAAGTGTATGGATCTTTCTGAAATTGTACTACAAGGTTCCATATCACAAAGGGAAAGCTGGGTTTGAGTTTGGGGGTAATTGCCCTAAACGTTTAGGAATTTGGGGCCAAAAAGGGGCCAAAAAACACATTTTTCTAGTTTCCAGACCAATAACTTGTTTTTAAGTGTATGGATCTCTCTGAAATTGTACTGCAAGGTACCATACCACAAAGGGAAGGCTGAGATTGAGTTTGGGGGTGATGAATCATAAGGGGGTTCAAAAAATTTGGGGGGGAGGATTTTTTTTTTTTCCTTTTTTTTTCTTTTAAAATTTTCCATTTTAAGTTGGTTATTTCTGATTTATATTTAAAAGCAAATAATAATGATATGGTAGGAGATACACACCAAACACGATGTGTAAATTATTATATAATAAGTATTATGCAATAGCAAGAAATTTTCAATTGCACAGTATTGCACAATAGCAAGAAATCTTCAATTGCACAGTATTGTGCAATAGCAAGAAATCTTCAATTGCACAGTATTGCGCAATAGCAAGAAATATCCAATAGCACAATATTGCGCAATAGCAAGAAATTGTCAATTGTACAGTATTGCGCAATAGCAAGAAATATTTAATTGCACAGTATTGTGCAAAAGAAGATACTTCGTATAAATTGCTTATTTCTTGACCAATTTCAATGTGGTTTTATTCTTGAATTCTTAGGGTTCTTTAATATGCTGAATCTAACCTTGTATTTAGTTTTTGGATTTTGGGCCCCATTTTTGAATTGGTCCACATTGAGGTCCAAAGGGTCCAAAATTAAACTTTGTTTGATTTCAACAAAAATTGAATATATGGGGTTCTTTGATATGCTGAATCTAACCATGTATTTAGATTTTTTATTTGTGGACCCTGTTATTAAATTGGTTCATATTGAGGTCAAAAGGGTCCAAAATTAAACTTTGTTTGATTTCATCTAAAATTGAATTATTGGGGTTCTTTGATATTCCAAATCTAACCGTGTATTTAGATTCTTAATTTTTGGTTCCGTTTTCAAATTGGTCTACATTAAGGTCCAAAGGGTCCAAAATTAAACTTAGTTTGATTTTAACAAAAATTGAATTCTTAGGGTTCTTTGATATGCTGAATCTAAAGATGTATTTAGATTTTTGATTATGGGCCCAGTTTTCAAGTTGGTCCAAATAGGGGTCCAAAATTAAACTTTGTTTGATTTCAACAAAAATTGAATATATGGGGTTCTTTGATATGCTGAATCTAACCATGTATTTAGATTTTTGATTTTTGGGCCCCGTTATTAACTTTGTCCACACTGAGGTCAAAAGGGTCCAAAATTAAACTTTGTTTGATTTCATCAAAAATTGAATTATTGGGGTTCTTTGATATGCTGAATCTAACCATGTATTGAGATTTTGGATATTGGACCATAATAGGTGAATGTCCAATTTAAAAATTTTAAGTTCTTAGACCACATTCATTCTGTGTCAGAAACCTATGCTGTGTCAAATATTTAATCACAATCCAAATGCAAAGCTGTATCAAGCTTGAATGTTGTGTCCATACTTGCCCCAACTGTTCAGGGTTCGACCTCTGCGGTCGTATCAAGCTGCGCCCTGCAGAGCATTTTATTAATTCTATTATAAAATAGATTAAGTTAGCACTATGGTAAATTTAAATGGGTAATTATGGATGCCAACTCCATTGGAAATTTGAATTGAGATTATGACCATATCTTGAGGGAAAGAATTTTTTGGGGGAAAAAAGGGGGGGGGGGGGATAAAAAGAAATTGTGGGGGGTCAATTTTTTCTCATTTCAGATTTTAGAAATTAAGAAGAATTATTCTTCAAATATTATTTTTTTTTCAAATTTCAAATATTGAAAAATTTCAAGAAGTAATCTTTAATTGCACAGTATGGCGCATTAGATTTGTAAAATCTTTGATCACATTTATTTATTTGTTATGCCGAATCTAACAGTGTATTTAGATTTTTAATTTTGGGTCCAGTTTTCAAATTGGTCTACATTTAGGTCCAAAGGGTCCAAAATTAAACTTTGTTTGATTTTAGCAAAAATTGAATATATGAGGTTCTTTGATATGCTGAATCTAAACATGTATTTAGATTTTTGATTTTTGGCCCAGTTTTCAAGTTGGTCCAAATTGGGGTTCAAAATTAAACTTTGTTTGATTTCAACAAAAATTGAATATATGGGGTTCTTTGATATGCTGAATCTAACCATGTATTTAGATTTTTTATTTGTGGACCCTGTTATTAAATTGGTTCATATTGAGGTCAAAAGGGTCCAAAATTAAACTTTGTTTGATTTCATCTAAAATTGAATTATTGGGGTTCTTTGATATTCCAAATCTAACCGTGTATTTAGATTTTTAATTTTGGGTCCTGTTTTTTAAATTGGTCTAGATTAAGGTCCAAAGGGTCCAAAATTAAACTTAGTTTGATTTTAACAAAAATTGAATTCTTGGGGTTCTTTGATATGCTGAATCTAAACATGTGTTTAGATTTTTGATTATGGGCCCAGTTTTCAAGTTGGTCCAAGATAGGGTCCAGTATTTAAACTTTGTTTGATTTCAACAAAAATTGAATATGTGAGGTTCTTTGATATGCTGAATCTAAACATGTATTTAGATTTTTGATTATGGGCCCAGTTTTCAAGTTGGTCCAAATTGGGGTCCAAAATTAAACTTTGTTTGATTTCAACAAAAATTGAATATATGAGGTTCTTTGATATGCTGAATCTAACCATGTATTTAGATTTTTTATTTGTGGGCCCCGATATCAAATTGGTTCATATTGAGGTCAAAAGGGTCCAAAATTAAACTTTGTTTGATTTCATCAAAAATTGAGTTATTGGAGTTCTTTGATATGCCAAATCTAACCGTGTTTTTAGATTTTTAATTTGGGTCCCGTTTTTTAAATTGGTCTTCATTGAGGTCCAAAGGGTCCAAAATTAAACTTTGTTTGATTTTAACAAAAATTGAATTCTAGGGGTTCTTTGATATGCTGAATCTAAACATGTGTTTAGATTTTTGATTATGGGCCCAGTTTTCAAGTTGGTCCAAGTTGGGGTCCAAAATTAAACTTTTTTTGATTTCAACAAAAATTGAATATATGGGGTTCTTTGATATGCTGAATCTAACCATGAATTTAGTTTTTTTTATTTGTGGGCCCTGCTATCAAATTGGTTCATATTGAGGTCAAAAGGGTCCAAAATTAAACTTTGTTTGATTTCATCAAAAATTGAATTATTGGGGTTCTTTGATATTCCAAATCTAACCATGTATTTAGATTTTTAATTTTAAGTCCCGTTTTTTAAATTGGTCTACATTAAGGTCCAAAGGGTCCAAAATTAAACTTAGTTTGATTTTAACAAAAATTGAATTCTTGGGGTTCTTTGATATGCTGAATCTAAACATGTGTTTAGATTTTTGATTATGGGCCCAGTTTTCAAGTTTGTCCAAGTTGGGGTCCAAAATTAAACTTTGTTTGATTTTAACAAAAATTGAATATATGGGGTTCTTTGATATGCTGAATCTAACCATGTATTTTGATTTTGGACATTGGACCATAATAGGTAAATTAAAAAAAATCAAGTTCTTAGACCACATTCTTTCTGTGTCAGAAACCTATGCTGTGTCAAATATTTAATAACAATCCAAATTCAGAGCTGTATCAAGCTTGAATGTTGTGTCCATAATTGCCCCAACTGTTCAGGGTTCGACCTCTGCGGTCGTATCAAGCTGTGCCCCAACGAAGCATTTTATTAAGCATGTGCACTCTTGCCATTTAATTGCAACATTGTGTAACTGAAAACATGATAGTTTTCTTCCTGGAAAAATTTAAAATAAGATGTGTTGTGATATAACTCATTTATCATCGGCAGTAGACACCTAGGGTGTATTGATTTAAGGCCCTTGCTTAATGGCCTTGAAATTGAGGTCAAGGTCAAAGGTAAATTTGATGTTCTAGATTTTGACCTTTGTTATAACTTATTTATACATAAGCCATAGGATCTTTTGCATTAAGTTGGAGGCCAACTGACCTTAGAAAGGTCAGTTGGAAGTGACCTTGTGTAAACTGAAAGTAGCCATTTGATTGATGTTTGCTTTACAGCACATCAGCACAAAAATGTAAATCGCTGCAATGTACATACATTCTTTTGAAGCTGACACCATTTCAACAAAAAAAAACATTTTCTTTGAAAGAGTTATCTCTCCAACACTCTTTTTCTTTTGTGCACTACTTCATCCTGAACAAAATTGTTACAATACACATCCCAAAAATTTATTTTCCCAAATTGCTTGTTCTATCTTCTGGATGTTGTGAGTAATTTTGAATAAAGCAATCTGGAGATTCCATATGAGAGTTATTACCCTTTATGTATTGGATATTTATAAGTGATATGTATTTGTTACTGGTAAACCATAAGTGATAAAGACGTAAGGTCTTTTGAATTGAGGTCCTAGGTCCACCAATAGGAAAATGAGGTCAAGGTCACAGGTCAAGGTCACTTTCTTCATTTTGACTTTTGCTTATTATCACTACTCCTCAGAAACTGTGTAAGATATCAAAATAATATTTTTAGTATATTGCTAGTTGCAAAATATAGAAACAAATTTTTGTTGAAAAGGTAAGTTGACATTAATCGGGAATGTTCTTCTCTCTCTTGTTTAAAATTAAATATATGGTGATATATCTCATTGACCATGTATAGTAGAGACCTTATGGGACTTTCATTTTAAGGTAAAGGTCAAAGCTTAGGGGACAACTATTTAATTCTGAGGTGGCCAGAAAAATTTGATCAGGTCAGAATGTCAATTCCCAACTTGAAGGTGACTAGATTATTTATTTTCACTCAGACCAGGGCCAGAATATTTGTTTTCTTCTTGTCCAAAAAGTGACACATAATCAACTGGTCTTCCCCTGAAGTTAATGAACTTTTATGATACAGATCATCTTTTTGGTAGGATACACAAACAGAGCAGTCAAAATGAAGTGTGGAATTTTGATTGTATTGAAATATGAAAATATAATAGCACAACAATCAGGAGTGGATCAAGGGTATTTGGAAACTGGGGTTTAATTGTTCTAAATTGTTGAATATATGCTGAGTGTAGGGAGGCATAAAATAATTTGCCGATTTTATGAATAAATTATATATTTTCAGTCAAAAACGGGAGCATATGATTTCATGATTCAGCCACCTGACAATATTTCTGTAATAAAAATTGAAAATAACACTTTATACCCTAATTTTTTTTTACGTGTGAGTGCTTTTCTGCATTATCTATAACTACAACTATCTTTGTAAATGTGTCGAGCAAAGGGAGCTAACAAATTTTGAGCATAATGAATAATTTTGGGCCAGAATAAATATTTTCGTATGAGATTAGGCAAAGATTTTTTATTTCCAACTGAATGGGGATCAAAATAGTCATTTCAAAAATTCAAAAATCTGCCAGGTCCCCTTAAGTTGATGTCCTATATTTTTGGACTCTGGTGAATAGTTGATTGCCAATGAGACAACTATCCACCAATCTTTTTATTTTTATATTATTTTGTCTTTGGGGTGATGTGTTATTGAAATTTGGTTACATCAGATATCAATTACTGTAATTGTAATGGCTTAGTGACATAACAAGATTTAGACATCAAAGTCTCACAAAGAGTGAAAAGAAATTGCTTGCAGTGGCAATTAGTTCAAACGAAATGACATTGCTTAAATTGAATATATCCGTTCCATAAATCAAAACAATGGTAAACAAGAGTGCAAACGCTGAATTGTCTCCCCTGATTAACTAACTATGATTGATTTTATGTTGATAGTTCTTAAGATAAAGTTTTACTACAAGTATCACATAGACTTAACATTATCAATAATCCATGAAAATGAGGTCAAGGTCAGATAAATCAAGTCAGACAGACATGTACACCTTACAATCATTCAATACACCAAATATAGTTGACTTGAAACTTACAGTATCCGAGATACGGACTTGACCAAGTAGACTTAACCTTAACTACTGATCCATGAAATTAAAGGACGAGGTCTGGGCAACCATGTCTGCCGGACAGGTAGACCTTGCAAGGAACCTATAAACCAAATATAGTTATCCTTTTATTGACAATAAAAGAGATATTCACATGACAAAAATTTTTTTTTTTTTTTCAAGCAGTCATTGAACCATGAAAATGAGGTCAAGGACAATGGACATATGCCAGACGAGGCATCTGCATACAAGGTATGAAGCATCCAGGTCTACTTCCTTCTAAAAACAAATAGTTTACACTGTTGCTGCCGGCTATTAATCCCTATGTCTCACATTCTATGACTTTCATCGCAGAATGACAAAAAGCAAGTTAGAAAATTTAAAATGACAAAACTAGATTTTCAAAGGGAGATAAGAAACCTACTTTATGAATATTTAGATAAATAAGGTATACAAAGAATAGGATACAATAAGAGGCTAATTCCACCTAGTTTTTTGCTGAAATTTGAATTTTAATATTATAAAAAATAGAATAGTTTGCTTCCTTTGAATTTTAGCACATTGATAAGCTTCATTCTGATTGGTTTAAATAATCTGTTTGTTAATTTCTAAGTTATCACTTTCTGTGCTCCAAGTTACAGAACATTCGTTCTGATGGGTGTAAATAATCTGTTAGTGAATTATAAGTTATCACTTTCTGTGCTCCAAGTTACAGAACATTCGAAATGATTGGTGTAAATAATCTGTTAGTGAATTTCTAAGTTATCACTTTCTGTGCTGCAAGTTACAGAACATTCGAAATGATTGGTGTAAATAGTTTTTTTGGTGAATTTCTAAGTTATCACTTTCTGTACTCCAAGTTACAGAACATTCGTTCTGATTGGTGTAAATAATGTTTGTGATTTTCTAAGTTTTCACTGTTTGTGTTCCAAGTTATATAATGAACATTGCTGAAATATCATCATCACTATACTTTTCTAAAAAAAATACACCATCTTTATACTAGTCCAACTACGCTTATTCTGAATAATGCAATTTGATTTTATTCTTGAAAATACAGTCATTCAACCCTATAGGTTATACTACACACATGTGAAAAAAATACCCATAAACATTTTTGTTTCCCATTTATTTCATGACAGACATTCATGTAAAATTTTGACGTCTTATAAGAAAATTTCTCTAATTGTTTGCCGATTTATCCTTTTCATGATCTGTTGATTATTTTTATTTAATCAACGTGTGGTTCTTTTGATCTCAGTTCTTCATCGTTAAAATTTCAATTATGACTTCAAATCTTATTGCTCCCCTCTGAATTTCCTATTGTGACTTGCAATATGTTTTATTTTATCTGTAATCAATTTATCTTCAGACAAAATCATATCCATATCACAATACAAGTTCAACCACATTTTTTTTTGCATTTATACAAAGAATCTAAAAACTACAATTTCAAAACTTCATACATGTACACATTTTAATGTTACAAGTGTATTGGAATTATTCATGTTATAATAAATTTGATTGATGTCTTAAGTCACATTTGCTTTTGTTTCTGAATCCTCATGTTGTTTTCTTTTGCCAACATAAAATGTCCACTGTTTTGAATTATCAACTCTTTTGAAATCCAAACTATCAACTTCCCAACTGAAAAAAAAAAGATATAGTATAAAAGTCAACTCATGAAAATCAATTTGTGTTTTTGAATTTTTAGTTATGCATAACTTACCCCAGAGAAAAATAGAGAATCAATCATTAATTTATATATATATATATATACTTTCCACAAAATTCTTAAATATGAAATATTTACAGGAGCTTACTGCCACGATACTTAAAGGAGAGATTACACATATTATTACATTGGTAACACTATGAATTACTGTGATTTCCCAGTGAAATAAAAACTGATAATTAACCATATGAATTAAATTTGAATATATCTCTCCTCTAACGTCAGACAACAATGGGTATTGTCAAGACGCTGACGATGCATGCAAAACCATTGAGAATGCATAGGAAAAGATGAAGTTCCTTTAATTTTCTGCTTTATTTCAATTTAAAAATCCATGGTCAATGTGATTTAAAGAATAACTTAATTCAAGAATTAGAATATTGAAAAATATTCAGCTTGTGATCGAACAACACTGATAACACATATTCGTGAATCAATGTGTTGTTCAGTCACTCATTGAATATTTTTCTATATTTGATATCTTTATTATATAGTTATTATATAATTAAAGAAACTGAAATGGCTACAAATTCAATACAGCATGATTGGACATTCTTTGATACACTATTGTTTATTATTGTTTAACTGGTACTTGCATTTGTGTTACTATTACGTATAGTTTAAGTAAAAAGGTTAGTGCTTTTCCTGTTCAGATTCTTTTTGTACATTTTTTCTTGTAGATTTTATTACTCTAAACAGGAAAAATTTTGCACCGTCTTTTTTTCCCTATTTATCAACTTAATTTAAATTCATGACGTTTTGAATTCGCCATATCCGGGTGGCCTATATAAATATTTTCATAAATGATTTAGAAAGTGAGCAGCTTTACATGTATCATAAATCAAGTGATAAAACAATTCAAAAATCTTTTTTGTCGATTCATTACTGTAAGATTAAAAGTTATATCATGTTTGCTTGTAAAAACACACACACAATAAACAGAAAAGAAGACCTAATTAAGAGTGAATTAAATGCTGTCAGGATTAATGCTGATGAATCGATCTTTTGATCTGATTAATTTGTGTAGCAGATACAATGAGGTAATATTTAAAACTGATTGACAGGTGTCATTTATATATTTGTAACGAGTGTTTTTTACATAACAATATCCGTAATGTTTGCTTGCTTGAGATGTCTTCCATGTTAATAAGATTAGCATGAGTTAAAGTTATGATTTCTAACATTGCTTTTCTTTCAGATATGATTTGAGGTATCGATCTGTCGTCTGTAAAATCCGTGTTATACAGTGGTCCTCTACATATCCTATTCATATACATACATGTATGGTCTTCATCTTATGAATAGAGTTTCCTTGAAATTTTTTGCGGTCGTTTTATTTTCGTGTTTCAATTATTACCGCGAAAATAAAACTGCCGCAAAAATTTCCCTGTTTACAGTATTCCATTGATAAAGATTAAAAGAGATCTTAGAAAAAAAAAACTAGTTAAATCCTGCAGCTTGTCCATATGCCTGTCCAAAGTCAGAAACCTGGTCAGGGGAACTCTTTTGTTACAACCTAATACTTTTCTATTTTGGAAAATATAATGTTGATGGAAGATTTTGATAGATTAATTCAAAACTTATTATTTTTTCACACTCAGGGTGATTAAGAGCTTGGTGTACATGTATTGTGTAGACACCTGTCTATTGTTGATGACATAGAGGTCTATTGGCATTATATGTAGTTGTGTTGCTATCTCATAGATATATAGTCCACATATTCTTTATTCATACTATATACCTAGGATTGTCCTCTCATAAAAAAATGTAAAACAGCAATTTTTATCAAATTATGGATTATTTAAAGAAATGTACAAAAATCAATTGAATTGTTTAAAATTGAAGCATGACTTGACATAATTTGGTGATTTGTAAAAAGTGATGAAAAAAAAACCTTCCTGCATTGTCCTGTATTTTGTTATATAAAAATTCACAGATTAATCAAGCTGGAAAAACTGGGAAAGCAAAATAACAAAACTTTTGTTGAGCATGCAATTGTAGAAAAGCAGAATGTATATACCCTGAGTACCCAGTATTTATTAGACTTACTCATCATCTATAGATTTTCTGCTACATTTTGTTAATAGGATACCATTCTTTTTTGTACCATGAATTGGAATTGAGAGCTGAAAGTAATAAACAATTAACATGAGAAAAATGTAATTAAGATCATATTTGTAGTCATTTGTTAAAACATGCTGGAGTGAAAATATTACATTGTTGTTTGTGTAATCTCACAATTTATTGTAAGCCTTAAAATTTTTGTTCACCTCTCGTTACCTTTTTTTTTTGCAGTTTACAGTTTCTGTCTTTCTATTATAATTTACAGATAATATATATATATATGTAAGAATGCTAAATTTTGACCAAAAAAAAATCATCATTAAAGGGCCATTACTCCTAAAAGAAATTGTCTTATGTTTTCAGTTATTTTGGCCTTTTTGTAGATCTTGTAAAACTAATAATTTTTGCAGTTTATACATTTTTTGCCCATCTTTTATAATTTTCCAGATATTAACAAGGCAAAAACATAAAAATTAGTAAAAAAATCATCATTTACAGACAATAACTCCTAATAGGATAATTTTGGTGGAAACATCCAAGTAAGAAGTTCTTTACAATCTAAATATTTTTTGCCTTGTTTAGATATCTATTATGGCTTTCAACATACATGTATGTATAAGACAATTAATGAATTTACCCTAATGTCTTATTTTTAGTCATTGTGGCCATATTAATCGATTGACAGGATCAAGGAACACAAACTTAATACAAGATTCCCCAAGGATAATTCAGCCCAAGTTTGTTCGAAATTGGTCTAATGGTTTTTTGTGTGTTTTCCCTGGAAATATTTTGAAGAATGGGCACTTATGTCTATATAAATGCCCAATGTTAAAATAGGGAAATTCAAAATTTAAAAGATGGGACCTTAAGTTAATGCATGGGGGCATAAATTCGCTAGGGAAGACACTGGTATTGTACTCAATCTTAGTTTTCCGTATACTGTTTTGTGGGTAGTTGTTTTGGGCTTTGGTTTCTGACAACCAAATTGTATATATATCTTTAAATTTTTTATAAATACAATAATGAGTGAGTGAGCGAGTTAATCACTGGTAATCTAAAAATATTTTGAGTGTATCCTCATTTTTTCCTCCAATTTACTTACCTGAGCACAAAAATCATCTACTTGTGTATATGGATCATTCAGTTCTACCGTGTCAGCTGTTATTGGTTCTCCTAACAAGTCAAGAACAGGCTGGTATCCTTTCACAAGATTTACTGACTTTTTAAAATGCTCTGAATTTACCATAAATACTGTAATTACAAAATATATTATGACGATATTAAATTTCTTTGTTATTAGGAAGCAACAGTGAACCATCTGATTTGTAAGGATAGGATAGGATAGGATGGAAAAGAATAGCAGGTTGCTGTATTTTATTTATGGCATCTTTGAGAATGATGTTTTTTCTTGAGTGCATCCTAAAATTCTATTTTATATAAGACATGTACATGTACAAATGTACATAACGTAAAACAGATCTTAGCAATGAAAATTAATTAAAAGAAAAGTCTTTGTTTTTCTAATGTTGACAAAGTTCTACCCTTGTATCCAATCTAAAATTGTTGTCCCTTACTGTGTATTTATTATTTTATTGGCAAAGTTTAAAAATCGTTAATACAGTTTCACAAAAATAAGTCCCAGAAATGGAACAATTGACATGATTAAAAACATTTTCAAAATTTAACAGAATTATAAAGGGGTCTTGTTTTTATGGAATCAAACTGTAAAAAATCTGTCCGCATAAAAAAAGTTAATAGGTAGATCAGAAATAACATTAACCATATAATAAAAGAAATTGTACAACCAATTGAAATAAATCAATTAAAGGTCCATAACATATCTAAAAAAAAAAACATCAATATCAAAGGCAGCTTGTCTTAATCATTTGTACATACATGACATAGAACACAGTATTTGGAAACAACTTCTGAAAGATTAAACAGGATTGCTACACCCTTACCCAATAGCCCCTGTGCTACAGGTATAAATGAGGAATTGAATTGTGTGTCACAATGCGTTACATGTATTGTGGTACGATAGTCAAAATATGGTAAAAGTCTGATAACTCTGAATGTACATGTAGGTTGAGTTAGTCAAATCAAAATGACAGTATTATATATGGTCAACTACACATGATGGAGAAAAATCCTAATAGGTATGAGAGCTTTCTGTAAAATGGTCTTAGAGGAGTTGCCTTCACAAAGGTGACAATGTCACAATAAAAAAATAGTCAAAGTTCCACAACTCCCATAAAAATGGTTGGATCAAAATAGTGGTATAATATGGTCAACTACACATGTTGGTAAACAATAGTTACAAGTATAAGAGCTTTTTATCAAATGGTCTCTGGGGAGTTGCATTCACAAGATGTTATAGTCACAATACTCCATAAAATAGTCAAGTCCAAAAACTGCTCTAAAAATTGTAGAATCAACATGACAGTACAATATGGTCAACTACACATGTGGGGATAGCAACCAAACCTACTAAATATAAAAGGGTCTCTGAGTAGTTGTATTCAAAAGGTGTTGTGTTAACAGTACTCCAAAATATCGTCAAAGTCCGATAACTCCCATAAAAATGATTGGATTAAAATGCAGACCTGCCAACTATCCCAATTTATGGGGGATTATCCCTCATGAGAGGTGTTGACCTGAATTTTGAAATCATTTAATTATATAAACTGAACACCTCAAAATAGGCATTCAAATGAGATAAAAGGAATTTAATCACACATTTACTCATTTAAACAATATAGTATTAGATTAATAACACTTTTGACAATATAAGAGGAGCATTAATTAGGTCCTCTTGTGCTTAAAATCCCCCATGAAGACTTTGAAAAGTTGTCAGGTATGAAAATGACAGTATAATCTGATCAACAACACATGTAATGATGGCAAAGAAATCAGCACCAAGTATAACTGTAAGACAGTCACAGAGGAGATGCCCTCAAAAGGTGTACAAAAAAAAGTCAAAGATCCATAATTAAATCCTGTAAAAATTATTTAAATCAAACTGACGATAATTTCATAAATCGTCTTTCATTGACTTCAAGAGAAAATGATAACAATATTAAATAATCCTAACAAATATAAAAGCTTATTTCAAAAGGCTCTGAGTGGTATGTTTTGGATGGACGGAAGGAGACCAGTATCATATCCTTAGCTGTTTGACAATAATTACAGGTTTCATAAATTATGAGTTAGTCCCTTGATATCAAATCGAGTTAAATTTCAAAATAATTATTAATAATAATTATTATTACAATTTCAATTAAATAACTCCATGGGGTGTGATTTATAAGAGAACATCTCTTCATGTGAGAAATAGATAACAGGCTAGACCGAATTATCTGTCGTTCAAAAGCTTTTTTTTTTTAGATAATTCGGTCTAATAACAGGCCACAACCATCTGACCATAGGCATAGGAGAAAACTTATTAAGGTTCATATGGACCCTTTGGCTAAAATGGCTGCATTTTCACCTACTTATTTACTCTGAGTACAGACAAACCTGTGTATCTGGAAAAATGTTAAGGCATAGCATGCCCTAGATAAATAAAATTCAAATATATTTTATGTTTTAGAAAATTAAAAACTTAACAGGATTTTGCAGTGCACTTTTTTTCATTCCTCCAGAAGGTGCCAAAATAAACTAAGTTGTGAAAGAGGTTTGAGAACTTCCCCACAGGTAATAATTGAAGTGAACTGTATTGATTGACATGGACAATAGATGGACAATAGATACCTTACAATAATTGGTGATTTAAACTATGTACCTGAGTGGACCATATCAAGTGAAACTCAACTGTTTGTTAATTTTATCATCTTCTACAGGGACGAAAAAAAGTGCACTGCAAAATCCAGTTAAGTTTTAAATTTTCTAAAACATACAATGCATTTGAATTTTATTAATCTAGGGCATGCTATGCCTTAAAACTTTTCCAGATATACAGGTTTGTCTGTACTCAAGAGTAAATTTTGAGGTGAAAACGCAGCCATTTTAGCCAAAAGGTCCACATGAACCTTAAACTGTATAGAATAGAATAGAATAGAATAGAATAGAATATTTTATTTCCCAAATTACAGGGCCCATAAAGGGCATAAAATCAGATACAATTGATTTACATAATTGGTAACAACAACAATAATAGTCACTTGAAAATATATATTTAGTATATTAGCATTGGTCAGAATCAGAGCCAAAAACCACATATATATTGTGAATAAAAGAATAAAATTACATTATATGCATTCATTCTCAAATCATTTACTTGACTTAGTGTCAATATGCATACCTGATCTCCTTAATTCAAAACAGTCACAAATATAACAGCCCAGTTTTTCCATAAGAGTTACATTTTCTTGAGTCAAGAGCCATAAAAATTTAGAAGATTTATTCGTATGTGGCATAATTCGGTTCATGAATACTAAAAAATTGATGTCTGTAGCATTTAAACTTCAGGACATTGATTCATTAAAAATTTCAAAAAACAGATTTATCAATTGATATATATAAAAGGTATGTGTTATAGGATATGAGAGGTTATCATAATATAGTATAAAAATCTACACTTTAAAACATCCTCTTATACCTCGATACTTGTCTCGAGCTGAAATTTGTGCGTAAGTGTATGCAGCACCAAGCGATAATCCAAGAGCTGCGAAATGCTTAAGATAATTCTTCATTTTGCAATGAACGCTATTATTTAAACTGAATTAAAAGACTTCTTGTCGAAAGTACGACCTCATGACTTTCAGAAAATCATCAACACTTTACACTATATTTTCAAAGGACATGCTAAAATACAGCACGCTGTATTAAATCCCACCAGATCATGATGATGGAGACTCCAAACTGTATGGAAACTGGTGTCTTATCATCTTTCAAAGACAGTGCTGAATATCAATTTTAAAATTGAATTTGATTAGCAACAAAATTTAAAGGTTGACATGTTTTGTTAAAATAAGGATACACGCGAAACAAGCACATGGTGATGCAAAAAAAAAAACAACAACATTATATAACTGAAAATTAACTACTATTCATCTTTAAGTTGTCAAATATTATTTGAAAAAAAAAAATATTTGAATATATATATAGTTTGTTTCCTACCTCCCCATTTGCCTATGTAACTGGAGTGCATGATTCTTATTAGTAAATCACATAATTTGCCTCCTCTAGATCTGGGACCCGAACCCAGGACCTACATGTTACAAGTCAGCGGCTAACTGACTGAGCTATTCCTAAGGAAGTACTTTCCTAGCTCAACCACTTAAGCCTGACTAAAGATCTACTATGCCGAAGAAGCAATCCTACATGTGACCTACATGTAGTCCAGGCTGCTAAACTCAGTCACTTATTTTCTGTTTTGTTATCTTGTGCTGTCACAGAGTCTAGCTCAGACTTAACTGTATCTGTTGTATTGTTTATCTCAAGGTCAATGGGATAGATGCTTCCAACAAAGTCACCAAACTGAATTATTTACGTAATTTAGTGAGAGAACATCATCTATACAGAAGAAAGTGAAGTTTAAATGCTAACTTCTTTTCTTTTTTCCTAAGAAGCTCCTGTATGAAGTAAGCCTGATATGAACAAAGGAACAAGTTGGCAAGAAGAGGAGCGCAGGTGGTTCCCATCGGAATGCCGAGTGTTTATTGAAAAACACATCCTCCAAATATAACAAATATATATGTTGTCAATCAAGAAATAAAGTATCTTGATAATGTCAGTTTCAAAGAATTTTTTGTTAGAATCAGAATGATATTATTCCCCCCCCCCCCCCCCCTCCCTAAGTCAAGATACTTGTATCTACATTGGCCATTCTTTTTTATGAAACAAAGCAGGATCAACTCTTTCAGTTTAAATTGTCTTTTAGCATGTTTAGTTTGGAATTGGGAATACTTGTGTAAAGTGTAGAAACGTCAAATGTGTTTTAATACTATTGCAAGATAAAAGAGTCTTAGATTGTATGTACTCTAGAACCTTTGTTATGTCACATTAACAGATATACACACACAAACACAATGTAGTCTTATAAGACTATAGGGTATGGGTTTTTTCTCATTGTTGAAGGCTGAACTGTTGCTAGACTTGCTACAATTCCCTTTCTTTTATTTCTTTCTTACTAATTTATTTGTTTACTGAAAACTGCCAGTATACTTATGAGGGTCGTAATGGGGGTACCCTCATGACGAATAACGGTAAAAATTCTTGCCAAATGACGTTAACAGTAATTTTTGGTGCATGACGATAAAATGTACACTTTCTTTTAGACGTTAAAAAAATTAACTGATTTTGACGCATCATGCTAAATTTTTTCCAAAAATAACGGTAACGATAATTATTTGAGTAAAATTTTAACCAATTTGATGCTAACGGTAGCCGAAAATGACCGTTTGACGCCTGACGGTAAAGGGCATTCCTACCCTTACTTATTGCCCTTGGAGAAAGCTCGATATATTCAGGAAGGACTGGTGCAAATATGTTGAAATGTGAAATATGCTGACTCCATATTTTAGCTACTAGGAAAGTGAAGTCACTAGCTATATTGTCCAATTCTGACTGACTGGGTATAAAAGTAGTGAAGGGCACTGTATTTGCATCTCCTTTGGCAACAGTGTTGTCTAGATGGTTCCCTGAAATTCTGTTTTCATAGGCACATATTTGGTACATATGATGATATCTGTGTTGATTATAGATTGTCATATTCCTGACTTTTGTACGCATATCAACATTATCTCCTACAAAGTAAAAGCCAGGGTGCATTAAATCTCTGTACTGATGCAAGTCATTCTCCGTGTTAGAAAGTACAAGAATTTGTAGTACCATTGTATCAGCATCTCCATTCACCAAATCAATGGACTCTTTGATCATTTGTAAATTCTGAAGTAACACCAATTCATGTGATGTTTCAGTTGTTACTAGTTCTTGCATAGCAACAAGATCCTTGTCCCAGTCATTCCCTAACTAGTCTGCCAAACTTAGCGTTGATTGGTAGCTTAAGCAGTCATGTGGCAATCTGTTTACAGCCAGCAGTCGCTATGCCTGGTATTAAAGCTTTGCCCTTTTTATACTTTTTATACTTATTAAACTGATGTGCTGGGTTTGATACCGACACTTCAAGTGATTTTAAAAAGTAGAGCTTTCTGTCTCCATTCATCTATAACTCTGGCAAATGTAAGAGACTTTATCTCGTCATGGTTTACGTAATATGGAGTTATTCTCCCTTAGTGCCAAAGTCTTAATTTCACCTTTGATGTTATCAAACACTATTTCTTGGAAAACATCTTGCAAATCTGGAATTTTTGAAATTAATGAACCAACTGTAAGCATACCACCAGAGGTTAAGACATCAAGAATTGGAAAGTGCTTAGAAGGCATGCACGGTATTTCATTTTTCTATCCACAGCATATTATAACCTACAATAAGAAGGTCTTTATTAAAAAAAATGAATATCATGTCTAAATATTTGACATTCAAGTAATAAATCTTCCCATTTTGAAAACCATGTGATAATTTTATTTTTCAAAAAAGTTCTGTTGTTTCATTGAATTTACCATTAATATTGGTAGTTCAAACAAATATAGCTTTCCATGGACTTAGATAACAATTTTGGCATCAACTGTTTATTTTTTTTTGTGTGTGTGGGGGGAATATGTTTTTTTTTTAATTTGCCTGATCTTTTTTGGAAAAGGGGCAAAAAAAACCAGTTCTTTTCCACTGAGAATTGGGACAAACAAAAATTTGACATTTTGTTTCAAAAAAATTATTTCTTGTTCCTGTATGCTAAAATAAAGTTGTTGTTTCCAAAAGATTTCAAAAATAAATTGCTTGTTCTGTGGAAATAACAATACCCCCCCTTCCCCACTCAAAATTGGTTGTTTCCTCATCAAACTAATGAATATTGTTAATAACTGTTTCATGTTTAATTTCTATATTTTTTTTCTTAAATACTATAAACAGTTGCACTACTGTCCTCAGAAAATTGTCTTTTGAATGAAACCAAGTTATGTCCATGTGTTTCACATAGTTTTGCCAAAGTATTCTGATATGACGATTTAAATGTTGTTAAAACACTGTCAAATTTTTTTGCAATTCTCTAACACATTTTCTTCAAGCAGTATCTGCATGTGTCTCTTCTGTAATATTTATTTCCAGATATTTTTCAATAAGAATACAGTATTCAGATTTGATGCTGCCATGAAATAATTATGCCCCCACTGTAGTGGAGGGGGCATTAAGTTTTACCCTTGTCCATCTGTACTTCTGTCCATACATCCCAAAATTGGTTTCCTTTCTCTAACTTTAGTTTGCCTCAACCAAATGTTATGAAACTTATACACAATGCTTATTACCACAAAACACAGGTTAAGTTTGAATTTTGGTGGTGTCACTTTTATCGTTCTAGAGTTGTGCCCCTTGACAAATGGAAAAATTGCTGCATTTTTATACGATCGCAAAATTTTTATATTGGTGTCATCGTCGGCGACTGCGACTGTGTCAGCGTCGTACGAAGACATTTGGTTTACGGACAATAACTTTAGTTTAAGTGTATGGATCTCTATGAAATTATACAAAAGGTTCAATACCACAAAAGGAAGGTTGGGATTGTTTTTGGGGATGATGGTCCCAACCGTTTAGGAATTAGGGGCCAAAAAGAGGCCAACACAAACATTTTTTCTAGTTTCAGGACAATAACTTGTGTATAAGTATTTTGATTGCTCTGAAATTGGACCACAAGGTTACATACCACAAGTAGAAGGTTAGGATTCATTTTGGGGGTAATTGCCCAAACCGTTCAGGAATTAGGGGTCAAAAAGGGTCTAAAACAAGCATTTTTCCAGTTTCAGCCAATAACTTGTGTTTAAGTGTATGGATGTCTCTTAATTTGTACCACATTTTACAAAAAGAAAAATTCTTCAAAATCAATTTTTTTGGAAGGGGGTAAAAAAAAAATTTTTTTAGGGGGAGACAAAATTCGGCGGGGACGGGGGGGGGGGGGGGGGGAGTCAATTTGTTTTTCCTCAAGATTGAAGAAATTATCAATTTTCCAAAGAAAAAAATTAGGGGTCACAATTTATTTTGCTAATTCATTTGTATATAGTCTGAAAACAAATTTACTAAGTATTGCGCAACAGCACAGTGTATTGCACAACAGCAAGAAATCTTCAATTGAATATAAATTCAAATCATACAACCAATTTCAAGTTCTTTGATTACATTTATTCTGTGTCAGAAACCTATAATGTGTCAAATATTTAATTACAATCCAAATTCAGACCTGTATCAAGCTTGAATATTGTGTCCATTAATGCCCCAACTGTTCAGGGTTGGACCTCTGCGGTCGTATCCAGCTGCGCTCGGCGAAGCAGTTCATTCGTTTCTGTTCTCTAACTTAAGTTTGCATCAATTAAATGTTATGAAACTTATACACAATGCTTATTACCACAAAACTCAGATCAAGTACAAATTTGGGTAGCGTCACTTTTACAGTTCTTGAGTTATGTCCCTTTATAACATTATATGCAAGCAGGGGGCATCATCTGATTCCCATTGACACATTCCCCATTTGTTTATTTTCTTCTATAATCACTTTTTTCAATTCTATTTCCACAAATTACACAAAGAGTTTTTTTAGTTGTTGGAGTATATTTTATAAATCTAAAAAACTTTTTTGGAGTAGAACATTCTGCCATTGGAAACACAAGAAACTCTGACAATGATGTAATGTTTGATCATATGTATAATTTCACTGACCTTATCTTTCTAGTAAGTAATAAAATGAAAATAAATAAACAGTATTTGCAAAACCCTGGAATATCAAGTTTCACTGTCATACTGTTATCTGAAATTCTTATCAATAAATGTCAATCTTAATTACTCTAAGATTAGCAGTTTGGTCAAGCCTCAGACAAACTTTGCAAGTCCCTTTCTCTGCAGATGTCAGTATAATGGTAATCTCTTAGTTATAGCAGTAAAATTGTTAAAGGGGCGTAATTTAAAAAAAAATAAAATAAGGAAGGGACATTAAGTCTAAACTGTTGCCTATAATTGCTTACATCCACTTCATCAGTCAGGGGACTTACTTAAATGAGTGATTTTCTAAATCACTGATTCAAGTAACATTATGTCCATAAAGGTTGGAAGTAAGAGTTGTCTTTCTTTAATAATCACCTATTTAAGTAGTACAAATTAATCACTAGACTAAGTGATTCAATTTTATTGTAGCTTTAAATATAGAATACTAATGATCCAGGGACTAATTATGTTGCTAAAATTATCAGAACCAACATCTGTGTTGATAGGATGACCGGGTCATGTCAGGTGATGACCATGTACTAAATCTAGGATAATGACATAAAAATCACTTGTTTCAGTATCATACCTCAATTTCCTTCCAAAAAATCACTTCTTTAAGTATCATTATTTTAATAACCCCCATTAATTTCAACACCCCCGAACAGTGAAATTTTGATCGTGAACAGTAGAATTTTATTACATTATCTATAAGAAGAAACCTTGAATTTTACAGGAAAAATACTCCCACTGCTGGGAAAAATCTGTTAAGAAAGTATCAGTCCATTATGTAAAGCCATTTTTATAGCATTTTTTCAACTAAAATAGAATTTGCAGCTAAATGATTGCATCAAAGGCATAAACCTTGCTGCTTAAAAGAAGCAAAAAGTTCATTTTTTTTAATTTTACTAATGAAAAGATATTATCTAAACCAATGTGTTTAAAATTTTGGTATAACTACAAAATCACAATTTGTGACAAAACTTCGAATTTGCTACTTAAATAAGTGATTTAAAAATCACTTATTTCAATAAGTCCCCTGACTGTTCATTTGAACTTTGTTGGATAGTTGTCTCATTGGCAATCATGCCTCTACTATTTTTATATTATGTGAAAAATAAATTCAATTAAGCTAATTAAAAGTACATACCCTATTTTTAGGACTTTCACGAGTAGAAAAATAACACAAATTTAAATCTTCACGAACATGTGAAACTTGGATCTTCCCTTATATACATGATATAAATATATCAAGAAAATGAAAAGATTTTGAAATAAATTTCCATGAAGTTGGCCAGAAAGAAGTAAAAGCGAAATAAATTATGTGCAGAAATAAGTTGGTTTACAGTTCCTGAAAAATTGTCATCTAATCAAAGTTATTCCAAATAATGAGCCTTTTCATTTTGTTTCTTAGGTAGTTTCAGTTTGAATACCCTGCTTACAGTCATCTTTACTTAGTCATTACAGTTGCACAGATTAGAGTGGAGTGGAAAGAAAATGTTTTGAATTTTAGAATAAATTTTTTTCTTTCTAAAAGTTTTATTGAAAGAGAAGATTTTCTTCTGTTCTAAATAGTGCTTATTTTGCTTCTGTGTTCAGTATCTTTAATTATCATCATGGTATTCAACTTTGAAAAAAAAAGTTTTGAGCTGAGAAGTGTTCCGCAAAAACAAGTTGCTCCCTTGACTTTGCCACTAATGGTATTCTATTTTTCTCTTTGCAGATATGATCATCATGGGATAGACTGATGCTGTAAAATTGTGTTTGTAAAAATCATACAGGATATCTTTCTACAAAAATGGCACTGAATCGAATATGCATTCCTTGGTCTAAGGTGCCTAGATGTTCAGTGATATATAATTGTTTGCTTGCAAATCAAACTTGTCTGCGATATCAAACATGTGAAAAATCAAGTTCCAGATTTTTAACAAAATCATCTAAAGTATTCTCTAACACTGATTCAGAGAATGTGGTTGAAAATAAAATTGCCAACAACTCAAGTGTTTTAGGACGTCAGTTACTTCACCCTACTGGAATGACAGAAATTTTAGCATGTGAAAGCAGCAAAGCTCTTTTGTCACTTGCTTCAAGAAAAACACAGGATTGGAATTTTAATCCCACTGACCTTGTTCCCATTTTCAGTCACCTTGAAGATATTGTCTATGAAAAAGAATTAAGTCACCTGTCTTGGCTATATGGAGAAAGGAAAATTGCATTTCAACAGCTTGTTTATAATAAGAGATTACAAACTGATGTAAATACTCCACTGCAGGGACCAGAATTCACACAACTATTACAATCTCTTTCAACAAGCATAGATGACTTGGAGACAGAACATTTAACAGAAATTTTATCTTCTGTTGCTCATCTTGGAGTCCCTTTGTCAAATGTTACATGTGTTTCCATTCTTAACCAAATTTTAGACAAATCTTCATCATTTTGTTGGTCAGATTTTAGATTTATTGTTCCATTAGCAATGGATGGTGTTATTGGGAACAGAGAAATCATACTCAACAGGTTTATTTATCCCAAATTTAATGAACTGATAAAAAATGGTGGTTTAGAAGGACAGAGTCGAGATATGCTCCTTTCTTTTCATCCTTTACTCCTTCGAGCTGCAGACAGGTATCCAGTAGATATTATAATCAAATGCATGAGAAAAATTGCATCTTTAACTTCAGAGGAAGTTTTCAATGATTATGAGGTAGCTGTAGACATGTTTGATTTGATGGTTAATTTAGCAAAGGATGATGGTCATAAGAGTCTTCATTGCTCTGATGTGATGTTTCAGTTATTTATCAAGATCTGTCTGAGGTCTGCCGAAACAATATTAGAAAATATTGATGATGTAGAACCCTATAGTTACAGAACAATCAGAAAAGGTGTATGGATTATCAATCAGTGCATTTTCTTTTATCCAAAACAGTTAACAGATGTATTTAATTTACTTGAAAATGCATTAACAAATAAATGTACTGAATTACTTGAGAGAGAAAATTTGACTTCAGCAGAAGTGAGCTATGCAATACCTCATGTTCAGAATTTAAGAGAATCTGTACAAGGTGAAAAAATAGAACAAACTTTGAGGAAATGTTTGAAAGATGCTGATGGGTTTATCATTAGTCATTTGGCATATAATATTCATAGAGAAAATGTTAGTATGGATTTCCTTTATGACCTTAATAATATTTGCTTAGAAAGGATAAGTGAAAAATACGACAAAAAAATTATAAGGTATTTAGGTTTCAGTACGAGGAATGATATAGAACCAATACGAAATCAAATTATATCCAAATTACTACACATGTTCAAACACAAGACTTACAGTACCACAATGACCTGCAGACTTGGTGCTTCACTTATACTGCTTTCACCAGAGATAGATCCTCCTCCTTTTGTAATCAATGACCTTTTACAAGCTATTCCAAGGGCAGAAGTCAAGGATATATTTTTTATATCAGTATGTTTCAGAAAAATGTTTAGACAAAGAAAAAAGGAGTTTTATAGATATTATGGAGATTTAATGATGGCGATAAACAAATCTGTTTCAGCAAAAATCAATCAAGGTCAACAACTTGATACATTAACCAGACACATAAACATGATGATCTCTTGTGACATACCTTTGTTGAGAATGGACAATGAAGCCATTATAGAATTTTCCAGAATGCTTCCAGATGTGGCTAGAAACATGACCATGCTTGAGTTTGGACATCTTCTACGGAGGATTTCAGTAACTGCTTACTATAATGAGGAGTTATTACATATAATAGAAAACTATGTTATTGAGAACAAAGACAATATATTGATAAATCACCTGACCTATGTTCTTGGTTACATGGAAGAAACAGGATATGAAATAAAAGAGCACAAATTTGAATCTGTATGTTTGGAAATTCTAGACAGGAGTTTTGAAGAATTATCTCAATATGAACAGATTGATATAGTCTTGGACCTATGTACACTACAAGTTTACCCAGAGAAATACATTCATCATATTTTCTCTTTGGAATTCTTTAAGCAGTTGGGTGATTTTATAAATGGTATGTATGTATTGTTAAAATGAATAGAGATGTGGGATACTGTGGATTCATTATTTTTGTTTGATACCAATTTTCATGGGTTTAGTAGATAAAGGTGAACAAAGAATTTAAATGTTCAACGAATTAGATACTTTCTATAGGCTTGTATAAAATCAAATACTTGTATCCCCAAAAATGCACATTTTCCTCTATGAGAATTGGTACTAAAAATAAATCTACAGTACATAATGTCAGTGAAAAGGCAACAAGCAATAAAAATACATTTCAAGGTAAAGTTTAGTGTATTGAATATAGATAAAAAGAATGCAGTACTAATATCAACAAGGTCATAATCCAACAACACACCAAACCAAAAAACACCTACAGATCAACACATGGCCTTCAGCCATGTCAGCAAAGACGAGTGTCTATACAAAATGTCATGCTCTCAACAGTCTTAGACAAATTTAAAAATTTAAAAAAGAACTACCATAAACCTGCCATCACACCAAATTCCTTTAATGACAAATACATCAAGATAACTAATGACATTCCTGTTTTGGGAAAAGCAAAAGAATGTTTCTTCTGATCTGGTTTGAATAGATTTTTTTATGAGTGATGTCTCTATGGTCTTACATCATAAACAAAAGGAGATGAGGGCTATAAATCAATCAACCCAACAACACAAAACATCTAGACAGGTGTCTAAAGTCAAGGATACATCAACCCAACACAAAACATCTAGAGACATGTCTAAAGTCAAGGATACATCAACCCAACAATGCAAAACATCAAGAGACAGATGTCTTAAGTTAATGACACATCAACCCAACAACACAAAACATCTAGAGACAGATGTATGTATGTCAATGCCAATCAACCCAACACAAACATGACAAAACATCTCGAGACAGGTGTCTATAGTCAATGATACATCAACCCAGAAACACAAACCACCTAGAGACAGGTGTCTTAAGTCAATGAGACATCAACCCAACAACACAAAACATCTAGAGACAGGTGTCTAAAGTCAATGATACATCAACCCAACACCACAAAACATCTAGAGACAGGTGTCTATATGTCAATCAACCCAAAAACACAAAACATCTAGAGACAGGTGTCTATATGTCTATGTCAATTTAAATTGCCAAGAGCTAAGGAAAATTAGGTTAAGCTGGAGTTAAAAATTCAGCATTCAATCTAGATTATGCGTTCAGCAAGAATTTATTTACTTAGTATTCATTCCCCTAGAAATAATCACCAGTTATACTTGTATTTCAGGTTTGAAAGATGAGCAAGAAGTCTTAAGGATAAGGTTAGCCCTGGCTAATCTAAATAGAACAGTTGTCATTGATTGTCCACAGTTAAATATTCCTTGGATCATGAAAAAGTTTCCACCAGGTAAGACAGAGTCACAAGTATAAAGTAAAATCACAAAAATACTGAACTCCGAGGAAAATTCAATCGGAAAGTCCCTAATCACATGGCAAAATCAAATGACAAAACACATCAAACGAATGGACAACAACTGTCATATTCCTGACTTGGTACAGGCATTTTCAAATGTAGAAAATGGTGGATTGAACCTGGTTTTATAGCGCTAAACCTCTCACTTGTACGACAGTCTTATCAAATATAACTTTCAAAGGTTTATTTTACATTTCATTATTTTATGTGTTTATTTGAAATTAACTATGTAATGTAAGTATGTGCCTTATGTTTAATGCAATATTTTTATTCAATGCTTGGCCTGTTGAAAAAATACAAGAAGTTGGAAGCTGTATCAGAAATATTTAAAACACAATTCAAAGTATAAATAATGAGTTATGCAAGTTTTGAGAACATCTGAAGGATGATATTTGATAAAAATTAATTTTTTGACTTTCAAATCAATGAACCAAAAAAAAATGACCCTATCATACATTCTCCTTTTGGTACATGTATATAGAAATTATTGTCAAATGGGGCTTCTTTTCATAAACATGATAAACATAATGACACAACTTCGATTTTCAGGAGTTTAAGTAAAAGAATGGAAAAAATCAGTTGCTAGTTACATTGGGTTAAAGCAGAAAGTTTTTTTCTGGCTGGATTAAAGTTTTTCCACATCAGAAAGCTTTTATTAATAAATCACCAGGATGAGTTGATATCAAGGCCTTTTAGCCAACATTCTTCCAAACAGGGGGCTTCAAATTAATTCCTTCCTAATTTCATTGGACACTTTAAAATTTGTCTGGAACAACTTATAATTTCCTTTAACATTTATATATACTAGGTGATACTTTGTAGTAAATATATTTATATTTGTACTGTTTGATTTTTTCTCTTTAGAATTTAAAGTTGAAAGTACAAAGACATTTAGACGTAGAAGATTTGAAGATTTGGAATCAGTCATTCATTCCGTATTAGGGAGTGAAGTGTTTTACAAGAGAACAGATTTTTTACCATACAATTATATAGGTGGTAAGTTTCCTAGTTTTGTTTTTTATGCCCCTCCCGTTGGTGACAGGGACATGCATTGTTATCCATGTCTGTTATTTCATCATATAACAGTTATGCATGCCTATAAAATGAGGGGTGGGGGGGGGGGGGGGTGGAGTGGGGTGGAGGGGAGATACCAAAGATACAATCAAATGACATAAGTAGAATAAGAATAGACAACACTATGGCCAAGAAGAGTGGACTTTCATTTTAATGGACGAAAAAATGTTTTATTTAAATAAAATGACCTAACAAGAATTGAACTATGATACATTTTGAATTTCGTCACAGTTTATTTACCTTTTCCTTTTAATTACTTATAAATGTTTTGCCAATATACCTTTATATACTCCTTTATTTCTAGAAGTACCAGTAAATATGATGATTATTTACTGTAAAGTAATTTGTACTGTTTTACATTGCTGTACTCATTCTATAATATCATGCCAGGAAAAAAAAGTTATGTGTTTGATTTCATATTGAGATGCACTTTTACGGTACTTGTTTTATTTGCATAGAAAATACAACAAAATAAAAAAATCATTTATTTGTCAAGACATGCTTCATGTATCATATTGTAATAATGTTAATGATTTTTTCCCCAAAGATTTTGTGTTTTATTTGGATAAAGACAGAAAACCTGTTGAATACAGAAAAGGAAAATATTCGAAGGATCCATCTATACAAAGGTATGTTAAAAATGTTTGTGCTCACCTGGCCAAAAATGCTATGTGAGCTATTGCCACCACTTGTCTGTCGTAGTGTACTTTTTAGCTCACCTCACTAAAGGGTCAAGTGACCTATTCTCATCACTTGGTGTCCATTGTCTGTCGCTAAAATTAGAACATGGGGTAAAATGGCCAGGAGTGTCTATTATGTTGAAAACCACCATGGATATAAAAAATGTGACAAGGACAGAAATGTTCCAAATGACGAGATCTACCTTACTCTCAGGCAACTTATTGCCCTTAAAGTGGAATTTTACCAATTTTTTTTTTCTTTTTTGTATATTATCTTGAAAACTATAATAGATGGAGAGAAACATTAATCAATAGCAAAAATAATCAATAATAAAAGATCTACAAATAAGTCAACATGAACATGGCTGAAATTGTCAGTTGCCTCATTGAAATAATTGCTCTTAATGTATTTTTTAGTCCCCTACTGTCCATCAGTCTGTCAGTCCGTCAAATCAGTTTTCCACACTTTATTCTTCGTCCTTGAAGATATTGATTTGATATTTGGTATATAGTTTTATCATGACGAGTCACAGATCAAGTTTAAATTTTGTTCAGGTCTTACGATTTTATGTAGAGTTATGTTCCTTGGACACAAGTAATTGGTTTTCCTCATTTTTTTCGTCATGCTTGAAGATATTGATTTTATATTTGGTATACACAAATAATCAGTTTTCCACACTTTTTTTCGTCATGCTTGAAGATGTTGATTTGATATTTTATAATTAGTTTTAACTATGACAAGTTAAGATTAAGTTCAAATTTTGTTTCAATCAGATGATTTTTCTATCTATCTGTCTATTAATCTTGTTGATATAACTCCTTTAGAGAAACTCTCATTCACAAGAAAAACTTTTCAAATATTTTAGAATAAACAATATTTGCACCAGGAGATATTTGAATTTTTATCATTTTTCAAAGTTATTGCATCTTGAAAGTTATAATAAATAGATTGAACTTGTCAACTTAAAAAATGATAAGAAATACAAGATCTACAAAACGTTCAGATGACTAATCATTTGATGACTCCTTCTGAGAGTTATTGCTCTAAAATAAATTTTTTTATACGACTGCATAAATTTGCGGCCGTATAATGGCATGGCGATGTCTTCATCTGAAGACATTTGGTTTCCAAACAATAACTGGAGTATAAGTGTATGCATCTCTATGAAATTGTACAAGGTTCCATGCTTGGGTTTGATTTTGGGGGTTATGGCCCTAATAGTTTAAGAATTTTGGGCCAAAAAGGGGCCAAAAGCAAACATTTTTTTTTTGTATCCAGACAATAACTTGTGTATATGTATAGAAATAAGAAGATGTGGTATAATTGCTAATGAGACAACTCTTCACAAGAGACCAAATGACACAGAAAATAACAAATATAGGTCACTGTACAGCCTTCAACAATGAGCAAAACCCATACCGCATAGTCAGCTATAGAAGGCCCCGAAATGACAAATGTAAAACAATTCATACGAGAAAACTAACGGCCTAATTTATGTACAAAATAATGAACAAAAAACAAATATGATACACAGAAACAAACTACAACCACTGAATTACAGGCTCCTAACTTGGGACAGGCACATACAGAATGTGGCGGGGTTAAACATATTAGGGGGCGCCCAACCCTCCCCCTAACATGGGACAGTGGTGTAACAGTACAACGTGTATGGATTTGTATGAAATTACACCACAAGGTTCCATACCACAAAAGAAAGGTTGGATTGAATTTAGGGGTTATGGCCGTATCTCTTAGGAATTAGGGGCCAAAAAGGGGTAAAAATACAAGCAATTTTTGTCTCGCCTGCGACAGCGACGGTGAAGGTGACGGCTCTGGCGTCAACAATTGGTAAGTTTTCTTCTTAAGTTAGTTTGATAGTAACTACTTGTGATAGATCATTGATATTTGATATAAAGTTGCATTACTATCGGTACATATCAGTTTGACGACTATTCCGAGGCCCTGCTCCTAGGTCCAGTGAATTTGAATTAATTAGCAATTTTTAATGTTAAGTTTTCTGCTTAAGTTAGTTTGATAGGATCTACTTGTGATAGATCAATGATGTTTTGTATGAAGTTGCATTACTATCAGTTCATATCAGTTTGACAACTATTTCAAGGCCCTGTCCCCTAGGACATGGTCCAGTGACTTTGAATTAGTTAGCGATTTTCAATGTTAAGTTATCTACTTAAGTTAGTTTGATAGGATCTACCTGTTATAGATCAATGATATTTTTGTATGAAGTCACATTACTATCAGTATATTTGTTCACAAAATACAGACTCAGCAATCACTGTTTAAGAATAGAAACGGTTAGACATGAACGATTTATCAATGTATGTGATAAATATGAAATATTACCTCGACATGAGAGGATATGTTTATATTGTAATTCAAATTCTATTGAAAATGAAATGCACTTTCTTCTGGAATGCCCTCTTTACAATAACCTCAGAAGAGATGTGACTGATTATATCAAAAAATACCCCAGTTTAGTTAATTTAAACAGAAATGATCTTTTTACATGGATTATGAGTAATGAAGATAGCAATTTTTTATCTATTTTATGCGCATACCTTGATAAAGGCCTGCAACTTAGAAAATCAGAAAATTAATTAAATACTCTAATACATAGCAAAATTATCTCCCCTTGACCACTGACCCTTTCCTCATGCATTTGAACTATTATTTTATGTTTCTTTAATCACTCTGTAATGTTTATGTCATGTTGTTATTAATGTTATGCTCTTAATGGGACCTTTAATTTGGAAAAATAAAAATATTATTGTATTGTATAGTACATATCAGTTTGACGACTATTTTGAGGCCCTGCCCGATCATGGTCCAGTGACTGAATTAATAAGCAATGTTGCTATCAACAGTTTATTTAAACTTTGTTTGAATTGCTTATTTCTGACCAATTTCAATGGGGTTTGAATAATCTTAAAAATATTGGGGTTCTTTGATATAATTAATCTTACCTTGTATTTAGAATTTTGATTTTGGTCTCTGTTTTCACGTGCAAATTAGGGTGCAAAATTAAACTTTGATTGATTTCAATATGTGAATCAAATAATGTATTTAGATTAGACCCATTTTTAGCTCACCTGGTCCGAAGGGCCAAGTGAGCTTTTCTCATCACTTTGCGTCCGTCGTCTGGCGTCGTCTGTTAACTTTTACAAAAATCTTCTCCTCTGAAACTACTGGGTCAAATTTAACCAAACTTGGTCACAATCATCATTGGGGTATCTAGTTTAAAAAATGTGTCCGGTGATCCGGCCAACCAACCAAGATGGCCGCCATGGCTAAAAATAGAACATAGGGGTAAAATGTAGATTTTGGCTTATATCTCTGAAACCAAAGTATTAAGAGCAAATCTGAAAGGGGTAAAATTGTTTATCAGGTCAAGATCTATCTGCCCTGAAATTTTCAGATGAATCGGAGAACCTGTTGTTGGGTTGCTGTCACTAAATTGGTAATTTTAAGAAAATTTTGCAGTTTTTGGTTATTATCTTGAATATTATTATAGATAGAGATAAACTGTAATCAGCAATAATGTTAAGCAAAGTAAGATCTACAAATAAGTCAACTTGATCAAAATGGTCAGTTGACACCTTAAGGAGTTATTGCCCTTTATAGTCAGTTTTTTACAATTTTCATAAATTTTGTAAATTTTTGTAAATTTTTACAAAATATTTTCCACTGTAACTAATTGGCCAAGTTCATTATAGATAGAGATAATTGTAAGCAGCAAGAATGTTCAGTAAAGTTAGATCTACAAACACATCACCATCACCAAAACACAATTTTGTCATGAATCCATCTGTGTCCTTTGTTTAATATGCACATAGACCAAGGTGAGCGACACAGGCTCTTTAGAACCTCTAGTTCAAATTGGGTCCAAAGGGTCCAAAATTAAAATTTGTGTGATTTCAACAAAAATTGAAAAGTAAGTGTTTTGGCTTTGCTGATTCAGATATATTAATTTTAGTGAACTTAGCTAATATATATTGTCCATTGATAAATAAATGAATAAAATTCTTGGTGTACTTGGTGTACTTGGATATCTGAATCTAACCGTGTATTTAGGTAGTAATACACAGTTAGAAGTTTGGTTTCATATTTTGGCCATGGTGAATTTTTTAGATATGAAAGTTATTGTGCTATAAAATTGATTTTAGATAGCTAAAGAATAGTAAAGCATTTAAAGTGGGTTCATATGAACATCAAGATTTTTTTTGCAAGTTTTATAGGCCATTTTCTGTTTGACAGTCCATATTTTCACATCTGTACCGCCATAGGTCCAGAAATTATTGCAGTGTTTTTCAACAAATATTTGAGGCTTGAAAATTTTGGAGGTGAAATGCATATGATTTTTTTTTGGATCTCTTGATAGATAAATGTTAATGGTTTCAGAAAAGGTATCACTCTAATGAATTAAAATTCTACTTTTGACTAAATTTTGGGGACTTTTGTGACATTTTCACCCCCTTTTTGCAATATTTTGTATCAAATAAATGCAGATTGTTGCTATGGTTACACCAAACCATAACACAAACATTTAGCTTTATTTGTTAGCAAACAAGGGAAAGAGAATGGTTAAGAATTATGAGTGTCAATTTTTAGTTTTTTTCCTAACCATGCTAACTGTATATTGCTACCTTAGATTTTGGATATTGGACCGTAATAGGTAAATCCATTTTTTTTCAGTTTTTTTACCGCATTCAAAACCTCACAATCCCAATTCAGAGCTGTATCAAGCTTGAATGTAGTGTCCATACTTGCCCCAACTGTTCAGGGTTCGATCTCTGCGGTCGTATCTAGCTGCACACCACGCAACATTTTATTGGAATAATTTTATGATTTTGCCTATTATTTCAAAAACTACTACAGATATAGATCTATTATAGTTTGGTAGAAACTGCAATCAATAAAAAGGGTCACCAATACGAGATCTACTAAAATGCCACCAAATAAGATCTACAAGTAAGCAAACATAACTGATTGCAACAAAGGCAAAAGTTCATAATCAAAATGGCATAGTTTCCCATGTGAGAGATTCATAGCAATGCAGCTGTATTTTTGTGATCTTTACAAATTGTTAAATTTACTTTGTGTTCAGCTTTTGATTATGAAATAATAATAATGAATAAAAGAAATTTTGAATCATAGAGGTCAATGGAACATTAATCCAACAACACAAATAACTAAATATAAACATCTAGAGATCAACACTTTGTCTTCAACAAAAGACAAGTGTCTATTTTATGATGTATGCCTAGTTGTAAATCAGTTTTATTCTAATAAAAGTTGTGAATAGATATTAACAGAGAACTGCAATCAACACCAAATTCTCGAAATGACAAAAGGCAAATGGTGTTGAATTCCTTAACAAGTGGATTAACATGTCATACTAGTTATGAAATCTCAATCAGTTGACTATATAAAGGTACATACTGGAAAAGATTATGTGAAAACAAGAGTACACACACTGACAAGTCTTGCCTGCTTAATGATCAAGATAGAATTTTATATTGGAACACTTCAAGACACAGATTTTACTACAGTTATCACATAAATTTAATATTATCAACGATCTATGAGAAAAGAAGCTAACCACGAAAATTTAACGTTGACCAATGAACTTTGAAATGATGTCATGGTCAGATTAACACTGCCAGTCAGATTTGTAGAATTTACATTCATTCAATACACCAAATATAGTATCATATAAAATTACCCTTTTCTCATAAAAAAGTGAGAAAATCATGTGATAAATAAACTTCTGGGGATTCATTTATTTTTATGTATACCAATTTCTGTGGATTGAGGACGAGCAGTATTTTAGGGGTATTTGCCAAAGTCAGCATACAAGCGTATAGAAATTTTATTCTTCTTTGAACATTGAAATTAGGGGTTTATCTCTACCAAGGAATCCCAATGAAAATGAGATCAAGGACAAGTGACAAGTGCCAGATGGAATCTTCAGACCATAAGGCATCTGTATGCAGAATGAAATATCAGTCTTCTACCTCCTGACATATAAAGCTTTATACTAATAGTGTATGCTGCTATCTCTCCTGCCAAATTAGCATGCCTATGTCTTCTATTAGTCACAAGGGAGACAAAAGTCAGACCATGAAAAGCACTCAACTCTAATAACATTAAAAACAAAACAACAAATAATACTTCATCAACAATTGCTTGCAGTTACTGAAAACAATCCAGAAAACTATTTGAATCATGTAAGCAATAAAGATAATAATATGTTTTTTTTTCATTTTTAGGGTTGCTGTATTATATATGGATCAAAGACATTTCTGTTTAAACAGTCGACGATTAGTTGGTTCATTTAAAGCAAAAATCCGCCATATACAGATGTCAGGATCTCATGTTGTAGAGGTAAAAACAACTGTAAACAGATGAAGTTATTTTACTTGTGATAATTTGATGGCAATACATCAGTGACATTGACAGAAATATCTAAATTTTTTTAAGGGGTTTACAAGATAAAATGCTTTACATGGTTTACATGATCATAATCAATATAAAAAGATGTGGTATGGTTGCCTTTGAGACAAATCTCCACCAGAGACCAAATGGCATATGAATTAGCAACTATAGGTCACCCACCGTACAGCCTTCAACCATGAGCAAAGGGCATATCAACCTATAAAAGGCCCCAAATGACAAATGTTTACTGATCTAATGCCAGCTTGCAATTTACTGAGTGCCTTCTGTTGTGGTTTTATTGCCATGTAGCTGTTTTCATTTTTGTCCTTTGGTCTTTTGTAGAATACTTGACTCTACACACCACATCACCTTATTTTCATATTTACAATAAGTGGGAAATTATGAATCGATTGTATTAAATAAAGTTTGCATACCCTAAACAGAAATCAAAGCGCGAAAGCGCTGTAAAGGCAGTTAATTACAGGTTGTGTGTATTTTTAGTCCATTTATATCATTATCTTGCATAGTACATTGTACTTATCAGAGGTGGCTTTCAGTATTTAAGATTTAGAGTTCTCTAATGATATTGAACAAGTTTTATGAATGTCATATTCTGAGCACTATATGAAGGCGATTGTTCTCACTTGTTTATGAACTAGTGCATTATGTCCAGTTTGTACCTTTTTTATCTATGTTTATAGTCAAATACTGTTTAAAATAGTTTGGCATTTTCTTTTAAGTAATAAGTAAATGTTATCAACTGTATTTTATTCAACTTTGCAAATGAGGTTTGTTACTGGTAAGTACAATGTATGGATGATAGTTGTTTCATTGGCAATCATAACACACCTCCTTATTTATATAATGATCTATATTCAACGACCTCAGGTACAAAAAAAATGTATGTAACTAAACTATGATGGGAAACCTTTGACTTCTTTCTTTAATATAAACTTTTGATTTGGTACCATAGAACTATGTAGAATAAATGTACATTGCAACATGTCAACTCTTTCAATGACAATACTTTTTTTAGAAACTATAACTCCAAGCAAAATTATATTTCCAAGTATAAAGTAATTTATGAATGAAACAAGAGTGCACACGCTGAAATGTCTCGCCTTCTTTACTAATCATTGATATTATGTTGATAGTCCTAAATATAAAGCTTTATTACAACTGTCACATAAACTTAACATTAACCAAGTAAACTAAACATTGACCAATGAACCAAGAAAATGAGGTCAAGGTCAGATGAACCATGCTAGGCAGGCATGTACAGCTAACAATTCTTCCATACAACAAATATAGTTGACCTATTGCTTATAGTTTAAGAAAAACAGACCAAAACACAAAAACTTAAAACTGAGCAATGAACCTTGAAAATGAGGTCAAGGTAAAAAAAAACCTGCGTGACTGACATATAGATCATAAAATATTTCCATACACCAAATATAGTTGAACTAATGCATATAGTATTAGAAAAAAAGACAAAACTCAAAAACTTAACTTTGACCAATGAACCGTGAAAATGAGGTCAAGGTCAGATGACACCTGCCAGCTAGACATGTACACCTTACAATCATTCAATACACCAAATATAGTAGACCTATTGCATACAGTATAAGAAAAACAGACCAAAACACAAAAACTTAACTATAACCACTGAACCATGAAAATGAGGTCAAGATCAGATGACACCTGCCAGTTGGACATGTACACCTTACAGTCCTTCCATACACCGAATATACTAGACCTATTGCTTATTGTATCTGAGATATGGACTTGACCACCAAAACTTAACCTTGTTCACTGATCCATGAAATGAGGTCGAGGTCAAGTGAAAACTGTCTGACGGGCATGAGGACCTTGCAAGGTATGCACATACCAAATATAGTTATCCTATTACTTATAATAAGAGAGAATTCAACATTACAAAAAATCTTAACTTTTTTTTCAAGTAGTCACTGAACCATGAAAATGAGGTCAAGGACATTGGACATGTGACTGACGGAAACTTCGTAACATGAGGCATCCATATACAAAGTATGAAGCATCCAGACCTTCCACCTTCTAAAATCTTAAGCTTTTAAGAAGTTAGCTAACGCCGCCGCCGGATCACTATCCCTATGTCGAGCTTTCTGCGACAAAAGTCGCAGGCTCGACAAAAAGGAGTTCTTTATTAAGTAATAAACGGATTCGCTGAGCGCAGCTGGATACACCCACAGAGGTCCAACCCTGAACAGTTGGGGCAAAAATGGACACAATATTCAAGCTTGATACAGGTCTGAATTTGGATTGTAATTAAATATTTGACATATTATAGTTTTTGAATAAATGTAGTCAAAGAACTTGAAATCGGTTATATGAATTGAATTTATATTCAATTAAAGATTTCTTGCTGTTGTGCAATACACTGTGCTGTTGCGCAATACTTAATTAATCTGTTGCCAGACTATAAACAAATAAAGTTCAATTTCTTCTCAATGTCATATTTAAAATTTATGAAAATCAATAGGGAGATTACATCAATAGCTATAAATAATTCACCAAAGTTTCATGGGAACTGCTTAAAGCATTTTTGAGTTGTTGTCCAAAAACTGGAAAATCCCCCCCTTTTTAGTGAATAAAACCCCATAACTCAGAAATGTAAAATCTAAAATATATAAAATTCTAAAAGGAGCTTACGGATTGATAATTTAGTCTTAGATGCAAGATTTTTTTATCAGTTGTTTGTGGCTTTGAACTAGCTGTCAGTAAATGCGAGTACTCTCAGATCTGTACTTAGTGTCTTATTGTTGTTTGGATGTACAACTACCCGGCCACGTCCACTTGTATTTGTATTTATCCATCTGATGAGTTAAGCCTCTTTCAACTGATTTTTATAGTTCGCTCTTATATTGTACTGTTACACCACTGTCCCAGGTTAGGGGGTGGGTTGGGATCCCGCGAACATGTTAACCCCGCCACATTCTGTATGTACATGTATGTGCCTGTCCCAAGTCAGGAGCCTGTAATTCAGTGGTTGTCTTTTGTTTATGTGTTGCATATTTGTTATTCGTTCATTTTTTGTACATAAATTAGGCCGTTAGTTTTCTTGTTTGAATTGTTTTACATTGTCATTTCGGGGCCTTTTATAGCTCACTGTGCGGTATGTGCTTTGCTCATTGTTGAAGGCCGTACTGTGACCTATAGCTGTTAATTTCTGTGTCATTTGGTCTCTTGTGGAGAGTTGTCTCATTGGCAATCATACCACATCTTCTTTTTTATATTTACATCAACAGATATAAACAATTCACCAAAGTCAAGGTGAGACAACAAAACTTAGTTGTAAGATCTCTGAAATTTTTTACACGGTACAAATTTTTCTAATTGTTGGAGATTGTATGGTGACAGTAACACCTGTAACTGCTTAACCCATTTCTTACATGTATGCACTTTGGTTCGATAAACTCACTGAATATCATACCACATCTCCTTATTTTTATATGTATTACAATTTACATGTGCATGTAATTGTAAATAATATTTATATATATATATCAGAACAAACTTCATTGCGTCACTTTTATGTATGCATCCTTTGGCACAATACAAGTTCTAAAATTACACAACATAAAACAACTAAATGTTATTTCAGATGAAAGTTTTGTTTCAGTTCCATTCATAGGATTTATTAGTATTTTGTATGTTTTGCCAAGTCCAATAATTAGCTCTATGTGCACGTGTTAATTGGAGACTTTTCTATCCCGTATAAGAGTTTTGGAACTAATTCTGTTTCTTTTTTTGAAAAAAGTGAGCAAACAAATCTTGCACATTTAAACCTTTGTCTGCCATCATACTGTCACCTGGATCACATAATTGAACTATTCTACATCTTTCAACTATTTCACAGTCACTGGTACAACCAACATATGCATTAGAGACATAGTTGACTAAACCACCAGGTGTCGAACATACAAGTATTTTCAGTGTTTCTGTTTTTATATGATGAAAAGGTTGCCTGAGCTCTAGGAGCTTTAGGTTTTATCACGGGATATTCTGTGCTGTCAATAATAATCCAAGTTGTAGGAAACTTTAATTCTAAGTTGGATGGCGAAAAATACCTGACTAAACCACTTAATGGCCAAGTGTTAGCCTCAAGCCACTGTTTAGACATAAAAACAATCCATGTTTACACAATATTCTTAACACTAGTTTCAATCTAGAATCTAGACAGTTCAAAGTTGGTTGTATAATGCATCAATTTCATCAAAGTCATAAAAAAACTGATTTTCAAATGACACCCTATCAATTTGAAAATATATGTATCTCAAACAATGTGCTGTTGGACCAAGTGTGGTCAAAACAAATAAAAATTTAGTATACAACTCTAAACCGGTATAAAAATGCATGGCTGTGTCACGTGTCTTCATTTCAAAATTCTCTGCTGAAAATATAGGCATTGATGGTGTTTGCGTAATTCCATCTGTGAAGCTCAACATTAGCTCGGCAGTTGGTGGTGGACAGTCATAAATCCTGTCTGCAGTATGAATTATTTCTTCAGGAAAACCAACTTTACAATCAAAACTTTCCTCTAGATTTCTACTACAATATTCATCAAGTTTAGTTCTTTTGTTTTCACAGGAAACTGCCCTGATTTTTCTTTTTGCGGACGATTCAGTCTCTTGCTTGGTCCAGGAAAATAGGCTGGGATTGGCAGTAGACTTAAGTCTCTGTATGGTGGGTTTGTGCCCTGAAAAAGGTTATAAAACATTAGTTTTTTGATAATTAAATGAACTTCCATTAGCAATGCATACTTTGTACAGAAGCAAGTTAACTTGTACCATTGTAAACTCGTACCACGTAAACTCGTACCAACGTAAACTCGTACCACTGGGAAGTCGTACCAATCAGAACTCGTACCACTGCAAACTCGTACCATTAAAAATATATTAAAAAATACGAAAGTTTTATGATTTTTTTTTTGGTAAACTAAATAAAAAAAGTTGAATTACTTGAATTTTATACTAGATTTTAATGAAAACTTAGACAAAAATACGAATGTTTTATGATTATTTTTTTTTAAAGCTTTATACAAAAAATTAAAATATCTTTGAAATTTATCATGTTTATACCAGATTTTAATGAAAACTTAGACAAAAATACGAATGTAATTTCTTAATTACCATGCTAATAAATATATTAAATTCCTTTGATTGTGTGATTATTGGTTGATTATTAACTAATCAACTTGCTTTTTTATCTTTAACTAATCAACTTGTATAATCATATAAGCATGGTCATATTCTGCTGAAATGTGCTGAATATTGTATAAAAATAAATTTCATACTTTCTAACTGTTGGTCATAAACAATTTTAAACCTTTAAAACACAATCAATAAATTCTTTCATTAAATAAAATTCCTTTTAGAAACAATAGAAAAATACCCAAATCTATTCAATGTTACTGATTTGGAATGATTAAAAATTAAATCAAATAGTTGTCAGTAAAAGTTTAAAAAAGAGTCTATTCAAGGGAGACAACAAAGCCAATCTGCCACGGTTTTTTCTATCCAATTAGACAAGGAAAATTAGCTACAAACTGGTTATTGTAATTTCAAATTATATACAGACTTAAGAGGTATTGAGTGAAATTAAAGTATATATTCATCATTAAACACCATTTAAATGCATTTAAATAAGTTGGTACGAGTTTACAATGGTATGAATTTGTCGTGGTACGAGTTAGCAGTGGTACGAGTTTGCATTGGAACGAGTTTTTGTTTAGTGGTACGAGTTGACATTGGTACGAGTTACAATGGTACGAGATAACTATAATTCCTTTGTACTCGTAACCTGGCAAAATATTAACTAGATTTATTCATTACAATCTGGATAAAACTATGTTAGCCTGATTCAATGTACATCAAAATGTATGTTATGTAAATCCAAAGGACAAACAATGAGAGACGTATGCAACAAACATACATTGTTTGTACCTAAATAACTATAATATAGATGAGAGCATGTCATTGTTTTGTTCCTGTTAACATTGTCATTGATATTTTTCAAGAAAGTCTATGAGGCATAGCTTATGCATTCCTGTCATTACTACATAAGCATAATTACTGCTAAAATAATTCTCAGTATTATATACCTCTTGTAAGAAATCATTATAATTGTAGCAAGCACCAAAAAATCTCAAACAGATCACATTGAATCGTAATCCAAAAAATTATGACGTCTTGAATTAACCACCCCCTTTTATTCTAAAACGATAATTGCGGTTGTAAACTGACTTTGGTTTATTCGCATGGCGATTACATATATAACTATATATTTTAAAAAGAAAATAGAGTTTTACCATGAATAGTTTCCTGCACGTAGTCTTTTTCAGTAAAATGTGCCTTGCAAACAACAGCTGATTGAGATGGACTCCACGATTTCATCGTGTTCTCGTCCAATCTGCGTATGGGCCATGGCGTTGATCTAACTTTTCCTTCTTTTAAGTCATTTGGAAATGCATGTCCTCCTCTTAAATGACATCCAGGTACACAACAACAAGTACTTGGCATCGTTAATTAAAAATGCAACTGTAATAGTTGCATAGTGCAGAAACCGGAAGTTGAAGTACAGGATCGGCTACCACGGCGCCACCTATTCAGGAACGATAATTTGCTACTTTATATAACTGCGAAATAGCTATAGCAATAACGTTAGACGGGTTCGCGTGCATAAACAGAAATGCGCTTTAAATTGTATAATATAATTCATGTTCAGTCGACCTTTAATTATTATATCAACGACTGAAATGATTTATAAACATCTAGATTGCAGATAACACTCGAAATTAACCCGACCTCTTTCCACACGGAATTCAAATAATTCTAGTTTGTCAATCGGTTGACTGCTTATAATGTAAAATACAAATATATCAAAAGTTTTTAAAACTAACAAAACACAATGATCGTTTCTCTATTTCCCAATGTAAATGAAATGAGACAAAAAACATTTTATACCACAATAAGAAGAGGAGAGAATCAACATTTTCCGGATCTACTTGGAGCTAAATGACCCCCCACGTAGATAAATTGGATATCGCGGAAAGAAATATTAACACGGCAACTAGAAAGGCATTAAAGCACTGCCTTTAAAAATACTAAATACACAATGTATTTTAGTTGAAAGTTTAATCTTTTATGATTAAGATTTAATGCACACAACAAAAAGGTTGAGACCCTTCTTTTTTATTTGCCACCAACTAGAGCCATCCTTGGAAACCATTTTCATTCTGTGTCCTTATTTTCTTTTTTCCAGCTTCACCTATGGAGGGGAAAGGGGCTGTAAAATGATTGATTGATTGATTTTGATTTTTGGTGTTTTAATGCCACTTTTGAGCACTGCTTTTGGGCTATTTCGTGGCTGCCATTTTTTATTGGTGGAGGAAGCCGGAGTGCCAGGAGAAAATTCCAACCTTCAATAGGAAAACTGACAATCCTAGTCAATTAAGATTGGAGTCGAGTGCACCTGCACGAGCGGGGTTCAAACTCACAACCTCAGTGTTGACTGGCTAGTGATTACAGTAGTAACTACTTAGACCACTCGGCCACTGAGGCCCCTGGCTGTAAAATGTTAAGGAGGAATCCCATTTGTTTTTCTGTGTCATAATTAACAATTAACAACTTTTGAACTATTCATTGCATGAAATTTTATGCTAATATTAGGACATATTTTTTCATCAGAGTGGTTTTAAAGGTAATGAAGGAAACATTTGTTAAATATATAATAATACTTTTTTTCAGATTCCTGTATTTGAATGGAATTCCATGGCACTCTCATCAAAAGAATCAAAGGAAAAGTATCTTCGGACAAAAATGTTATCATTCTGAGAAGAATAACAGTTTATTCAAGACAAAGCAAATATTTTTTGTGAATAAAAAAAAATGAAAAGTATCAAATATATATCTATATATTTTTAACTTTTATAGTTAAAATGATTAAAGAAGTTACCAGAGTTATTTCCCATTTATTGTCTGTTATCAGTCTGCTGACACATCACATACAAAGAGATTTAAAAAAATTTACAAATAATTGTGTGTCAGAATTCCCCCAAATAGTGGTTTTATCAGAAAAGTTAGAATAAATGATGGGACTGCATTAAAGTTCAGAATTTGTTCAAAAACAATAGAAGCAATTACATTATAGGGAAAATCCGTGATTTTTTAACTTATCATCTTAATATGTTCCTCATAACATAAAAAAACTCATTCACGAAGTTTTAAATTTATATTCCCTCTAATAACAGAGAAAATCAAGTATTTATAACTTTTTTGTTTGACATACGTCATCTGGTTGTGATGTTTTAACCCGATTTAGCGAATCCTGGGAAATAATAAAATCAGTTCAAGTCTTAATCGCTTATCGAATTTTCCCATAGTTAAAAGCACGCAGATGACCGTTTCTCGTAGCTAATAACCACAAAAGAAGAATGAAAGAAAATGAACACACGTGTAACGTTTTGCATTGATTAAATAAAAAATCTTATGGTATATATATTTGCGATTTAATTTTATTTATTAATAGTTGTGATTTTTTCCTGAATTATTTATTGAAGACAAATTATGAACTAATATTGAACTGAAAATATTTTTCATTCTTATTTACCTTTATAATTTCATTTCAGTGCAAAGTCTGTGTGAATAGAATGTGTCTGTTATTTCGGAAAGGCATTGTTTATTTCTCAAATAGATGATCATTTTGTAAAACAATTCGTTTATTATAGCTGAGGGCAATTAAGCCTCAAACGTACGCTTTTACAGGTGTGAATATGTTGTCATTTTGAATGGATTAACAGAAATAGCCGGAATGGCGAGTTTAATACACCGAGATCAAATATCCAATGAGAATGAAAAAAAATAATTGTATGATTTCCTTGAAAATAAAATTCAAATTTTTAATTCTAGCAAATGCTATATTTCCCAAAATTTAATAGAGGCAAAACATTTTTGCGGTCGTATATTGGTATGACGTTGTTGTCGTCCGAAGACACATTGGTTTTAGCACAATAACTTTAGTTTAAGTGAATGGATCTCTATGAAATTTTACCATAAGGTTCAATATCACAAAAGGAAGGTGGGGATTGATTTTGGGGGTTATGGTACTAACAGTTAAGGAATTAGGGGCCAAAAATAAGCATTTTTGTAACTTTCAGACAATAACTTGTGTGTTAGTGTATGGATCTCTCTGACATTGTACCACAAGGTTCCATATCACAAAGGGAATGCTGTGATTGGTTTTGGGGGTAATTGCCTCAAAATTTTAGGAATTAGGGGCAAAAAACAAGCATTTTTCTAGTTTCATGACAATAACTTGTGTGTAAGTGTATGGATCTTTCTGAAATTGTACTACAAGGTTCCATATTACAAAGGGAAAGCTGGAATTGAGTTTGGGGGTAATTGCCCAAAACATTTAGGAATAAGGGGCCAAAAAGGGGCCAAAAATAAGCATTTTTCTAGTTTCAAGACAATAAGTGTATGGATCTCTCTGAAATTGTACTGCAAGGTACCATACCACAAAGGGAAGGCTGGGATTGATTTAGGGAGTAATTGCCTCAAAATTTTAGGAATTAGGAGCCAAAAAGGGGCAAAAACAAGCATTTTTCTAGTTACAGGACAATAACTTGTGTGTAAGTGTATGGATCTTTATGAAATTGTACTACAAGGTTCCATATTACAAAGGGAAAGCTGGGTTTGAGTTTGGGGGTAATTGCCTTAAACGTTCAGGAATTTGGGGCCAAAAAACAAGCATTTTTCTAGTTTCCAGACAATAACTTGTGTTCAAGTGTATGGATATCTCTGAAATTCAACAAAAATTGAATATGTGGGCTTCTTTGATATGCTGAATCTGACCATGTATTTAGATTTTTGATTTTTGGGCCCCGTTATCAAATTGGTCCACATTGAGGTCAAAAGGGTCCAAAATTAAACTTTGTTTGATTTCATCAAAAATTGGAATCTCTGGATTCTTTGATATGCTGAATCTAACCATGCATTTAGATTTTGGATATTGGACCATAATAGGTAAATTAAAAATTTTTAAGTTCTTAGACCACAATCATTCTGTGTCAGAAACCTATGCTGTGTCAAATATTTAATCACAATCCAAATTCAGAGCTGAATCAAGCTTGAATGTTGTGTCCATACTTGCCCCAACTGTTCAGGGTTCGACCTCTGCGGTCGTATCAAGCTGTGCCCAGCAAGGCATTTTTTTTGCTTATATCTCAAAAACTAAAGCTTGCCGATAGGTAGAAACCATGTCTGGTATAATTATTTTTTTAGGATCTATGAAACTGTGTATTATTTGTCATTATCTTGTCGGGTAAAACAACCGTACGATTGACAAGAGATTTTGACACTTAATTACGACTATGTTAGTTCCAGCTTGTTTGGGTACTTTATGGTTTATAGTTATCATGTATTGTTATTAACCGGGATGCCGTCAAGATGGCTACATGTAGAGAATTGATATTCTCAATTTAAAATCGATGGTGATATCTTATGTAGGAGAATAAAACTTTATTTTTTTATGAATTTGTGCTTTTTTATACATAATGAACATAATATCAATTTTTCATTTTATTTGTGGAGTTTCCCTTTAAAACTAGTGCAATGCTGTCATCAATGTTTGTGCTTGTGTCAATTTTTTGCATTAATCAACACAATTCATATGCTGATAACAAAAAATTACTTGAAAATATCGGAGACCCATTTGATATATATATATATATATAAATTGCTAAGAAAATTGACCTAGATCTACTCTAACATTGTTAGGTCAATTTTCTTGGCACTTCATAAATATTCCAAGGCCTGGTATTTCTTAATCATAAGAAATCTGATGGACAAGGTATAATTTACTGTTGTCACTACACATAGGCAGATATATATATATATATACAAGTCTAAATTGAAAACAACGTTCAAACCTATGATTGGGTTGGATAAAAACCACAATTTTTATACGTGTGCATGCAAAACAAATTTCTTGGTAGAGGGGTCTAAATACAGCACAAACAATATATATATGTGTATTTAAAAACAAACTTTGCAGTGATGTTCAGAACAAGATCATAGTTGAGTGATTGCAGGGTCTCCCCTGGGTCAATTCCTCTTTCGCCAAAACAATTATTTAGAAGTTATCAGTATTATACCATGTAAATGCACAAAGATGTCTAAGATCAACTAAACGTTTGACCATGATCATCAACAAACAGTTTTCTCCCATGTACACAACACACTGAGCAGTGGTGAATAATCTTGCTTAGTTTCTTTCTCAAACTCCAAGGTGTTCTGAAGTTATGGAACAAGGGGCTAAGTTAAACAAAGTTTTTGACCATGACTTTCAATTCACTTATTCTACTTGAATGTGACACAGCTTCTTCTAGTTATGTATATTCATGCCAAGGTAGCAAAGCCTCAAATCTCAATGGAAATTAGAAGTACCAATGCTAATACATCTGCATACCAAATATCATTGATATACCACTAGTGGTTCCCCATAAACTTACATAATCACAAACTAATACATTTTGTACCTGTAAACTAAGCAAAGGTCAGAGAAATATATGACACATCCCCAGTCCAAGATGCAACTGCATACCAATTCTAATCTAAGTTATACTGTACAAAAGTTATGAACCAGACTCAAATTGGACAAGTATTTTTTTTAAATACGGGTCAAAGTCAAGGTCAGAGTGACCTGACTTTGGTATAGGACACCCCCCAGCCCATGATCCATATGTTACATGTCATAGATTACATTATTTATTTTGGAGTTATCTCTCTTTGTATAGAATTCAGTAAATAAAGTGAAATTATGAAAATTAAGTAAAATTGAAAAAAAGAAGATAATTTCTATAAAAACATTTATATATTTTATCAAATCATATTTATGCTACAGTTTGACCATTTTACCCTAATATTAGTTAAAGGTATTTCAAAATATTGTTTACTTCTTTCTAGTAATTAGTGTACAGGTAAAAACTGTTCACTATTTCACTGTTGATATATAACAGATCGACAGGTGTAGTTGTGTCTCAGTTTTGTGGACAAGAATATTTGAAGATTTAAAGTTGGTGTATTTTGTAAGTACATATTATGATTTTGAATATGCTGTTTTATATAAAAGTGTTTCATAAAATATTTCATAAAATATAAAAGAAGACAAATATGTATACAAAACATTCATGACATTTATCTGAATTTTTGCAAATGCAAACATGAATTTTTTGACAATTTGGTACCTTTAATTAAATTTGAAGCATTGATTTATTGTACCAGTTGATAGGCATTTTTGGAAAGATTGGAACTATTGTTCCAAGTCTTTCCTAAGGCACCGGCCTCCCAAACAAGAAGTAGAAAATGTAGCACAGGTTAGCTACTAAATTTACAAAATGTATACACACTGAAATATAGTTCCCTATAATTTTCATGTCTGTACATATGCACATATGAACTCTGAAAAGTTTGTGTTATATTTTTGGAGCTGTTCATTGAAGTATGTATGTCTAAAAGTATGTCAATTTGCAGGCTTTTTTTGTCATTTTAATTAGGTAAAAGTAATGATACAATACCTGTTTGATTGACAACTTCCATGCTCACCAAACAATCAGAGACAAGGTGGGGCTGAATTACAATGTCCCACCTCCTTTAATGCCAATCATATTAACCAAATTACTATTCATCCTCAGTCTTACATAATTAAACAAACCCTTCATTATGTATCTCAATACAACAAATACTCAGTATTGAATACACAAATGAATATATATAGAAATGATAGATTTATTTATTGCCTATTAATACTTTTGATCTACACTACATAAAGCGATTCTATAAATTATGTCTGAAAGATAAATGATAAGGATTAACAAGATATATTTATTTTCAAAAGAAAAGACAAAATCTGAAATCTTTATAAAAAAGGTATTCAAGTAAGGTCTATATTTTACTTGATAAATCTGTGCAATCCGCATCTATAATTAATCAATAATTTAGGTTACACTTATCAGTGATTGGCTTGCAACAGTAAGTAAAATTTCAATACTCTTAACCTGAGTAATACGATTTTTAAAAAAAATTATTCCCCATCAAATGTCTTTTAACAAATTTTGTCATTTGAATACAGGAAGTGTATTTTTGCGATTAAGAATGAATCCCCATTTTAATGAAAGAATTTTTTTTTTAATTTGTTTACGTTGAAAAAGTACATATATTCAATGCCCTTTTCTGTAAAATATTAAATTAAAATTGAATTAAAATACACTCTGCAACTTTAAACTTCATTGTCATATAATCATGATAATTGTTTTCAAAGAAATTAATAATAATAATAGTATACCTATGTTTCAACTTATAAAAAGCCCCCCAAAACAACCTTTTTAGATTAATTTTTGGAGACAATAAAGATCTTAGTTTCAAGTCTATCTGTTGGTCCTATGTCCTACAAGGATAATTGATAAACTTTATTAGATGTATCTTTATTTAGTAATTTCTTCTGTTTCTAAAGATAAAACGTAAAAGGTTAAACATGTAACAGGGAAGGTTACTTGGTTGAGCAAATTAGGGGACCTGCTATCATTGATAGCTGAGGACATTGGTGTAACAGTACAACATAAGAACAAACTATGATGAGTTGAGCCCTTTTCAACTGATTTTTATAGTTTGTTCCTATGTTGTACTGTTACACCACTGTCCCAGGTTAGGGGAGGGTTGGTGCCTTCGAACTAGTTTGGACCCGCCACATTCTGTATGTGCCTGTCCCAAGTCAGGAGCCTGTAATTCAGTGGTTGTTGTTTGTTGCTGTATATCATATTTGTGCATTATTTTGTATATAAATCAGGCCGTTTTAGTTTTCTCGTTTGAATTGTTTTACATTTGTCATTTCGGGGCCTTATATAGCTGACAGTACAACATAAGAACAAACTATAAAAATCAGTTTAAAAGGGCTGAAATCATCAGATCAATACAATGCAGAAAGACATCTAACATTTAGCTCATTTCATCTACTGAAAAAGTGCTTATCCTTCTAAAGACCTGCAGTTTATGTATTGATCAGCAATGGTGATATTTTAATGTTCTTTTTTTGTTTACACCATACCTAAATATAATTTGAAATTAACCAAACTACTCTTCCAATCTTTCCATGAGTGTTTTCCATCACTTTGATCAAAGATTTATTAAAATTTTAATTATAAAATGTTCTAATTAAGTCAGTATTGTTCACAGGAGGATCTTTGTGTTTTTTTCTACTTGGAGATGTTATTTCGCCTTAAATATAAAAAATAAGAAGATGTGGTATGATTGCCAATGAGACAACTCTCCACAAGAGACCAAATGACATAGAAGTTAACAACTATAGTTCATTGTATGGCCTTCAACAATTAGCAAAACCCATACTTCATAGTCAGCTATAAAAGGCCCCGAAATGACAAATGTAAAACAATTCAAATGAGAAAACTAATGTCCTGATTTATATGCAAATTAATGAACAAAAAGCAAATATGATATACAGTAATAAACAACAACCACTGAATACAGGCTCCTGACTTGGGACAGGCACACACAGAATGTGGCGGGGTCAAACTAGTTTGAAGGCACCAACCCTTCCCTAACCTGGGCTTAACTCATCAGATCGATACAACGCAGAAAGACATATAACAAAATCACAGAGTGGACGTGACAGTGTATTTATACATCCCCACAACAAAAAAGATACAGGTATCAATGAATGTAAGGCAATGAATGTGCATATGTTCATTGCTCAATTTTAAGTTTTTTTTTTTGGTCTGTTTTTCTTAAACTATAAGCAATAGGTCAACTATATTTAGTGAATGGAATGATTGCAAGGTGTACGTGTCTCTCTGGCAGGGTTCATATGACCTTGACCTCATTTTCATGGTTCATTGGTCTATGTTAAGATTTTAGTGGTTTGATCTGTTACTCGGATATATATATATTGGGTAAGCCAGTTCATTGTTTTTAGAGGTCACATGTCTGTATACACAGTTTGATTAACCTAAGTAAAATGATTAAAAATTATACACTGGACAAAAAGTGGGATGGACAGACGTACAGACAGCCAGATGGACATGGTGATTCCTATGTATCTCCCAGACTTAGTTTGCCGGGGATATAATAATCACCAGGGAAATAGAGATATACCAGTGCTAATACAACTACACACCAGATATCATTGACCTACCACTAGTGGGTCCCCATAAACTGACCTGATCACAAACAAATATATTGTTGATGTCAATACTGCCTACATGGAAAACAGCACCCCCAAGTCTTGCTTTTTTAACAAGGAAATTTTGTAGAAGAATCTGGGTTGAAAACTGTAGGAGGAATTGATTCCACAAAACTTGTACCTTCTTTCATAAACTTCTGAAGTCTGAAAAAATGAGAAAAAATTCCTAAAATACTTCCATAACAGCCAGTACACTTCAACATATATGCAATCTTCCTGTGAAGTTTCAGGGATCTGGGTTGAAATCTAGGAGTTGATTACACAAAACTTGTACCCACTTTCATAAGTTTTGCTGGAAAATGGAAAAGTTCCCAAGTCTGGAAAAATGAGAAAAAAATATCCAACTCCATAATAGCAGTTGCACAATCTTAATATATGTGCAATCTTCCAGAGAATTGAGGGATCTGAGTTGTAAACTGTAGGAGTAGTAGATTACACAAAACAGGTACCCACTTTTCCCCGTCCACTTGCCCTCCTGCCCTACATCACCATACTATAAGCTGGTTTTGGGCTTTGTCCAACCTGAGCAAAAATCATAGATATCATCCTTTTATTGGGAAGATAATTAAGTCATCACTGTTTTGACAAAGTTTATACTTTTAACTCTTGAATTTCAGATTGACAGTTGATTTCTAAAGATGCAATACTACCAAATCATAGTAAGTCACATCCGGTTTCATACGAAAAAGGGCTGAAAAAAAATATTCCCTCAAATTTGACAGTTGTAGGAACCTAACCCTGCATTTCTTGGCAGAAAAAAATTTCTGAGTCATAAACATATATCTTGGGTGTTTCAAAGCACCATTCTTTTTTTATTTGGTGTTTCTATAAAATATTTTGGAAACTTGGTTACATGGTTACTAAAGCTTGTAAACAAAGGAAAAAAAGGGGTGAAAATTTGATTGGTTAACTTCCAGTAATGGCTATTATCTTATATGCAATGAAATGTTATGTGAAGTTTTGTCTGTAGTACTGGACAGACAGGATAAAACTTTACTCATGCCAAGTATTTCTTTATTTGAAACAAAGATTAATTCTGCACAATTTTTGAAAAGTGCAAATTTAACAAAGACTAATAGGGGAAAATCAATGGTGGGATTACTCCTAAACTTAAGTCCTCTAGAGGTCAACATATTATCCTCAACAATAGAAATGGGTCAATACGAATTGCCAAGCTCTAAATCATCTCAAGTCTTATAAAAATTAAAACAAGGAACAACATATAATATATAATATGAGCCACATATAAATTGATAGCCAGAGGAAAAAGAATGATTAAATGATTGAGGTTTAACTTTTCCACTTTTGTCTACTTGAATTTCAACAGTCTTTGTGCTTCATTATGTTCAATGCATTCGTTTACAAAGTTTAATGATGGTTTGTCATTAGTCATAGAGGTATAATAAGTGAATAGACTTGGAAGGATTTAGATATTGTATTGACACATGCATGTTATTGAAGACTTTTGCCATCTAAAGGTCTTTTGGTTAATTTTGTTGTTGGGTTGCTGCCTAATTTGCTTATACCTCACTTCTCCTTTTATTCATAAATAAATTACAAAACCATTTGAAAACATTCTAAGAAATTTTTAATAACGAAGATCAAGTATTGACATCAGACTGGTTTCTTCCAGCTAATATTTTCATCTTTTTAGGATTTCAAAATCTAAAGAATAACTAATGGTGAAAAAATAAAACATATATTTTCTTAGAAGGATAAAAATTACCTGGAAGGTTTAATCCTAAACTAAACTAAACATAAATAAAACATATAATCCCTTACAATTTCTCCTATGATAACAAGCTTGGTATAACATGTTCAATATATAAAAAAATATACAAATAATCAACATGAAAACAGATCTAAATAAACTGCTTCGCTGAGCACAGCTGGATACGCCCGCAGAGGTCCAACCCTGAACAGTTGGGGCAAAAATGGACACAATATTCAAGCTTGATACAGGTCTGAATTTAGATTGTAATTAAATATTTGACATATAATAGGTTTCTGAATAAATCTAGTCAAAGAACTTGAAATTGGTGATATGAATTGAATTTATATTCAATTAAAGATTTCTTGCTGTTGTGTAATACACTGTGCTGTTGCGCAATACTTAGTAAATCTGTTTTAAGACTATAAACAAATAAAGTTCAATTAATTCTCAATGTCATATTAGAAATTTATGAAAATCAAAAGGGAGCTTACATCAATAGATATAAACAATTTACCAAAGTTTCATGAGAATTGCAGACAGCATTTTTGAGTTATTGTCCGAAAACTGGAAAATCCCCCCTTTTTTAATGAATAAAACCCCATAACTCAGAAATGTAAAATGTAAAATTTATAAAATTCTAAAGGAAGCTTACATCAATAGATATAAACAATTCACCAAAGTTTGATAAGAACTGCTGAAAGCATTTGTGAGTTTTTGTCCAAAAACTGGAAAATCCCCCTTTTTTATGAATAAAGCCCTGTAACTCGGAAACGTAAAATCTAAAATTTATAAAAATCGAAAGGGAGCTCATGTCAATAGATATAGACAATTCACCACAATTTCTTGCAAGTTGGTGAAAGCATTCTTGAGTTATTGTCCGAAAACTGGAAAATCCCCCTTTTTTTAATGAATAAAACCCCATAACTCGGAAACATAAAATCTAAAATTTATAAAAAACAAAAGGGAGCTCACGTCAATAGATATAAACAATTCAACAAAGTTTTATGCAAATTGGATAAAGAGTTTTTGAGTTAATGTCCGACATGTTGACGACGGACGGACAGACGGACAACGGTATACCATAATACGTCCCGTAAACGGGCGTATAAAAACTTAATACATAACAAATATAATATCAACTAACTTCATATAAAAATAGAATAACTCTTATAAGACAAAAATATAAGATCTCCTGTAAATAAATATCTATGTATTCAATAATCATGCCAAAACCTTTCACCTATAGGAATGATTTGATTTTGCTCTAAACCTACAATAAAAGATCACATTCTAGATACACTTGTAATTGAGTTTTTTTTATTAATTAACTACTGGTTATTCAAAAAGAACATAGTAATATCTGAGATTCGAATGAAAATTTCAAAACTATCTATATTTGATTAATAATTTTCTGGAAATGATATACTATGGAAAAGTTTATCAGCATTCTTAAAATATATAAATGTTTGAGTTATCTATGCTTCAATTTTCACAAGTCATCACTTAATGTTATGTTTAATTGAAAAATAGGATACATTTCTATCATATGCTTCTATGGATTGTTTTTATCAATAGATCATCTTATTTGTAGGATTTCAAGATTAAAAGAAAAAATCTTGGTGACGAAATTAAAAAATATGAAAAATGTGAATATTTTTGTACAAAAAAAAGAGATGTTGTATTAACAAATGGCCACCAGAAGTCAGTTAATTACACTAATTTCAACATAAGAGTTTTCAATGTACTAGCTCATATGAAAAGAAAGAATTTTTCTTCTTGCTGTAACAACCTTTCATAGAAATACAAATATTGCATAAAAAATCAACAAATAAAACAAATGAGTTTAGCATTTTATAATACATGTAGTATTATGCAGCAATACATTTTAACTTATACCCTGTCATTTTGATAATGTATTTGTAATTTGTCTTTTTCACTAAATATTCTGTAAAATTTAAACCTAATGTGAAATGAAATATTGTAGACATTACAATGTGGCATTATTAAAAAGTTATCTTTAAAAAAGTACATAAACGCTTTGCAATGAGGTAAACTATATTAACTTCATCTGCAACTGACAAAAATTGAGGAGACTTACCAAATCTGGAATGTAATGAAAAATTTGAAAAATAATAGACCATTCACAACCTTATTTATTTTCTCAAAAGTGTATAGAAAATTATTAGATTCATTCCTACATATCTTAGTTGAAGTAATGCAAAATTTCAAGGGAAATTACATTTTATATACAATTTATAACTTATAACATGAATTTTATCTCCTTTTTTCTAGTTTTTGTCGAGATGCATATGGCAATTATAACACAGTTTCAAATTCTTAAGATTTTCCCATTGGCTCTTTCAAAGTTCTATTGTGTAGAAAATAAAATCTTCAATTACAAACTAATACATATATAATGAACTGATCCCTACACCATATTTTAAATAAACAAATAAAATATAAAAATAAACTCTTTAGCATTTTCCATTTTGTGGTTAAACTGATTTTAAACCAAGTATGTTATCAAAGCATATGACAGGAGACCAGAAACATACAACTTAATAGTTCCTACCACTAATTGGAAGACACATGAATTTTCATATTTTGATTTCTTTTTGATTTCTTTGGTGGGAGAATTTGGTCATAAAACAATGCTCTTTGTTATAATGAACTAGTATGTTTGTTATTTCTCTTTTTCCCCATTTTCGACAATCAATAAAGATAATTACCTCGCAAATGCTTTGTTGATCCATGACATGACAGTGAGTCTTAACATTACATCATTTAAGCTGAGATTCCCAAAACACCCTAATGTAATGATTAAGTATTTAATATCAGTTACCATTTTACAATTTTGCGATGTGGATCTAGGTGGCACATGTTTCTATTCTGTATTCAGTATTTCTTTTGTCCCATTATTTCATGGTAAAAAAAAGGTTTCTGTGTCATTATTCTGAATTATGTAATGTTGTAGCCCTATTTATACTCAATTTGTAAATATTTGGTTATGCTCTGTTATTCTCTACTCATTAAAACCCATCAAAAAACTAATTTATTTTTGGCCAGCTGATTTCAAATAAGCAGGATATAAGTTATCAGACAATCCAATGCTCACAATATTCTTCACAAGATATTGGGAATTTGTCAATGACACAGAAACCCAATGACACAAAAACAAAAAGACAGCTGTATTGGTAAATCGAAGCATGTAAAAATCATGTATATGTAGTCATAAACAATTTTAATTTGAAATCAGGTTTCAAATAATAACTAATAAAAACACTAAATAATCTCATTATTAAAACCTGTCATGCACAAGCTTTGTAATTCATTGATAACAATAAAACATCATAATTATGTTTGGCATTGTGGTAGTATTTATTTTGCAATCCACCTGGCTTAGCACCAAATTTGAACACACATTAAAAATTAAACAATGTAAATAATTATTTATCAGTCCACTTAACTTTTTAAACAAAGAAAAAAATTGAATTTAATTTGCCCATATTTAAAAAAATCACAATATCAGAGAACCTGATTAGAATCAGAAAAGAATAACCCAAAACATAATTTTAAATCATGATCCGTTTTGTTTTTTTAAATATCATTACCATAAAACTCTTTTTTTAAGTTTAAAACTTATGAGTGTATTCTCACTTAGTTATAGCAAAAAGGGACAGAATATATATAATAATTCTTTAAACAAATTTTTGGATTATTGCATTACTTATTTTTATAACTATCTTCCATTTCTAAATTGTCTATAAGTCCTGACGTATCATCTGCATGTATGGTAGCCTCTTCCGTTACCCTTACATACTCATAGAAATAAGCAATGACCATGAATATTATAATGTCTACTAACATAATCACTGCATAGAAGAAAAATTCTACAGCCTGCAAAATACAATAAACAAATGTCATTAAGGAAACCAATGATCAGGAAAAGAAATTTCATTTTTCATATTCCATAGTTTTGTCCTGTGCATGAAAAATTATTTATGCTACATTTTTTTAATGGCCTGTAGAGTCTGTGACACATGTGTGGCAACCATTATAAATTTGATTTCACTATGAAATCAAAATTCAAAATCAGATCTTGATCTCGTTTAAAAATGATGACAAAAAAATCACTTTTGGAAGATGGACAATTCAAGGATTAACATCTGGTATGAATTGCTTTGATTGGTTGATAGATCCTAAGTGTATGTCTATCTGGACACATTATTCTAATTATGAGTACAAGTCTTTGCTCTTACTCCTTGATGTTACATGCAGCCAAAAATCCGTGTTTGGGTGTTTGGTTTAACGTATAAATATTTTTGTTAAACAGTTTGTTATGAATAGTTGTAAGAGTACTATCTTACCTGATTAGAAAATAATCGGATTTCAGATATAATTGCAACAATCAAATTGCCAAAGGCAGTGTTCATTAGAAAGGCTGCCTGGATAAAGGATTTCATGGACTTTGGTGCCTGTAAACAAAACAAAAAACTGCATTAAAAAAATCAACCAGTTAAAGCAGAGTACAAAAATTGTCTTGAAATTTCAAAAAGACAACATTTTGAAATCTTACAGTATGGTTTGTGTGGTTACAATATAGATACCTTCAAATGCTTATTTTGGAATTTTTTTTTAAAGTTCGCTTACTATTTCATTCACATTTACACCATATCACTTTTTATTCCTGGTTCTAAAAGATAAAAATATTTTATTATCAGTTTTAAGAGATAACATTGATCGCAATGGTAAAAACTTATTGATTTCGTTAGTCATCAGTTTTGTTGTATACTGCATCTTCTACTGAAGTTGAAGCAAAATTTTATCAGTTTCTAATATTGATTGTTCAACTTTTTGATTTGTGATTTCATTAACCACTTTGCTTACTAAAGGGAGGTTATTTTAATAGATATAAACCAGTCACCAAAGATTCATGAAAACTGCTCAAAGCATTTTTGAGTTATTGTCTGCAAACTGGAAAGTCCCCCTTTTTTCATGAATAAAACCCCATAACTCGGAAACAGAATAAAAGTTAATACAAGGTACAATTTTACTGTATACCATTCCTAAATTGGGAGCCAGAGGATAATAAAGATTAAACACTTCAGCTCTAACATTCCCCTTTTGTCAATTTGAAATTCAACATGCTTTGTGCTTCACTATGTTCAATGCATTCTATTACAAACTTTACTGATGGTTTGTCATTAGAGGTATATTACATGAATAGTCTTAGAGGATTTAGATATATTGTATTGACGCATGCTTGTTATTGAAGACTTTTGCCATCTAAAGGTCTTTTGGTTAATTTTGTTGTCGAGTTACTGTCTCATTTGCTTATACCTCAAATCTCCTTTTATTCATGAATAAATTAAAATATCATTTGGGAACAATCTAAGAAAAAAACAACTTCACCAAGAAATTTTTAATAATGAAGATCAAGTATTGACAGCAGACTGGTTTCTTCATGCTAATATTTTCATCTTTTTAGGATTTCAAGATCTAAAGAAAAAATAAATCATGGTGAAAAAATAAAATCCCTTAGGAGTTACAATTTCTCCTATGATAACAAGCTTGGTATAACATACTCAATATATAAAAATATACAAATGATCAACATGAAAACATATTTAACAAGAGGCTCTCAAGAGCCTGAATCGCTCACCTGTATTAAAGAGGAGAAGATTTTTAAATGTTAGCAAACTTGATGAACAAATTGTGTAAAATTGTCTTTAAAGGGCAATAACTCCTTAAGGGGTCAATTGACAATTTTGGTCAAATTAACTTTTATGTAGATCTTACTTTGCTGAACATTATAGCTGCTTACAGTTTATATATATCTATAATAATATTCAAAATAATAACAAAAAACTGGAAAATTTTGTTAAAACTACCAATTTCGGTGGCAGCAACCCAACAATGGGTTGTTCGATCTGTCAGAAAATTTCAGGGCGGATAGATCTTGACCAATTAAACAATTTTACCCTTGTCACATTTGCTCTAAAAGATTCAGTTTTTGAGATATAAGCAATTTTTCTTTCGAAAAGTCTTCTGTATTCATAAGAATCAGACATCATTTGAATTAAAACATTTTATATTCAGTAAAATATGTGTTAAATTACAATACGTTATTAGGAAGTTTTCCATGGGAGATAATCAATTTTTCTTTGGAAAAGTCTTCTATATTCAAAAGAATAATGTTTTAGGTTATCTCCCATGGAAATTCAAATGATGTCTGATTCTTTTAATATAGAAGACTTTTAGAAAGAAAAATTGTATGAAAGCTTAGTCTGGACATTTTTATAGCAATTAAAAATTTCTATCCATCACCTTTAGCCTGACAATAACAATAAAATTTCTATACAAACTGTTAGACTGATTTTTCATAATAACACTGAAGTGGAATTAAAGTCTTATAGGATTTTAAGTATGCTTTATTTTATCACCTTGCACTTTCACGACTTGACTGTGGTTTTCTACAGCAGTTTGTTCAAATTTCTGACCAGTTGAACAGTTTGGTTTTATAAAACAAATTGCAATTTGGCCAGAATTTTTAATAAGTTGCAATAGGTGGAGAGCACCACTAACAGTCAAGTCACAGTAAAACTATTTTAATAAAATTGAGAATGGAAATGGGGAATGTGTCAAAGAGACAACAACCCGACCATAGAGCAGACAACAGCCGAAGGCCACCAATGGGTCTTCAATGCAGCGAGAAACTCCCGCACCCGGAGGCGTCCTTCAGCTGGCCCCTAAACAAATATGTATACTAGTTCAGTGATAATGGACGTCATACTAAACTCCAAATTATATACAAGAATCAAAAATTAAAAATGATACAAGACTAACAAAGGCCAGAGGCTCCTGACTTGGGACAGGCGCAAAAATGCGGCGGGGTTAAACATGTTTTTTTGAGATCTCAACCCTCCCCCTATACCTCTAGCCAATGTAGAAAAAACAAACGTACAACAGTAAATATTAAATCTATATTTGATTAATAATTTTTCTGGAAGTGATATACTATGGAAAAGTTTATAATCTTTCTTAAAATATATAAATGTTTGAGTTATCCATGCTTCAATTTTCACAAGTCATCACTACATGTTATGTTTAATTGAATAATAGGTTACATTTCTATCGCATGCTTCTTTGGATTGTTTTTATCATCAGATCATCTTATTTGTAGGATTTCAAGATTAAAAGAAAAAATCTTGATGACAAAATAAAAAAAACCTAAAAAAATGTGATTAATTCTGAACAATAAAAAGATATGTTATATTAACAAATGGCCACCAGAAGTCAGTTAATTACACTGATTTCAACATAACAGACTTTTCAATGTACTGGCTCATATGAAAAGAAAGTATCTTTTTTCTTGCTGTAACAACCTTTCATAAAAATACAAATATTGCATAAAAAATTAACAAATAAAACAAATGAGTTCAGCATTTAATAATAGTATTATGCAGCAATACATTTTAACTCATACCCTGTCATTTTGATAATGTATTGTTAAACTGTCTTTTTCACTAAATATTCAGTAAAATTTAAACCTAATGTGAAACAAAATATTGTAGACATTACAAAATGTGGCATTATTAAAAAGTTATCTTTAAAAAAGCACATAAACGCTTTATAATGAGGTAAACTATATTAACTTAATATGCAACAGACAAAACATTCGCATACTTACAAAATCCGGAATGTAATGAAAAAATTTGAAAAATAATAGACCATTCACAACCTTATTTATTTTCTCAAAAGAGTAAATAGAAAATTTTAAACTCCTTCAAACCATAAAAAAATCTTCAAATTCAGATTCAAAGTAGTTTTGATATCATTCAGATTCATTCCTACATATCTTAGTTGAAATAATGGAGAATTTCAGGGGAAATTACCTTTTTCATACAATTTATAAACTATAACATAAATTTTATTTCCCTCTCTTTCTAGTATGTTGGAAATTGCAGATTGATTTTGCTGAGATGCATTTGACAATATTTAACACTGTGAGTTTCAAATTCTTAAGACTTTCCCAATAGTCTCATTTGAAATTTGAATCTATCATGTAGAAAAATGAAGTCTTCATTTACAAACTAAAACATATATGTATATATTGAACTCATCCCTACACCATGTTTTACATAAACAAATAAAATACAAAAATAACAAACTTTATTGCATTTTCCATTTTGTGGTTAAACATTTAAACTAAATGTGTCAGAAGACCAGAAACATACAACTAAATAGTTCCTACCACAAATTGACACATGAACTTTCATATATTGATTTCTTTGGTGGGAGAATTGGGTTATCAAACAAAGCTCTTTGTTTTAATGTACTGGTATGTTTGCTGTTTCTCTTTTTCCCCATTTTTGACAATCAATAAAGATAATTGTCAGTCATTTTCACATCAAAATAGTATTTAAAAAATTGCAAAAGTTTTGGTGATCCGTGACATGACAGTTGAGTCTTAACATTACATCATCCAAGCTGAGATTCTCAAAACTCCTTTATGGAATGATTTAAATATTTTATATGTTTATCAGTTACCATTTTTTGCGATGTGGATCTAGCTTGGACATTTTTCTATTCTGTATTCAGTAATTCTTTTGTCCCATTATTTCACGATGAAGTTTTTGGTCATTATTCTGAATTATCTAATGCTGATGCCCCATTTTTACTCCATTTGTTAATATTTGGTTATTATGCTCAATTATTCTCTACTCATTAAGCCCTATTCAAACACTAATGTATTTTTGGCCAGCTGATTTCAAATAAGCAGGATACATATTATCAAATAATCCAATGCTCACATATTCATCACAAGATGTGAGGTATATGTCATGTATGTCAATGAGACAGAAACCCAATGACAAAAACAAAAAGACATCTGTAATGGTAAATCAAACCATGAAAAAATCAGGTATATTTAGTCATAAACAATTTAAATTTGAAATCAGTTGTCAAATAATAACTAACAAGAATGTGTCCATAATACAGGGATGCCCCACTCGCACTACCATTTTCTATGTTCAGTGGACCTTGAAATTGGGGTCAAAACTCTAATTTGGCATTAAAATTAGAAAGACCATATCATAGAGAACATGTGTATTAAGTTTCAAGTTGATTTGACTTCAACTTCATCAAAAACTACCTTGACCAAAAACTTTAACCTGAAGCGGGACGAACGGACGGACGGACAAACAGACGCAGACCGAAAAACATAATGCCCCTAGGTGGGGCATAATAAAAACACTTAATAATCTTATTATTAAAACCTGCCATGCACAAGCTTTGTAATTCATTGATAACAATAAAACATTATAATTATGTGTGGCATTGTAATCCGCCTGGCTTAGCACCAAATCTTAGCACCCAATTGGAACACAAATTAAAAACTAAACAGTGTAAACAATTATTTATCAGTCAACTTAACTTTATAAACAAAGAAAAAACTAAATTTAATTTGCGGTAG